TCACAAGACGTTTCGTCTTGCGAAGCAAGCCCATAGGGAAATTCGTCTTGCGGAACAACTCAAAAAAGCAAAACCCTTTCGTCTAGCGAGTTTTTTGTCTTGCGAGGCATTCGTCTTGTGGGGCACCACTGTACTCATCACACTGATGATTATAAATAACTGTAATAGGTAGATTGACACTCATTCCTGCTAAGTTAACGGAAGCCTTCGACATGTATGACTGACTACTCAAACTACAAGATGTTTCAATGTTATTTATTTATAAAATCGTTATTTCTTTAAATAAAGGTGTGTGTGGATAATGTCATTATGTAGCTTAGTCACTAGGTGGCACTGGACTTTTTGGGGGGTTGAGAGTTTCCTGTGTCTGTTCTGTTCCTGTTCAAGAGAGATGATAGAATTTGTGTTGAGCATCCTGGCTGGGCTGTTTCCTATGCAGTCCTTGACACATAGACACTTATTTGTTCACATTGAATATTTATGCTTCAACAGAGAAAAATAAGACATTCTCTCTTCTCTATGCACTATCAGTTTCTTTTGAGGGAAGGGAAGATAATAGAATCATAGTCCATTTTTTTTTTTTGAATTTGCATTTTATATAATAGAATCATAGTCCAACCCCCTGCAATGCAGACCATCCAACCTCTACTTAAAAACCGTCAAGGAAGGAGAATTTCCACCTCTCGTGGGAGTCTTCCTTTTTCTTAAAAAATAATTTTTATTGCTTTTAACATATAAATTATAAAATGTACCACAAAACTTATCACTTATACAATCTTTTTAGACTTCCATCAGCACCTCTGATGATCCACCGTTTTAACCACTTCTTATGCATTTCTTAACTTTATATTGCCTTTTAACAAATCATCCTCCCCCTTGTCCATTTTTGCAATACTTCCAATAATATTCCTCACAAAACTTCTTGCAAACCTACAAATGTCGTCTGATCTTCACAAATACTTTTCAAATAGTCTGTAAATTTACTCCAGTCTTCCGTGAATTTCTGGTCCCGCCGGTTTCGAATTCTTCCTGTTAGTTTATCTAGTTCTGCATAGTCCATTAACTTCATCCTCCATTCTTCAATCGTCGGTAATTCTTCTTGCTTCTATTTTTGTGCCAAAAATATTCTTGCTGCTGTTATTGCATATAAGAAGAGCGTATGTTCCTTTCTATTTATATCACTCCCAACAATGCCCAGTAAAAATGCTTCTGGTTTCTTTATAAATGTATATTTCAACATTGTTTTCATCTCATTATATATCATCTCCCAGAAGCTTTTCACCTTTTTACATTCCCACCACATGTGATAAAATGTTCCCTCTTTTTCTTTGCATTTCCAACATTTATTACTGACTTTATACATTTTCACCATCTTAACAGGTATAATATACCATCTATACATCATTTTCATCACATTTTCTTTTAGGGCATTGCATGCAATAAATTTTAAGCCTTCTTTCCATAATTTTACCCATTTGCTCAGCTGTACTCGTGGGAGTCTGTTCCATTGTTGAACAGCTCTTACTGTCAGAAAGTTCTTCCTGATATTTAGTACTGAAAAGACAGAAAAGGAGTCATGGTGAAACGGATACCAACATATCTATGACAAATCAGGAAAGGATCTCCTGGTAGGAAATGTGAAATTGTGCTCCTTCCTTCCTGACCTACAAGCTGTGACTGACAGGTGAGCTTGGAGGAGCCATATGGACAAGAATCCTGAAGACCTAAATGGCAGAAGGGAAATGGACACAGGGCAGTGATTCGAAACCAGATCACCAAGGCAGAAACTGGCCGGGGAGGGATGAATGATTGCTGCTAAATCTGATTCCAACCATAATTTTGTCCATGGCTTCCAAGTAGCTAATAATAATAATAATAATAATAATAATTTATTTATACCCCGCCCATCCGGCTGAGTTTCCCCAGCCACTCTGTGCGGCTTCCAATCAAGTGTTAAAAACAATACAGCATTAAATATTTAAAACTTCCCTGAACAGGGCTGCCTTCAGATGTCTTTTAAAAAGAAGATAGCTGCTTATTTCCTTCACATCTGAAGGGAGGGCGCCACTACCGAGAAGGCCCTCTGTCTGGTTCCCTGTAACCTCGCAATGAGGGAACCGCCAGAAGGCCCTTGGCGCTGGATCTCAGTGTCCGGGCTGAACGATGGGGGTGGAGACACTCCTTCAGGTATACAGGAAAAGGGCCGTTTAGGGCTTTAAAGGCCAGCACCAACACTTTGAATTGTGCTCGGAAACGTACTGGGAGCCAATGCAAATCTCTCCGGACCGGTGTTATTTGGTCCCGGCGGCCACTCCCAGTGACCAGTCTAGCTGCCGCATTCTGGATTAGTTGTAGTTTCTGGGTCACCTTCAAAGGTAGCTCCACGTAGAGCGCATTGCAGTAGTCCAAGCAGGAGATAACCAGAGCATGCACACTCTGGTGAGACAGTCAGCGGGCAGGTAGGGTCTCAGCCTGCGTACCAGGTGGAGCTGGTAGACAGCTGCCCTGGACACAGAATTGACCTGCGCCTCCATGGACAGCTGTGAGTCCAGAATGACTCCCAGACTGTGCACCTGGTCCTTCAGGGGCACAGTTACCCCATTCAGGACCAGGGAATCCCCCACACCCGCCCACCCCCTGTCCCCCAAAAACAGTACTTCAGTCTTGCCAGGATTCAACCTCAATCTGTTAGCCAAAGCAGTTCTCTCAGAACTAGACCAGAAATTGGACTGTGACTGAATGATAATGAATGGCCTCGATATTCATACGACAGTAAGGGCCTCAGCTCAGTGGTAGAGCATCTGATTCGCGGGCAGAAAAACTCAGGTTTGATGCCACGCAATATCAGGATCGGGCTGGAAGACTCCTCTACAATCCTGGGGAGGCTCTGCCAGCAGTCGTGGTTGGCAGAGTGGTTCTGCAGGTCTCTGGGAGGGGTAAGGCGGGCGCGGTGAAAACACTGGCAGAACCGAGTCGCCTCTGCCTTGCCCCTCTCCCTCCTGGTAACTTGAAGAGTTGCTTGTGATGGGAGCTGTAAGGGACAGACTGGATGAGGAAGAGTGGTGGGAGTCCCCCCCCCCACCTCCAAGGAGGGTACAGAAGAAGATGACTTAGATCCCGGATCCTGGTGGCGGGACACAGAAGAGCAGACTGCAGTTCCCAGGCACTGGTTTCCAGAAGCGTTGAGTTTTCTTAGAATCTGTAAGAAAAGTGGGCAAGTATATCCCTATGTATGAGAGACAGATAAAAAGTATGAGAGACAGATAAAAAGAAGAGACATCATTTGCCGACAAAGGTCCATATAGTTAAAGCTATGGTTTTCCCAGTAGTGATTTATGGAAGTGAGAGCTGGACTGTAAAGAAGGCTGATGGCCGAAGAATTGATGCTTTTGAATTATGGTGCTGGAGGAGACTCTTGAGAGTCCCATGGACTGCAAGAAGATCAAACCTATCCATTCTGAAGGAAATCAGCCCTGAGTGCTCACTGGAAGGACAGATCCTGAAGCTGAGGCTCCAATTCTTTGGCCACCTCATGAGAAGAGAAGACTCCCTGGAAAAGACCCTGATGTTGGGAGAGATGGAGGGCACAAGGAGAAGGGGACGGCAGAGGACGAGATGGTGGGACAGTGTTTTCGAAGCTACCAGCATGAGTTTGACCAAACTGCGGGAGGTAGTGGAAGATAGGAGTGCCTGGCGTGCTCTGGTCCATGGGGTCACGAAGAGTTGGACACGACTAAACGACTAAACAACAACATGAGAGACAGAACATTAGGTGCTATAAATGACCGCCTTGGTCACTGCAGTTTATCGTAGACTGTTGCCAATATCTGAATCATGTTGTCATTTGCTGCCGGTCAAAAACCGGGGTCTGGTATTCATGGAAGTTGCTTTGGAAATTCTTTTGTGAGGGCTTGTCGCCAAATAGTGACATCAGTGGTCTTCTCCCGAGTAAGTAATCTGAGGATTATAGCTATAAATAAATGGGAAATGACCACACAGTTATTATTGGAAAGGAAGCAGCTTGTTTCCGCTATTTAATCTGTCAAATGCTGGAATACACAATAAGGTCGCCAATTTTTTCCTGCTGTGGGCTCCTGTGCCTTTTACAGGTGGAAATTTAGCAGCTGAAGCCCCCTGCCCCTTCCTGCTTAGTTTCTGCTTGTTGGGCATCTATTCAAGGAGAAAAAAAATCAGCTTTCATATCATCCCATCTGTCTGTAGAGTTCGTATTGAAGGGCCCTTTGTCATCTTGGTGTAGAATCATAGAATCATAGAGTTGGAAGAGACCACAAGGGCCATCGAGTCCAACCCCCTGCCAACCCCCTGTGTGGCCCTTTAAATTCTAGAAAAAATGGGGTGGGGGTTAACCCTTCAGTTGTATCCAGTTGTACCCTTCAGTTGGGTATTTTTTTGTTTTACAGCCTCTTAGTGGCATTTTTTAAATAGTGTAATTTTCTTTTGTATTGTTCAGGTTTCTGGTGGGCTTACAAGCCTGTTTCTCTCGAGACACCATCTTGAGAATAAGAGGGGGCGTTCTGTTGCGGGGCAGCTATTTTAAAACCCTGAATAGCTTGGCTTAGGGTTTTCTGTTTACTTTCTTGAGCTGTTTGCTCCAAGGATTGCCTCACCTCAGAAAGGATTTTGGAGAGCTGGAAAAGGTTCAGAAAAAGGGAAACCGAAACTTCCAAGAGAATGGAAAGAGTCTCCTCTGAGGAAAGGTTGCAGTGTTCAGGACTTCATAGTTTGCAGAGAGTTTAGTTTTAAGAGGCGACGTGGTGGAAGTTCTTAAAATCGTGCCCTGCAAGCAGAGAGGGGACAGAAAAAAGTATTTCTTCCTCCCTCAAAACACTAAAACTAGTGGACACCCTGCAAAGCTGAACGTTGGAAGATTCAGGAGAGATAAAAGGAAGTATTTCATGTAAAGGTAAAGGGACCCCTGACCATTAGGTCCAGTCGTGACCGACTCTGAGGTTGCGGCACTCATCTTGCTTTATTGGCCAAGGGAGCCGGCGTACAGCTTCCGGGTCATGTGACCAGCATGACTAAGCCGCTTCTGGTGAACCAGAGCAGCGCACGGAAACGCCGTTTATCTTCCCGCCAGAGCGGTACCTATTTATCTGCTTGCACTTTGACGTGCTTTCGAACTGCTAGGTTGGCAGGAGCGGGGACCGAGCAATGGGAGCTCACCCCGTCGCGGGGATTCGAACCGCCAACCTTCTGATCGGCAAGTCCTAGGCTCTGTGGTTTAACCCACAGCGCCACCTGCATCAGGAGAGATAAAAGGAAGTACTTCATGTAGCAGATTGTTAATTTGTGGAACTTGATTCCACAGGAGCCAGCTTAGATGTCTTTAATAGAAGATAGCGCATACGAGAAATAAGTAAAATAACCAAGCAACTATTAGAAACCACCCCAGAATTGGCCTTACTAAACATTTTCCAAGACAATAATGCCGACTTACACCACAAAGAATAGGGATGCGGGTGGCGCTGTGGGTTAAACCACTGAGCCTCTTGGGCTTGCCAATCAGAAGGTTGTGGTTCGAATCCCCGCGACGGGGTGAGCTCCTGTTGCTCAGCCCCTGCTCCTGCCCACCTAGCAGTTCTAAAGCACGTCAAAGTGCAAGTAGATAAATAGGTACCACTCTGGCGGGAAGGTAAACGGCGTTTCCATGTGTTGCTCTGGTTCACCAGAATGCTGGCCATGACTGTGCAATGGGAAGAAATTCAACAACTGAAGCTTTCCCTCGTGATGTCTCTGTGCAGGGAAAGTATTCTATCTGTAATGCAGTTATTAAAGACACAAAAGCACTGCCTAACCTAATTTACAAAGTTGTTGTGATGATAATAATAATATTGAGCTCCTTGGAGAGATGGACGCTGTGTGTGTGTGTGTGTGTGTGTGTGTGTGTGTGTGTGTAAATGCGGCTAACCAACATTATCTGATATTTGCACGAATAATTCGTCTGTGGTGGCAGGTAGTTTGTAGAGCATCTTGGGAAATCGGGCATCTCAAGGTATTGATTAACTAACTTGAGCTGAGCTAATGGGGCCAGCCACCTACGAAAAGTCTGTCTAAGGCTGGCTTGGAGGTTTGGGGGCAAAAGGTTGCGAAAGCCCCTACCTGTATGTGCACTAATATATATCAGTCATATATAAAGAATGGAACAGAAGAACAGGGGCAGAAGAGACACTGTTGCTGTTTGGACACTGGACACCACTTTGAATCAAGATGGGGAACAGATGGGGAACCTTGGTATTATTTTGTCTATTTTTGTGTGTGTGCAAAGGTTCAAAAGTAGGGCATAACTACCCCAAAAGAACCAGGACAGTCCCTGCTTGCTTTTGTTGTTGTTTAGTCGTGTCCGACTCTTCGTGACCGCATGGACCAGAGCATGCCAGGCACTCCTGTCTTCCATTGCCTCCTGCAGTTTGGTCAAACTCATGCTGGTAGCTTCAAGAACACTGTCCAACCATCTCGCCGTCTGTCGTCCCCTTCTCCTTGTGCCCTCCATCTTTCCCAGCATCAGGGTCTTTTCCAGGGAGTCTTCTCTTCTCATGAGGTGGCCAAAGTATTGGAGCCTCAGCTTCAGGATTTGTCCTTCCAGTGAGCACGCAGGGCTGATTTCCTTCAGAATGGATAGGATTGATCTTCTTGCAGTCCATGGGACTCTCAAGGGTCTTCTCCAGCACCAGAATTCAAAAGCATCAATTCTTCAGCGATCAGCCGCCTTTATGGTCCAGCTCTCACTTCCATACATCACTACTTGGAAAACCATAGCTTTAACTATACGGACCTTTATTGGCAAGGTGATGTCTCTGCTTTTTAAGATGCTGTCTAGGTTTGTCATTGCTTTTCTCCCAAGAAGCAGGCGTCTTTTAATTTCGTGGCTGCTGTCATCTGCAGTGATCATGGAGCCCAAGAAAGTAAAATCTCTCACTGCCTCCATTTCTTCCCCTTCTATTTGCCAGGAGGTGATGGGACCAGTGGCCATGATCTTCTTTTTTTTTTTTATGTTGAGCTACTGCTAGCCGGAGGTTAATGTTGCACTATCATCGGTTATTCATTTAAATCTCTCCTCCAAACATTTCCTCCTCCTGTGATCAGGCGGGCTTTTCAGCTCCTTCCTAGGAACTGCTGTTAGGGGTAATGGTTATGGAAATCGAGGCCTTTTGCTTACCAAATTGTTCTCTGCGGAAGCTGATGGACCTGTAATTGGGGAGATGCGGGATGTCACTGCTACTAGAACCATTCTTTACCAACTGGAAATCCAAAGCAGGCAACTATATTTTTTTTTTCCAAGTAAAATTTTATTGTTTTCCTTACATATTCTTTTCCAACAAACCATATTAATGCCATACATTCCCTTTGACTCTGCCGAGTCGCGACTCCCCTCCCTCCCTGCAATTGGTATATTTAACCCCTTTCTATCGCTCACCTCATTCTCACAATAGTACTATTATACACTGAAGGTATTATGTCAATCCTGCTAGTGTCTTGACCTCTTTACAACTCTCCTTTAAATATTCAATAAATTTACTCCAATTATTTTGGTATCTTTGATCTTCCTGGTCCCGGATCCTCCCTGACAATTTGGCAAGTTCTACGTATTCTGTCAACTTCACCTGGTTGGTATGTCTTGTGTTTTCCATCTTTGGGCCAGGAAGGTTCTTGCGGCGGCCGTAGCATACATAAACAGATTTCTCCCATTTTGATTTCCATTCCTATTAAACCTAGTAGACACGCTTCCAGCCTAAATATTTTTTTGAGTTCATTATAAATTGATTCCCAAAATTTTTAACCTTATCACAGGTCCACCACATATGAAAATAATCCCCATCTACTATTTTACATTTCCAACATTTTCTTTCTCTTTTTCTATACATTTTAGCTAACTTTACTGGCGTCAAGTGCCATCTATACATCATTTTTAACAAGTTTTCCTTTAGAACCATACATCCTGTAAATCTCAAACCCTCCTTCCATAGTCTTTTCCACGCTTCCAATTCGATGTTATGCCCAATATCGATCGCCTATTTTATCATTGATTCCTTTACTTCTTCATCTTTTGTATACCATTCCAGCAATAAACTATATATTCTAGACAGCAAGTGGGCATAGCCAAGTCCTGGTTTTCCCCCATCCCAATGTAAAATTGATTTACAAATTTGATTACAGTTATCATAATTAAATTCTGTGGGGAAGAGGACTGCAGGGGTTACGGCTGTGCGGCAGTCTCTTAAAACCTGTGCTGCTAGCTGACAAATTTCACAGCTGTATCTTAATCATCCCAGCTCTAGCTTGGAGGCTGCTGGATTTGCCTGGGTAAAATCCTAAAGCAAACATATCCTTTGTCAGGCTTATTCTTCTCTGCATGTGACAGGGGGGTGGGTGGGTTCAGTTGCAACAGTCCTTGACTCACAAATGCTATTGTGCATCATTCGCCATTACCATTTCTGCTAGCAAGAAAGGGCAAAGTATCAGCTAGGAAGACTGACGTCGTAGCAAGCATGCTATTCATATTTCTCATGTAGCCATATTTTTAAAAACTTAATGTGCCTGCTAATATGCTCGTTTGCACATATCCCCTTACATCTGAAGGATAAGTCTGGTGCAAAACTTTGCACACGCACTTTACAGAAAACGTGTTGCTGGAATTAGTAGACTTGACTGAAGTCTAATATAAAATTGTACCTTATTGCCTTACCTATTCCAGCTGGAATCTAATATAAACCAGTACTGTATAGTCTCATCTGTAATCAGTAAAACACCATCTGTCCCCACTGCCCCTGAACTGCTTCACAGGATAGACGCACCATTGGCATATCTACAACTCAGTTTCACACTGGTTTACTGGTACCTGGGGGTTGTTGCTTGGTGAGAGCATTCAGTGCCAGATTTACATATAAGCTAAACAAGCTATAGCTTAGGGCCCCACTCTCTTGGGGGCCCCCAAAAAAATTAAAGGGAAAAAAACACTGGATGTACATTTCCAAAATATAAGATAAAAAACAAATAAAATAAAACCTACATACAGCAACAGTGTTTTGTGTTGTGTAGGCTCCTATGATGTAAGTCATGGGCTCCGCCTGCTAGCCTGCTCCCTAAAATATCCCTGGTTTGCTCATTTCTATATATAGGGTGCCTACATTCTGCATGGACTGGTTGTATGGCAACATGTAGCATGTAGCTGCAGACTGCAGTGCAGCACAGTTGAATGTAGGTCAACTGTTGAATGTAAGTCAAGGTGTTGTACCTGTTCTCTAATCTTAAAGAGTGCTTGTCAACTGATGATTCAGGCTGCATAGGCTAAGGGTATGAGTCTTTTGCCTTCTGATTGACTTCATGTAACACATTATTTATTTATTTTGATCCCATTATAAAATTACTTTAGGAAAATATTCATCTTGAGATACCTATTAGGTCCATAAATTACCATATAGCATATATTCAACACAAAAAACAGAGACAATTTGTTGTTGACAAAGGACAGTTGGGCATCTAAAGGGCCTCATTACCTTCAGTAGCTTAGGGCCTCATCAAACCTAAATCCGGCCCTGGAAATTTCCCGCTAGGGAGATCCCTCACTAAACTTCTGTTCCCTGGGGACAGAATGACAGTTAAACTGGTGTAAACGTGTTATGTACTGAGTTGAATAGGATCCAAAATGCAACAGTCTTATTGGTCCTAGAACAATAGGATTCAGAATGCAGCAGTCTGATTGGTCCTAGAACAATGCAGCAGTATGATTGGTCTGCAGGAGCCACCCAATCCAGCTTCAGATGGAAGTGAATCCACAACCTGATTGGCCTACAGGAGAATTCCGGAATTAGCCAGTCACGTGCAACCCATTGTGTAAATAATGTATATAAAGCAGATATTTTGAGGGGACTTCCATTCCTCCTCACCACTATGAGCTGAATAAAGAGCATGAAATCCACTCTCGACTCCGAGTATATTTCAAAATGTGTTCTATACTTAAATAAATGTAGGGCATCATCAGGAGTAAAACTTCAACTCTCAGGACCTAGAACATGTGTGCAGGAAATAAATCATGAAATAGCTTTGCTAGTAGTTATACTAGCATCCAGCATTCTGAGTTTCACAGCATATTCCTTCCCCTGCAATTTTATGAGCTTGGGGGTGGGGGTGTGGCAGTTTCTTAGGGCCAGTTCTTACCTCTGCTATGTGGCTGCTGCATATCTATGGTCTACTGTCCATTCACCATGGTAACCATTTTAATGAAGAGATTTCATGAAACAGACTGCTGGCATGGTTATTTTTGACATACACATAGCGCTTCTCTGGGGGGCAGCAGTACCGTCCCATTAACTTGTTGTTGTTGTTTAGTCATTTAGTTGTGTCCGACTCTTCATGACCCCATGGACCAGAGCATGCCAGGCACTCCTGTCTTCCACTGCCTCCCGCAGTTTGTTCCAACTCATGCTGGTAGCTTCGAAAACACTGTCCAACCATCGCGTCCTCTGTCGTCCCCTTTTCCTTGTGCCCTCCATCTTTCCCAGCATCAGGGTCTTTTCCAGGGAGTCTTGTCTTCTCATGAGGTGGCCAAAGTATTGGAGCCTCAGCTTCAGGATCGATCTGTCCTTCCAGTGAGCACTCAGGGCTGATTTCCTTCAGAATGGAGAGGTTTGATCTTCTTGCAGTCCATGGAACTCTCAAGAGTCTCCTCCAGCACCAGAAGTCAAAAGCATCAATTCTTTGGCGATCAGCCTTCTTTATGGTCCAGCTCTCACTTCCATACATCACTACTGGGAAAACCATAGCTTTTACTATATGGACCTTTGTCGGCAAGGTGATGTCCCATTAACTAGGAACCCCAAAATGTGGCATCCCCTCCAAACCTGTGCCAAAGTTTTGCAGCGAAAACCCTGCGTTTTGCGGAGCCCCACAAACAGAGCCATTGACACTCAAACCCAGAGGTCACAGGGTCACCCAAAACCCAGCGCCGTCCGATTCACTCCAAACCGGTGCCAAACTCTGGCAAAAGTTTTGCAGTGTGTGACCTGCCCTTATTGTAACAAGAATGCATGGTGGGGGTGCAAGAGGGAGCAGGACTCCCATACCTTAAACAGGGAATTTCAACAGGTGTAACTTGTCATTCAATAATTACAATTATTAAAGGTGCAAGAGCCCTGACTTCTGCATCTAGTCGTCTTCTCAGATATAGTGCATTGCAGCCAGAGCTCTGTGTGACATGCTTTCATTACTAAGCTTTCCAAAATTTTCCAGATGCTCATCTAACTGGCTTCAGAATTACACAACAGAAACTTACTGGATATGTTCATAGTTTCTAGCACATTCGGTTGTTAGGATATTCCAGCTACCAGAAAACATGCCACTTTGATTACACGACTATTGTTGTTTCATTTAAATAAATAATAATAATAATAATAATAATAATAATTTTTATTTATACCCCGCCCTCTCCAGCCAAGGCCAGGCTCAGGGCGGCTAACAAGCAATAATAAAAACAAGTTGAATGATTACAACTTAAAAACAAGATTAAAATACAACATTAAAATATTGAAACATTAAAGTATTAAAATGCAGCCTCATCACAGGAGGAGAAAGGAAAAAGAAAAATGAAAGAGAGGGAGGGAATCAAATTGGCTCCAAGCCAAAGGCCAGGTGGAACAACTCTGTCTTACAGGCCCTGCGGAAAGAAATCAGATCCTGCAGGGCCCTGGTCTCATGAGGCAGAGCGTTCCACCAGACCAGAGCCAGAGTTGAAAAGGCCCTGGCTCTGGTTGAAGCTAATCTAACTTCCTTAGGGCCCGGGACCACTAGGGTCTTGCTGTTAATGGACCTTGAGGCTCTCCATGGGGCATACCGGGAGAGGTGGTCCCGTAGGTACGAGGGTCCTAGGCCGTGAAGGGCTTTGAGAGATCAGAGGTTCTCAAAGCTTCATTTTGGTGGTCAGTGGCATGCCTGTGTCAAATATTCGTGTGGATTTTTAATTGTATTTAAATGGTTTCTTTTATTATTTTATTCTGTATTTCACCTTCCTGCCATCTGAATTCTCTGGAATTCAACTTGCAAGAAACGCAATATGCAAGAAATCTAAGCAGCTATAAGAATACAATTAAAAATCATAGAGCAGAAAAATTGTTACAAAACTATTAGCATTTTTTCCAAGTGGTCTGTGGCAGGGGAAGTTTGAGAGCCGCCGGTATAGATTTGGCAGACAACATTAAGCATGGACCACACGGAATATCGCACCGTCACTTTCATACAACTCACAGAGTTCCACTTTTTATTTCCTCAGGGAAAGAAGACGTTCCACTTCTTTGAATAAAAGGGGAGAAACAAAAGGAGCCTTTTGTAATTCTGGGGCTATTAGTGACAGATGTCATTATGTGAACCGAACACCGCTAAGCAGCATCTTCTGTCTTTCCCCAACAGCTGGCTTGCTGTTACACCTGAAGAAGTAATTAGAAAGGGAGGTCAGAACACTAATTTGCTACACACAAGTCCTCCCAGAGAAGGTATTGCCATCACAAAGGGAAAGAATAGAACTCTTAATCCAAGCAAAGGGGAACTGTCCACAATTTTTCACTCGGTTTGCTGGCAGCTCAAGGGCGACCTTTAACCTCTTCCCACCAGCCTCTTAAAAGAAGCTACAAGGTTCAAATGAGGAAAACAGAATACTGTCAGGATACAAAATGTTGAGCACACTTGTCTTGACAAAAGTGGTGATTATTCCGATTCCCAAGCTCTATGTTTCTTTCAGGAGCTTTGAAAAAGGCCACAAATTGTGTTTGCTATATGGTCACTAGAAGACATTATATATGGGTTTTTAAAAGAAGAAGAAAAACCCTCAAAACCGGGGAGAGGAGGGACTGGAATGGGAAGCTGTTTTAGAACCCAGTGAGGAGAATGCTTTCGACGAGAGGTATGCAATTGACTTGATAAATGTTAATAAAGCCAGCCTTTCAAAATGCACCCAAGATGTAGTCAATTTGATGCCATGTGGAAACATCAGGTTTGTACCAAAGCTGAGTTTGTTGAGCGGATTTAAGAGTGCAGTTTTTAAAAGTTCCTCATAAAATGATTTTTAAAAAACAGAACTCTCTGCTGATGGGTTGGTTTATGAGTTAAACTGCTTTGATAAAGACTCAGATGATTCCCCCTGCTAATATTTTGGTCTGCCAAATAATCTTGCAATATATGGGGTATGAAATTCCTGCATATCTAGAGATCCCTTCTTAAGAGCAACGCTCTCAGTAATCATAGTTGATAGTAAGTTGGCAGGAAAGAGCTTGACTTCTTCAGCGGAGAAAAGTTCCTTCTTTCCTTCTGCACCGCAAACACTCTTGCTACATTTGACACTATCTGAGAGGCTTAGATGAATTCCAGGAACAGCAAAAAAACACCCCCCAAAAAAACAAACAGTTTTCCTGGCCATCACAAGGATCCAGAGGCCTGCAACCATTTTTCAAAGAGTTCTTTGTTTACAAAATGGCATTTGCACTGGGAACTTGTTTAGCTAGATTCTTGCCTTACAATTTCCCAATTCACCAAGTAGAAAAGAAAGCAGATAGAGTTTCGATGGTAAAAGAAAAAGAAATCAAAAGCAAAATCCCTGTCTGCTTCCAGAATAAAAAAACGGAAAATTATATGTCCTGGAGCTGATATTATAGAAGTAAGGAATGCATTTTTGGAGATATGGCTATCAATACACCATTCATAGTTCGAGACAAACAATGAATGAGGCAAAAGTTCTGCTTATGGCAAGGAGAAGTTCCACACATGGAATCTCGAGGTCACAGTTCGCCACATCAGAGTTAAACAAACCACTGATTGTTCCACTTGAGGAAGGTTTTAGAAGCATGCCCAATGCAATTTCAGTTTATAGCTCACCACAAGCAATCTGCAACTGGGGTGAAAACAATTGGCTCAGCAGGTCTTCACAGGTTCTGTGAATCGACTCTCATTACTGTACACACCAGGCTCGGAGGGGTGTGTGTGTGTGTGTGTGCGTGCTTTAATCCGATACACACAACCAGATTTGTTTCACTGTGCCAAAAAACACACACACACACCCTGTTGGCAAAGCTGTTCACACACTGTCATCTGTGCATGCACAATGGCTGTCTCAAATGCACATGTTGTTGTTTAGTCGTTTAGTCGTGTCCGACTCTTTGTGACCCCATGGACCAGAGCACGCCAGGCACTCCTGTCTTCCACTGCCTCCTGCAGTTTGGTCCAACTCATGCTGGTAGCTTCGAGAACACTATCGAACCACCTCGTCCTCTGTCATCCCCTTCTTCTCCTTGTGCCCTCCATCTTTCCCACCCAACATCAGGGTCTTTTCCAGGGAGTCTTCTCTTCTCATGAGGTGGCCAAAGTATTGGAGCCTCAGCTTCAGGATCTGTCCTTCCAGTGAGCACTCAGGGCTGATTTCCTTCAGAATGGATAGGTTTGATCTTCTTGCAGTCCATGGGACTTTCAAATGCACATACCTCAGTTTAACTGAGAAGTGAATGCGGCTTACGTTTTCAAATCAGATGGAAGCTGGTTTGAGCGGAAACGGATCAGAGAGTGGCATTTCTCAAGAAACTATAGGATAGATGTGGATCGTGGCTAAGGTCATGTGTACTCTACATCGGCCACCAGCGGTGGGAACACACTGGAACCAAAGTACAGTGGTACCTCGGGTTAAGTACTTAATTCGTTCCGGAGGTCCGTTCTTCACCTGAAACTGTTCTTAACCTGAAGCACCACTTTAGCTAATGGGGCCTCCCGCTGTTGCCGCCACGCAATTTCTGTTCTTATCCTGAAGCAAAGTTCTTAACCTGAGGTACTATTTCTGGGTTAGCGGAGTCTGTAACCTGAAGCGTCTGTAACCTGAAGCGTATGCAACCCAAAGACCACTGTACACTGTAATGTGTACACAGCCCCAGCAAAAGGTGCTTCCTCAGAGGAAACTAAAATTATTCTTCAAAATATTATTATCTAGGGCCCTAAGGCATTTCCTCCCAACCTGGAGCCCTCCAGATGTTTTGGACAACAATTCTTTTTGCAAACTGCTTTTGAGATGTGTGTTTTCACGGTAAGCGCTATATAAATTTTATTAAATAAATAAATTCCCAGCAGACCTGGGCAGCACTGACAGGGACTGCTTGGAGCAGGGGTCAGCAACCTTTTTCAGCCGTGGGCCGGTCCACTGTCCCTCAGACCATGTGGTGGGCCGGACTATATTTTGGAGAGAAAAATGAACGAATTCCTACGCCCCACAAATAACCCAGAGATGCATTTTAAATAAAAGCACACATTCTGCTCATGTAAAAACATGCTGATTCCTGGACCGTCCGCGGGCCAGATTGAGAAGGCAACTGGGCCGCATCCAGCCCACGAACCTTAGGTTGCCTACTCCTGGCTTGGAGTCATCCTTTGAAACAATCTGGAGAGCTCTGAGCTGGGGAAACCTGTCCCGCAGCCTTTCTTTGAGCAGAAGTTGTATAGCTGTTTTTCAAGTTACTTGTAAATTGTCCCTAATGGGGCAAGCAGATGCTTAAAGAATTGTTTACATTGGGGGAAATGGCTCCAAGAGGGTTAAAAAGAAACAACTTCAGTCTTGATGCAATTTATTCACACATGCCCACATACCACATGGATTGCTTTTTAATAAATAAAGTGAGGCAAACATCAATCTAATTTAGTTAGGTCCTCAGTTGCAGCAGACGATCTACCCAACTTTTCAAAGCTGTGCAGATAAGTTGCAATCTCCCCATACTCAGATTGCAGCATTTTGTTTCTGGGAAATGAGATGAAAATTAATCACTGTTATAAATCCGAGTTTGAAAGTGCTAATATTGTATGGCCAACTGTGTGCCCGTAGTCGCGAGAGACAATTTCATCAATTGCATTTCTTCCATCTGTGTAATATCCTACTAATCCACTTCATGAATGCAAAGATTTAAATTTTTGCACTCTTGGATGTATCTTCTCTATTTTCTAGGGAAGGAGAGAGGCAAAACATGCAAGAGAGCAGCTAGGCAAATTTCTTTCATGCCCTGTCAGTTCACAGGGACATATGAGTGCATCCACCAGATCATTTGAATTAAATAGTCACTATTTTCTGAACTGATGTCGCTGTTCCCCACATTACATGCTACATTAAACACAATTCTGATAATTTGTGAAAGTGCCTGTAAAACTATAACATGAGATGGTGCCTACAGCTTCATTGGGATTTCTGTATTTTCTGGCGTCAGCAATTTCTGTCTTTCTCTTCCCACCCCAAGCCTGGTACTTGAAGTCTAAAATGTCTGACTGATCCTTTCTATGAGGGATATCACTCAGTTCAATTCACACTCTACAGAAGGACTCTTCACAATGCACTCTGAAAAACCCCAAGGCAACACATTCATGTTGGGGAGTATAGCATACAAACCTATTTTTAAAATCTATTTCAGGGCATTTAAACCCAGCTTTGTAGTCAACACGGCTCCCAGAATAACTTATACTGTATAAGGTCAACAGAAACAAAGGTTGCAATCTAAGAGACACAACACAAAAAGACAAGGGGGTGAGGAGGGGAGAGGAAAAACAAGCAACCTCAAGCACCAGTTCTTAAAGTTTGTTGCTCCTGCCAACCTAGCAGTTCGAAAGCACATCCAAGTGCAAGTAGATAAATAGGTACCGCTCTGGCGGGAAGGTAAACGGCGTTTCCGTGCGCTGCCAGAAGCAGCTTAGTCATGCTGGCCACATGACCCAGAAGCTGTACGCTGGCTCCCTCAGCCAATAAAGCGCGATGAGCACCACAACCCCAGAGTCGTCCGCAACTGGACCTAATGGTCACGGGTCCCTTTACCTTTACCTTTAACTGATCCTAATAGTATTTGTAGGAACTGGATGGAGAGAGAAAACTTTATCTGGCCAGCATGTGACCATGGGCATTTAATTATTCCATTGTTGTTATTTGAGTAATTAGATACAGATGACTCATTGTGAGTTCATTGGATCAAATGGTGGTACCAATGGATCTTCTTACTCTTGAAATCTCTTGGCAGTTTTTATTCCCTCCATGTTTCAGTGTGGACTTATTAATATGTATGCATAGATGCTCAATCATTAAAAATCCTTTGCACATAAAAATCCATTTTTACAGAACTTAAATAGCTAGAAGGAATTGCACCCTCTGCTACTCAAAACATGTTAGTGATTCATTTATATATGAAAATATAAAGTCCATGTCCACATCACATAGCTCAGATATATATTTCAACTTTCAAGTCTTCTTTTCCCACCCTGTCCCTCAAAAGGGTATTCAGAATAAGCATTTCAGTATGGAAAGTGAAATGTCTGAGTGAATTGATGTTAGTCAATTTAGTAAAACTAGAACAAATCAATGAACCACCCAGGAATCTAATGCTCTCAGTATTCCCACCGATGGCTCCACAACATCAAACAGTATGGAAAACATTTTCAAGGTAAGCCCTCTGTACTCGGAAACTGGTCCCTAAAGGCAGAAAGATATAACTTTCTTGGCCTACCTGTTTCAAGAAAGGTTATGGTCTGCATTCACAATAGGATCAAGTTCATGCATAGCTCATGAAAATGCATCTTGAAAAAAGGCTGGATTGGCCACAGTCTTCTCAAGAAGATGGGCAGTTGGGAGAGATGGAGCTGACCATTGGATACATGGGACATTTGTCCGAGATTGGTGGCCTGCCAAAAGCACCGGGACACAGGCTGCTGAGCCTTCTTACAGCTCCCGTTGACCTGTGCCAATTTGCAGAACTGCTGCCCCTCCTAGTTCTTTTAACTGGTCAGGGTGGGGGCTGGTCTTTTGAAATATGGAACAGAAATGATAGGGAAATGGTTAACTACACACAACATGGCTCCCCAAATCAACACAGACTGTGGAAACTTCACACTGGACTTCAAGCATCTGGCATTGTGTGCCTCCTGATTCTTCCTCCAGACTCTGGGTCCTTGGCTTCCAAATGAGATGCAAAAGCTGCTCTGATCAGAAAAGAGATTTGGGGAGCCATGTCATCAGCTGGTGTTGGTTCACTGTGCTTCATTAAGTCCAGGGTCAACGCAGCCATCTACCAGGAGATTTTGGAGCACTTCATGCTTCCTTCCGCAGACGAGCTTTATGGGGATGCTGACTTCATTTTTCAGCAGGACTCTGGCACCTGCCCACACTGCCAAAAGTACCAAAACCTGGTTCAATGCCCATGGGATTACTGCGCTTGATTGGCCAGCAAACTCGCCTGACCTGAACCCCATAAAGAATCTATGGGGCATTGCCAAGAGACAGATGAGAGACATGAGACCGAGCAATGCAGAAGAGCTGAAGGCTGCTATTGAAGCTTCCTGGTCTTCCATAACACCTCAGCAGTGCCACAGGCTGATAGCATCCATGCCACGCCGCATTGAGGCAGTAATTGATGCAAAAGGGGCCCAAACCAAGCATTGAGTACATTTGCATGCTTCTACTTCTCAGAGGTCCAATATTGGTCTATTTGCAATCCTTTTTTTGCTGATTTCATTTAATAGTCTAATTTTCTGAGATTGTTAATTTGCGGTTTTCATCAGCTGTATGCTATGATCATCACAATTATAACAAATAAAGGCTTGATATATCTCGCTTTGCATGTCATGATTCTATCTCATATATTAGTTTCACCTTTTAAGTTGAATTACTGAAATAAATGAACTTTTCCACTATATTCTAATTTTCCGAGTTTCACCTGTATTCTGGATCATGCAACTCACTTCTCTGGAAGCTTATGAAACAAAGTAAGTTGCTTTCAGTTATACAGTTGTACTTTGGTTCTCGAACTTAATCCATTCCGGGAGTCCATTCGACTCCTGAAACCGTTCGGAAACCAAGGCGCGGCTTCTGATTGGCTGCAGGACCTTCCTGGACTCAGGCAGAAGCCGCGTTGGAGGTTTGGCTTCCAAAAAATGTTCGCAAATCGGAACACTTGCTTCCGGGTTTGTGGCGTTCGGGAGACGATTTGTTCAACAACTAAGCCGTTTGAGAACCAAGGTACCACTGTACACTGGTTTTTATTTATCCATTAATTACATTTGTATAACACTGTTTTCTTTAAAAATAAATAAAACTATTTTATTCTTTTTTCCATAGAGAAAGTTACATTTGTTCCTCAACTATTATATTCCGGTTCAACAAAACTACTGACTTTCCACTCACCCAGTATTGATGTTTATAACTCAAATTACATTTGCAATTCATTTTAAGGTTCTGTCTTACCTAATTTTATCCTCTCCAACCTGTTTCTTAATATCTCCTGCTATTTTCTTACACTTCAAACCCTGCTGTGGTCTTCGCATATGGGAAATAACTTTTTCAATATAGACTTGAATAATTTGTATCGCACCGTTTTCTAAGTCCCCCATTTTTTCCTGACAACAATCCTCTGAGACGAGCAGGTCCAATATTCTTCGTGACTTTAAGGGGAACTGAACTTCTCCACCTTTAAAACATTCTCCCTGAAGTGGTGATGATCAAGTATCAGGGTGAATGTAACCGACTTAAGACAAATCCCCAAAATGTTAAATGAGTTTCTAAATGGAATGTAGGATAGTTTTTTCCAGTATGGAAGGTGTCCGTCCTATGTAACAAAGCTGGATTTAAGTGATACCCACTATATTAAAGATTTTCTTGTTTTACAGAAGTAAGTGTAATGTCTCTCGTATTTTTTCCATGTAACATTTTTACAAATCCGTTTCATTTGTTGAGACATTAAGGGGAGGGGTGGAGGGAGGGAAGATGGGTAGGGTGGCGTAGGGTAGGGTGAGGTCGGGTGGCGATGTTTCTATTATGCTTAATGTATATAGGGTTTGGTGTCAGCGTTGCTTGTGCTGTTCACTTGTGTTCCTTTGGTGGTGAGAGAGGTTGGGGTTGGCCTAGGGTGTGGTTGTTTGTTTGTGATTGGCTGTGGTGATCTTTGTTTTCGTGTGTGAGTGGGGTGGGTGGGTGTTTTGGATAAGGTTAGCCATATTGATTTGTATGCTGTTGGTGGCTTATTGTCATTGTCTTGTTGGGCTGTGTATGTGATAAAGGGGAGCCATACTGGGGTAAAGGTGTCTTCTTCTGTTTGTCCCCATGTCAGTTTATTGGTTAATTTTTCCAGTAGGGCTGTTTCCCATACTATTTGGTACCATTGGTCCATGCTTACAGGTCTCTCCAGTGTCTGGTTATGGTGTTTCTGGCTGCTGAATGTAGGTGGGTTATGAGTTCTTTGTGGTGTAAATGGGCATTGTTGTCTTGGAAGATGTTTAGTAGGGCCAATTCTGGGGTGATGTCTAATACTTGCTTAGTTATTTTACATATTTCTCGTATGGCTGTTATCCAGAATAGTTGGATTTTGGGGCACTCCCACCACATGTGGATGTATGTGCCTGTGGAGGTGCATCCTCTCCAGCATTTTGGTGAGGTTCCTGGGCGTATTAGTGCTAGTTTTCTTGGTGTTAGATACCGCCTGTAGGTGAGTTTCAGAGTGATACCCACTATATAATTGTGGTTGTGTAGAGGAGGTGTGGAGAACTTTTGGTCCTCCAGGTGAACTTCAACTCTCATCATCCCTAATCATTGGTCAAGCTTGCTGAGACTGATGGAAGTTGTAGTTCAGCAATATCCGGGGGACCTAAAGTTCCCCACACCTGGTATATTAAACGTAAAGGGACCCCTGACCATTAGGTCCAGTCGTGGCCGACTCTGGGGTTGCGGCGCTCATCTCACTTTACTGGCTGAGGGAGCCGGCGTACAGCTTCCGGGTCATGTGGCCAGCATGACTAAGCCGCTTCTGGTGAACCAGAGCAGCGCACGGAAACGCCGTTTACCTTCCCTCCGGAGAGGTACCTATTTATCTACTTGCACTTTGACATGCTTTCGAACTGGTAGGTTGGCAGGAGCAAGGACCGAGCAATGGGAGCTCACCCTGTCGCGGGGATTCGAACCGCCGACCTTCTGATCGGCAAGTCCTAGGTTCTGTGGTTTAACCCACAGCGCCACCCGAGTCCCAACCTGGTATATTGGAAGGAAGCAAATATCTGGAGAGGGGATTGCTGACCAGGCCTTATACCCTCGATTTAACAAATCTGCTTCATAGTGAGGAGAATTCATTTGGGTGGGTCGGCTATAACAGTCGGAAGCCTGAACTTTGCTCATAGCCCTTTTGAGGTAGCAGTTTCTGGCAACGATCCGTAGCAGACAAACCTTCCCAGACAGTGCCAATTTAGACTGCGGCAGGGGAAATGGATTGTGGCAGATATTGCTGCTATACACCCCAAGCTCCCTGCATGCAGAATACAAGCAGCAGAGAAGTCTAGATCAGAGTCCTATTCCCTGATATGCTCCTTTTCTGTTGCATGTGATGGGACTCAGGGATCAGCAAACTTTTTCAGCAGGGGCCGGTCCACTGTCCCTCAGACCATGTGGGGGGCCGGATTATATTTGGGGGTGGGATGAACAAATTCCTATGCCCCACAAATAACCCAGAGATGCTTTTTAAATAAAAGCACACATTCTACTTGTGTCAAAACACCAGGCAGGCCCCACAAATAACCCAGAGATGCATTTTAAATAAAAGGACACATTCTACTCCTGTAAAAACACACTGATTTCCGGACCGTCCGCGGGCTGGATTTAGAAGGCGATTGGGCCGGATCCGGCCCCCGGGCCTTAGTCTGCCTACCCATGGGTCAGAGGATCAAGGAGAACATTCAGATTTGCAAATGCTTCTGTGATATCTGCAAAGATAAGGGTGCACTGTGTGTTATTTCTAAATTTGTAGTGTGGTCCTCTGTTCTTGGGAATTCTCTGCCGAAGTTGGGGTGAACGTGAGAATACACAGAGTGCGCACTGAGGTGTCCCGAATAATCAAAATGTACACCTCCAGTTAAACTGAACGTCACAATGCGTCTTATTCAAAAACTTCTAGACAGCCTCAAAGGTTAAAACAAATAGTCTTTACTGCTTTCTGAATGTCACTGTTTTGAAATCCGGATCTGACTTCCCTTCAGAGGTGCTAAGCACTATGCACAGAGTTAAAGGGAAATCCGAAAGCTCTTTTGGCAGTATCTGAAAATCAGATGCAAGAAGCCTCTTGGAGCTGCGTGTCCCCAAAGTTGTCACTTTTATTCATTCAGCTGCCACCCGTATTTTATCCTGATTTAGGATTCCCTCGCCCCCCCCCCCCAGCTAAAGACAGAAAGTCCTGATTTACACCACGGTTAAAGATCACCGCCTCAAGTTTTGTCTTGGGGCAAATGGAGGTATCCTTGTTCCCTAGCTACAACGGGGAATGTACCGTCATGATTTAAAAAACAACCACCCCCAAAACAATACAAAGAACCGCAATCCATTGTGCTACTAGTGCTAAGGTTGTGTGTGTGTGTACGTGTACACACCACCCTTCCTATATCCAGACTTTCTGTGAAGCCCGGGTATTTTGGAAAACACAGCCCCGTTGTTTAAAGACGAAGTAATGAGATTAATATATACGGCAAATTAGAAGGAAGCAAGGAGATCGGGGCGAGGGGAGGGCAAAGGAAGCAAGCTCTTTCCCTGTTAAATATTTACCACTTGTGTTGAGCGCTGGCTCTTGCCTTTTGGTAATCCTAGAGGTGGTTAGTTTTGTGTCAGTAAGGATGTGTGTGTGCGTGTTAATGTATTCCTCCCTCCGAACCCACCTTGCATGGGAAAAGGCCGTGGTAACAAAAAGCAGACTGTTCCTTGTTCATGAATATTAATCGGTAAACTCCCCCTGGTATTTTTAAATTGGAGGCGAAAACTCTCCCTCCCCGCTGCTCCCCACTCAGGCAGGCCCAGAGCAGGAAAGCTCTGAATGTCCTGGGAAAGCCATAGAGTTCCCTGACTTCCCAGGCAATGCCATATAAAACTCCGAGGTCACGGGGCCAGCGAAAGAGGTGGAATCAGCTTTGTCTCTGCTGTGTGTTGCTGAAAGCTAAACCTTTATGGAACATTCTGAGCTGCATTTTTGGCTATTTAACCTTCAAAACAAAAGGCTTATTTATTCCCTCCCGCCACCCTCTCCCCTCAGACATTCGCCTTCATCTAGGGTTTCCCCCCCTTTTCGGTCCCACGTTGACAGCGGCGGCATACGATGGAAACCTCCTTGCCTAAGGCGCAGGCCTTGGTCAGCGACATTAGCCGCTGCTTGCCCTAAAAGGAAGGGTGATGTGCTTTTTAGCACTCCTCTCTTCCACTGCCTCCTGCAGTTTGGTCAAATTCATGTTGGGAGCTTCGAGAACACTGTCCAACCACCTTGTCCTCTGTCGTCCCCTTCTCCTTGTGCCCTCAATCTTTCCCAACATCAGGGTCTTTTCCAGGGAGTCTTCTCTTCTCATGAGGTGGCCAAAGTATTGGAGCCTCAGCTTCAGGATCTGTCCTTCCAGTAAGCACTCAGGGCTGATTTCCTTAAGAATGGAGAGGTTTGATCTTCTTGCAGTCCATGGGACTCTCAAGAGTCTCCTCCAGCACCATAATTCAAAAGCATCAATTCTTTGGCGATCAGCCTTCTTTATGGTCCAGCTCTCACTTCCATACATCGCTACTGGGAAAACCATGGCTTTAACTATACTGACCTTTGTTGGCAAGGTGATGTCTCTGCTTTTTAAGATGCTGTCTAGGTTTGTCATTGCTTTTCTCCCAAGAAGCAGGCATCTTTTAACAGAAAAAACTTCCTGCCCTCTAAATCAGTTATCCTCAATATTTCCCCACTGAGGTCAGACTATTAGCCTACATAGGCAGTTGGGGGCCTATTTGTTTTAACCATACATTTGTACGATGGCTGTGTTGCTGCTGTGACCCACCTTTCGATCAGGCTGTGACCCACCACTTGAAAACCAATGCTGTACATGTTTTGGACTACTATTCCCATCATCCATTAACCCTGACCATGCTGACCCATGCATGTAGGGTTGCCATACGTCCGGAATTTCCTGGACATTGCCGCTTTAATGCCCTGGAACATGTGGACTTATGGCAACCCATATCGGAAGTGTAGATTTGGGCAAATTTCCTTAAAAATAGCTGAAAAACAAAAAACGCTCAACTACTTTGGCCAAAAAGAAAAAAGGGCCGGGGGTGTGTGTGCTCAATGACTTTGCCAAAATGAAATCTGAAATATGGCATGTTATTTGTCTAGAGTAATAAAACTGAACACACGCACACACACAATTGTTCCATCTGTTAACGGAGAAATATGTGGGCTCCCTTGGACAAAAAACAAGGACACCAGCCAGGAATACCAGAGCAAAACAGCAGCCAGTAGGCTTGGTCTTTATTGAAGACTGTCGCGACAGGACTCCCACCTGCCACAAGGTGGAACAAGATGGAAGTCCCAAACAAAAGAGTTCCCAAACTTTTATTAGCTGCTAATCCCCATGTTAAAGTAAAGGTAAAGGGACCCCTGACCATTAGGTCCAGTCGTGACCGACTCTGGGGTTGTGGCGCTCATCTCACTTTATTGGCCGAAGGAGCCGGCGTACAGCTTCCGGGTCATGTGGCCAGCATGACTAAGCCGCTTCTGGCGAACCAGAGCAACGCATGGAAATGCTGTTTACCTTCCTGCCGGAGCGGTACCTATTTATCTACTTGCACTTTGACGTGCTTTCGAACTGCTAGGTTGGCAGGAGCTGGGACCGAGCAACAGGAGCTCACCCCATCATGGGGATTCGAACCGCCAACCTTCTGATCAGCAAGTCCTAGGCTCTGTGGTTTAACCCACAGTGCCACCCCAAACTACATCACTCATACATCACGGTTGCATCATGAAAGGGGAGGTCTGGTGGCAGTAATCTGAGCATCCTGGACCCTGCCCCATGGTTCTCCTTGCCCTCCACCAAACACCCATCAAGTGTAACAAAAAATCTATTTACATTTCCCTGTTTCCCAGCCAAGTTAATCACACCCTTTTGTCTTCATCTGGGTTTGTTATTTCTGGAATGGCTACCTGTCTGGCACTCAGGTATCAGGATGCCAGGAATTATCCCTCAGGCAGAGGGGCTGCTGAGTAGCTAAGCTCACATGTCTATATGAAGTTCTGAAGTTTTCCCAGTGAGCCAGTACATAGATACATTTATCAGTGAATTCTTACATTTAGTATCATGCAGCAAAGGCCCTTTGAATAGATAGGAAGAAACTGTGATGAAGTGTTTTGTGGGGACAAATCACAAAAGTCACAAAAGTGATTGTGCTGGTTTTGGTAGTGGGCTGCATGTGCATGATATCTGCTGGAGGGGCAACTCCCCCAACCTATACATAAATTCCTGCAACACTTCTTAGATATGTGATGCCGGATGTATAATTCTTATGGATATTTATAAACAGCACATATTCTAAAATTGGAACGATACAGAGATTAGCATGGCCCCTGTGCAAGGAGAACTCGCAGAAGCATTCCATATTTTTAACCAAAGGGAAACTTTAATAAAAATTATCACAAGCAAACCAAACAAAGAATTGTTGATGCTGGAGACAAAAATAATCTGCGAAGGATTTTTGAGGACGAAATAAACGTCGGTTGCCTTAGATAGCAGATAGCAGCCGTCAGATTTCGAGCAATGAGACATATTTGCTTGTGTATAAATAGCTACATTATGCCCTATTTACATTTTTACAGTGCTTCTCAAATTGCCTGATCCTGTGCCTCTGCCTGTCTGTGTGTCGCTGCTCCATTGAAATGCAAACAACGCAAGGATGGAATGCATTGTTGATTTACCAGGAAAATCGCCCATAGACAGCCATTGTAGGAAGGAACAATGTTTGTTTGAATAGCATCCAGGGGGATGTTGGGTTGCAGAACGCATTAGGAGTAGGTTCCTTGACTTTTTCCTCCTCCTCTTATTTTATTTTTTTAAGTATTGTGGCATCATAAGGCAAGCATCAACCTGCCACTAAATTTATTTATTTATTTGTGCTGCATCTTATATTGACGCTTCAGAATTCTGCTTCTAGCATCATAAACAAGGTTAGCCTAACGTAGTCATCTCTTGCTAGCTTCGTGGAACTACAATCAGACTTACAGAATTACCAGCTTTCTACCTTAGCGTTGGAAGATGTCTATAATGCTGCCGCCCTGGGCACACACACAAATGCACCAGCTTTTATTAGAAAGCAAGGCAGGAAATGTAATAGGAATGTAGCGTTGCATAACTGGCGGATACTGGCACATAATAACTTTCACTTGAGGCTGCATATTACATCAATTGCAGAATAACCAAAATCTTGCAGCAAGTCTCTCTCTCTTCTACAAACACCAAACGAGTGCAATGGCCCAAAATTGCCTTCTTTTTGCTGCAAATGTGTGTTATTTGGTACTGCAAGAGCCATCTATTGGTTCCAGATCATGAGTTTACGGCATGAATTTCAAGCTCAGCAGGCAGTGGCTGAGAGTCTTATTTCTGCTTATTCTCTTAGCTCTGAGGCTAGGAGAATATTTGACTGTGGGCTCCTACAGATGACCTGTTTATTTGTTCGTTTCTTTATAGTTCCATCCCACCACACCTCTAAACAGCTCAAGGCGGTCTTCATGGTTCTCCCCCACCCCATTTAATCCCCAAAGCAACCCTGTGAGGTAGGCTAGGCTGAGAGACTGGCCCAAGATCTCCCAGTGAGTTTTGTGTCTGCGTGTGAGATTTGAACCCTGGTCTCCCAGGTCATAGTCAAATATTCTATGAGCTCAAAGCTTACATAGGGGTTAGATTACGGCAGGTCTTTATTGAGCCTTCGTCCCGATTTGTTTGAGGTAAGGTTATATGACAATGAGCACTTGTCCCAAATTCATCCCAGTTTGCTTCCTCAGTGGTTATACATATTTTTGTTCACCATTTCAATCCTGCACATTTCCCTCCTCACTTTCCTAACAGCAAAAGACCATTGGGATTTTTTTGTAAGTGTATTTGCTCTGTCAGGACAACGGAGCGCTTTAGTCCACTTTAAGTGTGCACACCTAAATTTCCACTATGCCTTTGAAACCCTCCTGCAAAATACTTACCGAAAGTGGCTCATGAGAGCATTGCTTCCCTCGTGAGAGCCAGCGTGGTGTAGTGGTCAAGAGCGGTAGACTCGTAATCTGCTGAACCGGGTTCGCTTCCCCGCTCCTCCACATGCAGCTGTTGGGTGGCCTTGGGCCAGTCAAACTTCTCTGAAGTCTCTCAGCCTCACTCACCTCACAGAGTGTTTGTTGTGGGGGAGGAAGGGAAAGGAGATTGTTAGCCACTTTGAGACTCCTTCAGGTAGTGATAAAGCGGGATATCAAATCCAAACTCCTCCTCCTCCTCCTCCTCCTCCTCCTCCTCTTCTTCTTCTTCTTCTTCTTCTTCTTCTTCCCAATTCAGGTCGGCGAGAAGAGATGCGCCACCTTTTTGAAACTAGGCGAGAGGAAGATGTTCATCACGTCAAGCAAAAAGAAGCGGGATAGAGAGAGACACACCTCTGTTGTTTCTACTGCAAAGATAAGAGGTGCCTGAGCTTAGCTGAACCACTAGAGAGGCACATTGCAAAAATTACGCATGTGTCTGCATCGATCCACATTTCCAGGGGTACTGTGCTCACAAACCCTGAATGTTCTGTACAGGAGAAATCAAACTGCAGAAAGCTGCAGAACAAAGCTTTTACCGTCAAATGAGAAAGAGGCAACTGAGGAATGATGCAATCCCTTGCATGCCTACTTTCTGTGGGAATGTTCAGGGAGGCAGGAGAGGATATATTGTTTTTTAATATCCTTCCTAACTTGCGCTAGCAGGTTCCTTTACTTAGCAGAGTTTCACATTCCCCCTTTTAAACGCACAACGGGTAGATGGTTGCAGGCTTGTGTAAGCCTCTCACTATTAGGTTCCTGGTGGCGCTGTGGGTTAAACCACAGAGCCTAGGACTTGCCGATTAGAAGGTCGGCGGTTCAAATCCCCATGACGGGGTGAGCTCCTGTTGCTCAATCCCTGCTCCTGCCAACCTAGCAGTTCGAAAGCACATCAAAGTGCAAGTAGATAAATAGGTACCGCTCCGGCGGGAAGGTAAACGGCGTTTCCGTGTGCTGCTCTGGTTCGCCATAAGCAGCTTGGTCATGCTGGCCACATGACCTGGAAGCTCTCTGCGGACAAACGCCGGCTCCCTCGGCCAATAAAGCGAGATGAGCGCCGCAACCCCAGAGTCGGTCACGACTGGACCTAATGGTCAGGGGTCCCTTTACCTTTACCTAAATTCCCTTATATCCCTCTTAAAAGAATAAACATGCCACAAGTAAAAAAGTAGTTTACTAAAAGTAGTTTACTTACATTCAGTTCACAGTTGGATCCCTGAAGGCAGACTTAGTATATACAAAGTATATACCAGTACATGTGGAGCTATATGGGGATAATCCCAGTGTCCTCTGTTGTTTGGAAGCCAACAGAGCATGTCTAGCTAAAAAGCTGCTCCAATGACAGAGAAAGTCAAAAGGGGGGTGGGCTGCGTCCCCTGTTCTTTTGTTATCTGGACAGGTAAGGTCACGCCCACCTCTAGTCACATGCAAAGGAAGTATGTCCCAGCCAGGAGGAAACAGGAAGTTTTTGACCGGCTGGACCAAACATTCCCTGCATGTCCACTCTAGGAAAGCAAGGAATGTTGTACTTGACTGCTACTTATGTATCACATCCCACACTATCACTGAGTTCAGTGGGGCTTACTCCCAGGTAAATCTGCATAGGATTTTAATGTGGGCTGCAATCATATGCAAGCCTTGTGCTCCATGTCACAGTGAGGCGAGTAGCGCTTTTGCTCAGATGCCCAGCAGCACTCACAGTGAATGCATCTACTGTATCAGCCACAGCTGTTCCTGAGAGGGGAATAAGTGAAGAGGCTTCCTCTCTGGTTGGCAACGCATCTGGTTTTGGCTGGCATGTGCGTGGTCTCTTCCACATCCGTCTGCTTGGCTTCGTTGTGGCGATGCGTCAACTTGCAAGCATTCCATTGCTGCATCTGATCTTCTCTTGTTCCTCTGGAGTTGCATAAGAAGTCCTAGGCCACAACAAGCCCAAAAGGAACAATTTGCAAATAAACGAGATTCCAGGTTTTAGAGTGAAGGCTCTTTTGCCTGCCAAGAAGTGAACCTGCAAACGGACAGGGCTTGCTTTCAGTGTTGATAAGCTGATGGGCACTGGCTGCAAGCCCCACTTGCAGAGGAACAAGCTGGAGCCAACTTTAAGCTTTCAATGATTTCAATGTAGTCACATCCTTGCTAGTCCCATACCTGATGTCACATATAACATCAGGAGCAAGCCAGGGGGGCTCTACCTTTTTTGATCATCGGTTTTCAGACCCGCAACATGGCAATGCGGAGGGAGCAACCCTTGAAATATATTTGCAAAATGTTTTTGTGTGGCCCCATCCTTACATGTGGCACATGCCGGAAGGGTGGCTCTGTGGTCTAAACCACTGAGCATAGCTGTCAACTTACAGATTTGAAAATTAGGAACCAGCAGCCTCGGAAATAAGGGATCAGCAGCCAAAATAAGGGATTTTCAGAGCACAGGCATGTTCGACTTCTGAGCCCCTCCGAGCCAAAGGCAGAAAGCCCAGCCAGCAGCCAAAGGAAGCCTCAAGTGGTAGTTCCCACAGCGCAGCAACCCGGCAAAGGGGATGCAGCAAGGAAAACCACCGTCACCTCTCCGCTGGGAAGCACTGAGCAAAGGCAAGTCCCCAGGCAATGCGGCTGATTTGATCGGCACAAGGCATGCAAGCGCCATCCTCCAGTCATTCTTAGACTCCTTATTGGGTGAGCAACGCAGCCAAGCAACACAGTTGGAGCCTCCCTCCTCCCTGGCCAGCAGGGAGGGAGGGAGAGGAGCTGCTTCCTTTGAAACCCAGGAAATTTAAGGGACATCATCAATAAGGGACAGCAGCCGGACATGGCGCTGGAATAAGGGACTTTCCCGCCAAATAAGGGACGGTTGACAGCTATGCCACTGAGCCTCTTGGGCTTGCCGATCGGCGGTTCAAATCCCTGTGACAAGGTGAGCTCCTGTTGTTCTGTCCCAGCTCCTGCCAACCTAGCAGTTCGAAAACACACCAGTGCAAGTAGATAAATAGGTACTGCTGCGGCGGGAAGGTAAATGGCGTTTCCATGCTCTCTGGTTTCTGTCACGGTGTCCCGTTGCGCCAGAAGTGGTTTAGTCATGCTGGCCACATGACCTGGAAAGCTGTCTGTGGACAAACGCCGGCTCCCTCGGCCTGAAAGCGAGATGAGCATCACAATCCCATAGTTGCCTTTGACTGGACTTAACTGTCCAGGGGTCCTTTACCTTTTTACTTTGAAGGGTGTGCATTGCATTAAACCAAGCGCTGAATGAGTCCCAATCTGTACTATTGCAAGGGTGGTTGAAATGCAGCTCACCATTGCATCTGAGTGCTGTTCATGAAGGAACGTTAAAGGGCTCAATCTAGCCAAAGTTTAACACTTGAACATCCCATTGATTTCTGCGGGATTTGTGAAGTTCTTAGCTTATGTGCCCAAAATCCATTGCTCTGCTCCTCATCTCCTCCTTCCTCTCTTAAATGACAAGATGTTTCTAAAGGTACCTATTTATCTACTTGCACTTTGACCTGCTTTCGAACTGCTAGGTTGGCAGGAGCAGGGACCGAGCAACGGGAGCTCACCCCGTCGCGGGGATTCGAACTGCCGACCTTCCGATCGGCAAGCCCAAGGCTCATTGGTTTAGACCACAGCGCCACTCACATCCCTAAGATGTTTATACCATCTTTTTAAATCTGCCATGAACCTCAGTGAGGTCATCTGCCTGCCTGTGCCTCCTTCCCTACCACTGTGTTTCAAGCTGCATTTTTGCATTGCCTTATATACCACAGTAGGGACGCGGGTGGCACTGTGGGTTAAACCACAGAGCCTAGGACTTGCCGATCAGAAGGTCGGTGGTTCGAATCCCCGCAACGGGGTGAGCTCCCGTTGCTCAGTCCCTGCTCCTGCCAAACTAGCAGTTCGAAAGCACATCAAAGTGCAAGTAGATAAATAGGTACCGCTCCAGCGAGAAGGTAAATGGCGTTTCCCTGCGCTGCTCTGGTTCGCCAGAAGCGGCTTAGTCATGCTGGCCACGTGACCCGGAAGCTGTACACCGGCTCCCTCGGCCAATAAAGCGAGATGAGCGCCGCAACCCCAGAGTCGGTCACGACTGGACCTAATGGTCAGGGGTCCCTTTACCTTTAACTAATATGCCTTTGGGAAATCTCTTCCTTTTTAAAGAATGGACACAGTCCTACGTTGCCAGAGGAGCAGGTGTGAGAAAAGTAAATCCATAGCCAGAAATTTCCTTTTCTGAAGAACTGCTATAGTAAAATGAAAACACTGCAGGATTCGAATTATGAGCAGCAGAGTGGATGCAACCGTAAGTGAAAGAGAGGATATATGTATTAATATGTTATATAAAGCAGTTGGTACAGGGTGGGGACAGAAACACAACGCAGGTAAGGGTGGGAAGTCAATTTTTTTAAACAAAAAAGGTATGTTGAATTTTAAGTAAATTTAAGTTTTCGAAATTAATAAAAACATTATGGGAGGGGGAAGGTGGGGAGAGAACTCTGTTTCTCAGCGGAGTAGCTGCTCTCTGCATTGTGATTCGTTTTCTGCCCACGTGCATAAGAATGGCCGCTGACAGGTGGCTGAGGAGTTGTCTGAATAGCTGCAATTGTCTGGATATCAAAGGGATGAGGCAGCAAGCAGAACCGGGAATTAAAAAGACGGTGGGTGATGCCAAATTGGGAGGGGAGGCGGGGGTGGTGGAGTTCGGCTCAGTGAATTAGCCACCTCCTTCAAAGACACCCCCCCCTTTTATCTCTGCCAGTTACACCGTCTTGGCATCTAGGGAGGCATCTAGGGGTCTTCCAAAAGTGATGCTAGAGAGCTATTTGGGGGGCCCCTAGAGATGTATTGGGACGCGGGTGGCACTGTGGTCTAAACCACAGAGCCTAGGGCTTGCCGATCAGAAGGTCGGTGGGTCGAATCCCCGCGACGGGGTGAGCTCCCGTTGCTCAGTCCCTGCTCCTGCCAACCTAGCAGTTCAAAAGCACGTCAAAGTGCAAGTAGATAAATAGGTACCACTCCAGCGGGAAGGTAAACGGTGTTTCCATGCGCTGCTCCGGTTCGCCAGAAGCAGATAAATAGGTACCACTCTGGCGGGAGTGTAAATGGTGTTTCCGTGTGCTGCTCTAGTTCACCAGAAGTGGCTTAGTCATGCTGGCCACATGACCCGGAAGCTGTACACCGGCTCCCTCGGCCAATAAAGCGAGATGAGCGCCGCAACCCCAGAGTTGTCCGCGACTGGACCTAATGATCAGGGGTCCCTTTACCTTTACCTTTTAGAGATGTATTGGGACACGGGTGGCACTGAGGTCTAAACCACAGAGCCTAGGGCTTGCCGATCAGAAGGTCAGCGGTTCGAATCCCCGTGACGGGGTGAGCTCCCGTTGCTTGGTCCCTGCTGCTGCCAACCTAGCAGTTTGAAAGCACATCAAAGCGCGAGTAGATAAATAGGTACCACTCTGGCGGGAAGGTAAACAGCGGCTTCAGGATGAGAACAGAAATCGTGCGGTGGCGGTGCGGTGGCAGCAGGAGGCCCCATTAGCTAAAGTGGTGTCTCAGGTTAAGAACAGTTTCCGGTTAAGAACAGCCCTCCGGAACGAATTAGGTTCTTAACCCGAGGTAGCACTGTACTTTTGTAAACCAAGAAATCTTCAATAAAAATATGTTTCAAAACCAAAAACTACAGTTACCAGGATACTTTGGTGGAGGAAGTCATGTGCTTCAAATACGCTTTAAATGTATGGTGTGGGTACCAACCACAGATTGAGAAGACCCGGGTTCAAATTCCGCCTCCATCATGAAGTTCTCTCTGGTTCGCTCTGTGCCAGCCAGAATTTCTCAGCCTAACATTCTCCACTGGTTTGCTGTGAAGATAAAATGGGAGCACCATCTATTTGTTAAGAGTGCTTTGGAGGAAGGGCTGAATATATACAATTTTATTTTTATTTTTAATTCCCATCATGCTTACATGACACATAGCACTGTCTCGGCTTTTGTTGACTCTGTGAAGAATTGTCTGGGAAAAGGCATCAAGCTACCTCCATTGAGCCCAAGTCGAAGAGGAGAAACTGTTCAAACTGCTGAGGTTGGCACTGCCCTTGGCACTAAAATAATTGGTTAATCAGTGCCTTGCACTACTTGCCTGACAAGTTTGGCAGAGGGTTTCCACGAAACCCCTTAGGAAAATAATAATTATTTGCCATCAAAGGGCTTAGCATGCACCCTTTGGATTTTGTGGCATCCGAGCCAGAACATTTGCTATTCCTCCCTTCGTCATGTTAGGTGTCAAATTGCCACCCACTCCTGCTGTGTCTCTGGCTATGTTTCTTCGCCCACCCCACCCTGAATCCTGGAAACTGTAGTTTACCCCTCACAGAGCTATAGTTCCCGGCACCTTAACAACCTGTCATTCCCAGATTCTTTGGAGAAAGTAATGTGCTTTAAATGTGTTTCACACATACCTTGTGTATGCAGCTTTTGACTTCTAGGGAGTTCCTGCTGACCTCTATCAAAGGAGCCTCTTTTCTTTTTTAAAAATAAATCTTTTTTATTTAAATTTAAATTCAAACAATAAACATCATCACCACCATTTAGGATTTCCTGGATCCTTTAACTCCCCTTCACCCTTCCATGGTAGTGATTTTCAATCTTTTCCCACTGTTTCCCTTATTTTCTCTATTTTTCTTAGTTTTTAGTACATTACAAACATTACTAAAGTTTTGAGTTGTTTACAGTGTTCTCTTAAGTACATTGTGAATTTTTCCCATCCCTTCTCAAAGGTCTTCTCTTCCTGGTTTCTGATTTTCCTGGTCAATTTCGCCATTTCGACGTAGTCCATCATCTTCATCAGCCATTCATCGCTGGTCGGGACTTTATCTTCTTTCCATCTCTGGGCCAGTAGTATCCGCGCTCCTGTCGTTGCATACAGAAATAATCGTTTCTGCTCTTTTAGCATCTCCGCACATAAAATTCCTAGTAAAAAAGCCTCTGGTCCCCCCCCCAATGTTATTTTAAACATTTTTTCCAACTAATTATATATCCTTTCCCAGAATGCTTTTGTTATCTTGCATGTCCACCACATGTGGAAGAAGGTGCCTTCAGTCTCCTTACATTTCCAACATACATTTGAAGCAGTTCTATACATCTTTGCTAGTTTTATAGGTGTTAAATACCACCAGTACATCATTTTCATGAAAAGGGAGCCTCTTTTCATGCAGTTGTTGGAAGCCCTGAGGCATCCTTGGCACTGTCAGGGCAAGAATTTGAGGAAAGAGCTCAGGGCGAGACTCAATAAAATGAGGAGGGCCCCCCCTGCAAGACACTAGCGCCGACTTATCACATTATGGCCCTTCCCCTTCTTGCCTTTTTGTGTTGTGTACCAGTTGTGTACCAGTTGGGCCGGCACCTCTTCCCCTTCCTTGCGTGTCCTGCCAATTCACGACATGAATGGACAATTCATGCCATGAGCCAATGTAAACAGAAAGGGAGCAAGAAGAACAGTCTCCTGCATTGTGGATCTTTAAGGGGATGTTTACATGGGGTGAGCTCCTGTTGCTCGGTCCCAGCTCCTGCCAACCTAGCAGTTCAAAGCATGTCAAAGTGCAAGTAGATAAATAGGTATCACTCTGGCGGGAAGGCAAACAGCGTTTCTGTGCGCTGCTCTGGTTCACCAGAAGCGGCTTAGTCATGCTGGCCACATGACCCGGAAGCTGTCTGCGGACAAACGCCAGCTCCCTCAGCCTGTAGAGCGAGATGAGCGCCGCAACCCCAGAGTCGTCCGCGACTGGACTTAACAGTCAGGGGACCCATTACCTTTTTACCTTACAGAGAGCTTGGAGACCCCTGTAGCACACATTGCTAAAACCGAAAGCTGGTGGCCGGGAAGACATGTAAGACAAAAGTCCAGCATCTAAAAGTACTTCAGCTTTAGCTTCTACTTTGCTGATCCCTCATAGCCGAGTAAGATTGTCTTCCATAAACACGGTTTTAACAGTGACTCCGTAAGTGACTGTGGAGGCCAATTCTGGATCCACACGTCCTTCCACAATGGAGACATAGGTTTCCGGGCAGGAGTTGATCACGGTGAGGGTTTCCCAAGTGTGCCTTCCTCTTAGCGTGTTTCTCCCTTTTGTCCTGAGTTTGAGTGTCTTCAAAACCCATGACACCTTTGGTAAAGGCAGTTCTCTAATTGGAGAGCTCGCAGGCCAGTGTTTCCCAGTTGTCGATGTTTATATTCCTTTTTTTTTTTTTTTTAGATTTGCCTTGAGAGAGTCTTTAAACCTCTTTTGTTTACCACCAGCATTACGCTTTCCATTTTTAAGTTTGGAATAGAGTAGTTGCTTTGGAAGACAATAATCAGGCATCTGCAAAACATGACCAGTCCAACGAAGTTGATGTTGAAGAATCATTGCTTTGACACTGGTGATCTTTGCTTCTTCCAGTACACTGGTGTTAGTTCGCCTGTCTTCCCAGGTGATGTGTAAAAATTTTCGGAGACAGTGAAGGTCCTGTGTGAGTGCCTGGAGGCGGTTGGAGGATGGATGGCGGCTAATGGATTGAGGTTGAATCCTGACAAGACAGAAGTACTGTTTTTGGGGGACAGGGGGCGGGCTGGTAGGGAGGACTCCCTGGTCCTGAATGGGGTAACTGTGCCCCTGAAGGACCAGGTGCGCAGCCTGGGAGTCATTTTGGACTCACAGCTGTCCATGGAGGTGCAGGTTAATTCTGTATCCAGGACAGCTGTCTACCAACTCCACCTGGTACACAGGCTGAGACCCTACCTGCCCACGGACTGTCTCACCACAGTGGTGCATGCTCTAATTATTTCCCGCTTGGACTACTGCAATGCGCTCTACGTGGGGCTACCTTTGAAGATGACCCGGAAACTACAACTAATCCAGAATGCGGCAGCCAGACTGGTGACTGGGGGCGGCTGCCGAGACCACATAACACCGGTCTTGAAAGATCTACATTGGCTCCCAGTACGTTTCCAAGCACAATTCAGTGTTGGTGTTGACCTTTAAAGCCCTAAACGGCCTCGGCCCAGTATACCTGAAGGAACGTCTCCACCCCCATGGTTCTGCCCGGACGCTGAGGTCCAGCGGCGAGGGCCTTCTGGCGGTTCCCTCATTGCGAGAAGCAAAGCTACAGGGAACCAGGTAGAGCGCCATCTTAGTAGTGGCGTCCGCCCTGTGGAACACCCTCCCATCAGATGTCAAAGTGATAAACAACTACCTGACATTCAGAAGACATCTTAAGGCAGCCCTGTTCAGGGAAGTTTTTAATGTGTGACATTTTAGTGTATTTTAGGTCTCTGTGGAAGCCACCAGAGTGGCTGGGGAAACCCAGCCAGATGGGCGGGGTACAAATAAATTGTTGTTATTATTATTATTATTATTATTATTATTATTATTAATTATTATTATAGAAAGAATAATAATTAATAATTATTATAGAAAGAAGATTCCACCTAAACATTAGGAAGAACTTCCTGACAGTAAGAGCTGTTCGACAGTGGAATTTGCTGCCAAGGAGTGTGGTGGAGTCTCCTTCTTTGGAGGTCTTTAAGCAGAGGCTTGACAACCATATGTCAGGAGTGCTCTGATGGTGTTTCCTGCTTGGCAGGGGGTTGGACTCGATGGCCCTTGTGGTCTCTTCCAACTCTATGATTCTATGATTCTAAGTACTTGGGGGGACAGGAGGCGGGCAGGTGTGGAGGACTCCTGGTCCTGAAGGACCAGGTGCACAGCCTGGGAGTCATTTTGGACTCACAGCTGAACACAGAGGCACAGGTCAATTCTGTGTCCAGGGCAGCTGTTTACCAGCTCCATCTGGTATGCAGTTTGAGACCCTACTTGCCCATGGAGTGTCTCGCCAGAGTGGTGCATGCTCTAGTTATCTCTTGCTAGGACTATTCCAATGGTCTCTATGTGGGGCTACCTTTGAAGGTGACCCAGAAACTACAACTAATCCAGAATGCGGCAGCTAGAGTGGTGACTGGGAGCGGCCGGCGAGACCACATAACACCGGTCTTGAAAGATCTACATTGACTCCCAGTACTTTTCCGAGCACAATTCAAAGTGTTGGTGCTGATCTTTAAAGCCCTAAATGGCCTTGGTCCAGTATACCTGAAGGAGCGTCTCCACCTCCATCGTTCTGCCCAGACACTGAGGTCCAGCACTGAGGGCCTTCTGGTGGTTTCCTCACTGCAAGAAGCCAAGTTACAGGGAACCAGGCAGAGCGCCTTCTCGCTAGTGGCACCCGCCCTGTGGAACACCCTCCCACCAGATGTCAAAGAGAAGAACAACTACCAGACTTTTAGAAGACATCTGAAGGCAGCCCTGTTTAGGGAAGCTTTTAATGTTTAACAGACCATTGTATTTTAATATTTTGTTGGAAGCCGCCCAGAGTGGCTGGGGAAACCCAGCCAGATGGACGGGTTATAAATAATAAATTATTATTATTATTATTATTATTATTATTATTATTATTATTATTTCGAGGAGTTGGAGATGGCGTTTATAAGTGGTCCACATTTTACAAGCATACAGTAAGGTAAGGTGAGTAGTACAACTTCGGCTACACTACTCGGGGTCATAAGAGGAGTCAGCACTTGGCGGCTCCTCTCCACGCCAGCAAAACTCTCTGAAAAGTGGGGGATGATGGTGCAGGGAGGAGATGCTGAGCAGATGTCTCCTCCTTTGTGGCTCACAGGGTCTTGTGGTGCAGGCAGGCTCTCTGCTCCTGCTATCAGCTCCCACAGCATCATCATAATTAAAGAAGGGAGCAGGTTCCAGCAGTCTGGAAGTTAATGGCAGGACAATTTGTTTGGGGTATAGCAGCCTTGAGGCAAGCAGGGCCAGCCCAAGACAGTTTGGCACCTAAGGCCACAGACGAGGAACACAGCAGTGGCACGAATCCCACAGTAATGAATATGATAGTGAATCACTAGTGAAATCATTTGGCACCCTTTAAAAGGTACCTGAAATCCACCAGGAGGCTGGAGAAGTGAGCTACTGAGTAGCTAAATTGTATATACCTGCTGGTTTATTGAAATAATAATAATAATAATAATAATAATAATAATAATAATAATATACCAAGTAAATAATAATTTACTTGGCCAGTAAAGCGAGACGAGCGCCGCAGTCCCAGAGTCAGCCACAACTGGACCTAATGGTGAGGGGTCCCTTTACCTTTACCTACGTTTGTGGTATGTGATGGAATCCATCCCGAAAAATGGTCTGGAGGTATCACAATGAAGATGGTGAACGTAATGGGAAAGGTTTTCGAACATGCAAAAAAGAATGCACACATTATGGTTGTTATTGTTGTTTATATGCCATTGGTTGCATCCAACTAACGTGCATTCCAAGCAGATCCAATTAAATTAATCCAAGCTAGGGTTGCCATATGTCCGGAATTTTCCAGACATAGCCGGCAATCAGCCATCGGAAGCAGTGTCCGGGCAGAAATAATTGAAACGTCCAGGAAAATCTGGACATATGGCAACCCATGTCGGTAGTGTCGTTTTTGGTGGTTTTCATTAAAAATAGCTCAAAAAATCATTTATTTTTTTTTGAGATTTTGCAAAAAAGAAGCAGCAACTTCGGGCAAACTATTAAAAAAAGCCCAACGACTTTTCACTTTTTGAAATACGGCAACCCCATCCAAGTCTCTCATGTGCATTAATTTCAATGGGACTTCTCTACGATTAGCATTGGGTTCAGGCCCCTTATCTTTTCCTTCTCTCATTAGGCCAGAAAAATGCCTCCAGCAACTGGTTAGCTTTGAGCTATGTGCTCAGGGAAGATTTCTTGAAAATGATCTCTTAATTGTCATGGTGCTTCCTGGCAGACAGATGGCTGGCTTATTACCGCACACCTTTCACTAGAAGTGAATCTCTTGAAAGTGGCTCTCTTACTTAGTCATGTAGGAAACATTAATATCTCCTCTGCAAAGGGGAGTTTGACGCTTTTTGTACTCAAGCCCAACTAGCCGCATCTCTTAAAATAAATAAAAATGCTGATAGCATCACATGCAACAACTGGATGAGAGGAAGAAGATGCTTCTGCCAGATGTTGTTTCTCAGAAAGGAAGTTACCCGGATTTGAGCAAGCTGTTCTACTGGGAATGCTGGCGGAAGCCAGTTGTTTAGGGTAAGTGATTGTAGGGTTGCCATATTTTGAAGAGCAAAAAAGAGAACACATTTGCCAACTTCTACTTTTAACTATGGATCGCTATGATGACTCTACCCAGTGCTTTTTTTCTTTCCTTAAAAAATGTTTAGGGGGTACTCTCATTTTCCTACTCATATTGAAATACTGCCCCTCAACGAGGCCAAACTTAGATTCACAAAATGTTTAAGGGTATGCATCCCCCCAGAAAAAAGCACTAGTTGTACCTTAATAATAATAATAATAATAATTTTATTATTTTATTATTTATACCCAGCTGATCTGACTGGGTTGCCCCAGCCACTCTGGGCAGCTTCCAACATATATAAAAACATAATCAAACATTAAACATGAGGAAACTTCCCTATACAGGGCTGCCATCAGGTGTCTTCTAAAAGTTGTATAGTTACTTATCTCCTTGGCTCGGGGGGTCGCATAACTAACTGCATACCCTGCAACATGTCTCCAATGAAAACAGGGGGGCAGACAGGGTTAAAACTGCAAGGAAACAAATCAGGTAAGAAGTTGTCATGGGACAAGAATCTTGTTCTGGATTAGCCACACATGCCAGGCTTATGCTGAGATTTGCTCCTGCTTGGCTAATTGCCTTGCCCGTGAAATTGCAGTTTACCTTTTTAATTCTTCAAAGTGATGCTTCTGTTCCTGTTTTCCACCCAGCAAGGAACCTGTGTGTTTCGCCTAAGGATGGAGACAGACTTGGGAAACAGCCGCTGCTTATGTTTTCAGAGGGCTGCTCCAGACACCCTGCTTATTGAGCATTCGTGCTACACAAAGTCTCCGCCAAGCTAAGCAGTTGGCTCCTTACCTCTCTCGCCCTGACCTAGCCACTGTGATCCACATGATGGTCACCTCCAGACTGGATTATTGTAACTCGCTCTACATGGGGCTGCCCTTGAGACTGACCCAGAAACTCCAGCGGGTGCAGAATGCCGTGGCGAGACTCCTTACGGGGTCTTCGCTATGAGATCACATTCACCCGTGCTATACCAGCTGCGCTGGCTCCGGGTGGGTACAGGATCACGTTTAAGGTGCTGGTTCTAACCTTTCAAGCCCTATACGGCCTAGGACCCTCGTACCTATGGGACCACCCTCTGTTGGTATGTCCCACGGAGGAACTTACGGTCTTCAAACAAAAACATCTTGGAGGTCCCAGGCCACAGAGAGGTTAGGCTGGCCTCAACCAGAGCCAGGGCTTTTTCTGCTGTGGCCCCGATCTGGTGTAACGCTCTGTCACAAGAGACTAGGGCTCTGCGGGACTTGACATCTTTCCGCAGGGCCTGCAAGACAGAGCTGTTCCACCAGGCCTTTGGTCAGGGCACAGCCTGACTCCCTCCTTTGGCAATCTTCACAGAACTTTTTGAGTTGAATTAATTTTATAAGGAAATGATTTTAGAATGTTGTACTATTTTATTGTTGTTAGCCACCCTGAGCCTAGCTTCAGCTGGGGAGGGCAGGATATAAATAAAATTTATTATTATTATTATTATTATTATTACATGGAGGTTAGACCAGGTCTGGTCTTTATAGGTTGTGATTTGTTTGCGGGGAGGTTATACGAGACGGAACGGTCATCCTGATTTGCTTCTGTGCTGTTTATAAGATCTTCTCCTTAATCAATCACCCCACACTTTCTAGTGCATCTCCACGCCATTTTCCTAACTGCAGCAAGTCTGATGTTCATTTGTTTTCAAGTGGATTTGTGGCACCGGGTCGGCAGAACAGGAGCCTAAATTAACGCTGCAAAGCTAAATTTCCAGTATGCATTTGAATTCCTCCTGCCGAATGCTGAGAGTTGACCAGAGAAGGCAAATCAGTCATTTTCATGCTGCTGCTTCCAGGCACCCTTCCTGCAATCCAATACCTGCATAGCATCTAAAAGGGCCTCATTTGAATGCCTACTTCCTCCCTCCTTTCCTAACACTGTGACCAGATGCAAAGTCTGTGGCTTCAAGAGCAGCCAAAAATACATTCCTTTCTCCCCAATTACTTTCTACACCACCTACGCCAGTGATTTTCAACCAGTGTGCCGTGGCACCCTGGGGTGCCTTGAAGGATGGTCAGGTGTGCCGTGGGCAACACTGGCCTCTGTCTCTCTTTCCTTCCCTCCCTTCTCTGATGCCTTCTCATGTCTCTGCCCATAGCTGTCAACTTACAGATTTGAAAATAATGGACCAGCAGCCTTGAAAATAAGGGACCAGCAGCCAAAATAAGGGATTTTCCAAGGAGGACAGTAATGTTCAACTTCTGAGTCCCTCCGAGCCAAAGGCAGAAAGCCCAGCCAGCAGCCAAACGAAGCCTCAAGCGGTGGTTCCCACAGCGCAGCAATCCAGCAAGGGGGATGCAGCAAGGAAAACTACCGTCACCGCTCCGCTGGGAAACGCTGAGCAAAGGCGAGTCCCCAGGCAACGCGGCCGATTTGATTGGCACAAGGCATGCAAGCTCCACCCCCCAGTCGTTCTTAGACTCCTTATTGGGTGAGCAACGCAGCCAAGCAACACAGTTGGAGCCTCCCTCCTCCCTGGCCGGCAGGGAGGGAGGGAGAGGAGCTGCTTCCTTTGAAACCCGGGAAATTTAAGGGACATCATCAATAAGGGACAGCAGCGGCACACGGCGCTGGGATCAGGGACTTTCCCGCCAAATAAGGGACGGTTGGCAGCTATGTCTCTGCCTCCCAAAGGCGTCTGCGGGTTCTTGCGGGCACACGCGCTAAACCCTGTCTGTGGTGCCTACCCTTTTCCCAAAGAATGAGACAAGAGACCAGAGTATGGGTTCAAATTGGCCACAACTTTATTGAGCTTCAGAAGTGGGAAACTTGGCACAGGCCTTGGCAGGTAACCCTCTCAGCCCATGAAATATACTCGGCGTCGAGAGTGGATTTCATGCTCTTTATTCAGCTCATAGTGGTGAGGAGGAATGGAAGTTCCCCCAGAATGTCTGCTTTATATGCATTATTTACGCAATGGGCCCCACGTGATTGGCTAATTCCGGAATTCTCCTGTAGGCCAATCAGGTTGCGGATTCCCTTCCACCTGGAGCTCGATTGGGTGGCTCCTGTGGACCAATCAGACTGCTGCATTCTGGATCCTATTGTTCTAGGACCAATCAGACTGCTGCATTCTGAACTGTATTGTTTTAGGACCAATCAGACTGCTGCATTATGAATCCTATTTTTCTAGAACCAATCAGACTGCTGCATTTTGAATCCTGTTCACCTCAGTACATAACAGCCCGTCTGGCTGAGGATATGCAGGCAGATGAGGTCCAGTGAGAGGGGACTGTAAAGCACAAACTTACACAGCATGCCCTTCCACTAACCTCGTCCCGGGAGTTTGACCTCCATGCCGCCGCTCTAGGGTCAGGGACTCCCAGTTTTTGCCCTTTAACGGGCCCTGCAAGCGCCACCACATGGGGAGGGAGCATGAATGCATCCCCCCCAACTTGATGTTAGACTAAAGGCGGCAGCCATTTTGAACGCGGCGATCTCGTGCGATTCTGCTCCGCAATTTCCTCCTGAAAAAGAGCCTTTTCCGGGGCCGTGATATTGCATGGCGCCGCAAAACACCCATTTTGGGCGCCGTGGCCGAAAAAAGCACTTTTTTGATGGGGGGAGGAATTGCAGCATGTGATCACAGTGCCCCAAATGGCCACCATTCTCTCATGAGAAGATGGCTTCCTGGTTTTTGCCTTCAAGATGTTGGAGGGTGTGCCTCCCATCATCCTTGACCATTGGGAGTTGGAGACCCACATACAGAGAAAGACAGCTTCTCACAGTGGATATTTTGCGCCTAAATATGATAGTCATGTGAGCCTAAAGTCTATCCACGCCTGGTATGGTCACCTATATCATGGCTTCACTGTGAAGCACCAAGCCTTGCAAAGAAGGATAGACATGAAACTGCAGAATCCCAGAAAGGAAAAGGTACTTCCTATTTTCAGAGAGACTGTCTGTGAATCCATCTCTAGTTTAGTCTATTAACCCATCTCCAGTTGACGCTATTGTCTCATACTCAAAAGTAGCCTAAGGCTGCATTCATCTGGCATTTTGCTCTTCCATGTTGCTTATTTTCATTAAAGGTTCAGGTTCACTAATCTTGTATTATAAAGAAACGTTGATCAAGCACCTATCCCAGGGGGCAGCAACCTTTTTCAGCCGTGGGCCCGTCCACCGTCCCTCAGACCATGTGGTGGGCCAGACTATATATTTTTTTGGGGGGGAAGGTCATGTGTACTCAACATCGGCCACCAGCGGTGGGAACACACTGGAACCAAAGTACACTGTAATGTGTACACAGCCGAAGCAAAAGGTGCTTCCTCAAAGGAAACTAAAATTATTCTTCAAAATATTGTTATTATCTAGGGCCCTAAGGCATTTCCTAGCAACCTGGAGCCCTCCAGATGTTTTGGACAACAAACTGCTTTTGAGATGTGTGCTTTCACGGTAAGCGCTATATAAATTTTATTAAATAAATTCCCAGCAGACCTGGGCAGCACTGACAGGGACTGCTTGGAGCAGGGGTCAGCAACCTTTTTCAGCCGTGGGCCGGTCCACTGTCCCTCAGACCATGTGGTGGGCCGGACTATATTTTGGAGAAAAAAAATATGAACGAATTCCTATGCCCCACAAATAACCCAGAGATGCATTTTAAATAAAAGCACACATTCTACTCATGTAAAAACACGCTGACTCCTGGACCGTACGTGGGCTGGATTGAGAAGGCGATTGGGCCACATCCGGCCCACGGGCCTTAGGTTGCCTACCCCTGACCTATGCAATTAAAGGTTAACTGTCTATCTGTCTCTCCTCCCCTGTAATTGAGAAGTGTGTACATTGCAGATGCTTCAAAATAGAGATTGTCAGTGCTTTTTTTCTGGGGATAAGTGTTATGTACTGAAGTTCTCACCCTGTGCCAGCAGGGAGATACTGTAAATAGTTTTCACTCAGGTCCACATATGCAAATAAGGGGTTGAAAGTGACGTTCAGTGATTGGATAGTTACAGAAAATGGTTACTGTTGTGTTCTAGTGGAGCTCTATATAAGCAGGCTGGCTGAAGCCTTCAGCTCAGTTCTGTTCTGTTCTGTGAATAAACAAGAGCTGTTTGAAGAATCGCTGTGTCGTCTGATACGTTCACCCACAACTTAACAGTACGCATAACCCTAAACATTTTGTGAATCTTTGTACTTTTTCCCTTTAACTGTTTAGCTGCAACCCAAATGTTTCTAAGCACGCTCCTGATTCCTGTGTTGCAGCCAAAAGCTGGTGCTTTTTGACTTTGGCATCTTTCTCCTGCTGGCAAACCCAAGCAGCTTTTCCAAACCCGGAAATGATGCTCAATTGATTTTTTCCCCAAACCTGTAGAAAGCTACGAGCCCTCTTAGATGCAGCTCCATATGATCTCCACTGTGTGACTTAATCCAATCTCTGGCACACACCTGCCAAGCCAAAGAAAACAAACTCTAGACTGCCTTCCTTTTAATTCTTTTTTTGCCCACCATGATCTTCCTTTTCCTGGGAAAATATCTCATTCAGGCTGCTTACTGAAGAAGGCCTTGGAGGAGGAAACTGGAGGCAAAAGAACATCCTCTTGGGTCATAAAATATGAGGAGTAAGCCCCCCCCCCACGCCAAATCTTACTCTTGGCTGCCCTGCGGCTTTTAATTAATATAGATTGTATCTATATCCATTAGAATGGTGGATAATACTGGAAAGAATTCCATCTCAGTGGGGTTTATGGCCCCCTTCCCTCAAGTCATTTCCAGATAAGAGATTATAATTGTTGCCGGAGTTTGCCTGGATCAGTGTGGTTCAAAAAGCAGTAATCCACTGTTGCAAATATGAGGCTCTATTTATTCAGGGAACAAATTGAAAAACAGGAGGCAAGGAAATGCCTGGTCATGTTAATTGGAAAGAAGACAATCCTCCACATTATAAAGTAGAATAATTATATAGTGCAAACACAGCTGCGGTTTGAGACCCTTAATCTGATTACTAAAGTGTTAGCAAGTAGAGTTTCCTCTGAGGAGCGACACACACATTCGTGGTGTCCCTTTCTTGGCTTGCGAGAATGAGACATCAGCTGCATAAATGAAATAAATTACATTTAAAATGAAGTGCAGTCCCTCCAGGAGTATGGCCGCTGCTAGCCTGTTCAAGAGAATGCCACAACCCCAAAGGGAGGAACGAGCTTCCCAAGGGTTGCAAATTAAAAGGAAATGTTGTTGTTGTTTAGTTGTTTAGTCGTGTCTGACTCTTTGTGACCCCATGGACCAGAGCACGCCAGACACTCCTGTCTTCTACTGCCTCCCACAGTTTGGTCAAACTCATGCTGGTAGCTTCGAGAACACTGTCCAACCATCTCATCCTCTGTTGTCCTCTTCTCCTTGTCCCCTCCATCTTTCCCAACATCAGGGTCTTTTCCAGGGAGTCTTCTCTTCTCATGAGGTGGCCAAAGTATTGGAGCCTCAGCTTCAGGATCTGTCCTTCCAGTGAGCGCTCAGGGCTGATTTCCTTCAGAATGGATACGTTTGATCTTCTTGCAGTCCATGGGACTCTCAAGAGCCTCCTCCAGCACCATAATTCAAAAGCATCAATTCTTTGGCGATCAGCCTTCTTTATGGTCCAGCTCTCACTTCCATACATCACTACTTGTTGTCTTTGTCCATGGAGTTTTCTTGGCAGGGATACTGGAGTGGCTTGCCGGTTCCTGCTCCAAGTAGATCACGTTTGGTCAAAACTCTCCACTATGACCTGTCCATCTTGGGTGGCCCTGCACGGCACAGCTCATAGCTTGTCTGAGTTATTCAAACCCCTTCGCCTCGGCAAGGCAGCGATCCATGAAGGGGTACAAGGAAATAGTTGCTTCTAATGCAGACGTTTGCCGGCATTCAGTTTTGCAAAGTTTTCAACAGGGATGGGGAACATGCGGCCGTCCTGTTGCTGCTGGGCTGCACATCCCATCACCCTTGACTGTTGGCCATACTGTCCAAGGGCTGATGGGAGTTGGAGCCCATCAACATTTAGAGGGCCCCATTTCTGGCCATGGAGAACATGATGTTACTACATTATAAAAGCTAGCCAGGTCTCAGCCTGTTTGGTACCTGGATTGGAGAGTGCTTGGGAGCTGCATGTAAGCCACTCTGAGTTACGCAGGTGGCGCTGTGGTCTAAACCACTGAGCCTATTGGGCTTGCTGATCAGAAGGTTGGCGGTTCGAATCCCCGCGACGGGGTGAGCTCCTGTTGCTCTGTCCCAGCTCCTGCCAACCTAGCAGTTCGAAAGCACGCCAGTGCAAGTAGATAAATAGGTACCACTGCGGCAGGAAGGTAAATGGTGTTTCTGTGCGCTCTGGTTTCCGTCACAGTGTTCCGTTGTGCCAGAAGCGGTTTAGTCATCCTGGCCATGTGATCCGGAAAGCTGTCTGTGGACAAACAGTGGCTCCCTCAGCCTGAAAGTGAGATGAGCGCCGCAACCCCATAGTCACCATTGACTGGACTTAACCGTCCAGGGGTCCTTTACCTTTTACCTTACCCCAAAGAAGAGGAGGATATAAGAGTTATAATTCATTAATTTGTAAAACACCACCCTTCGTTCAGTGTGCCATACCCTCCAACATTTCTTAAAATAGGGACTTCTTATTCCATTGCTGCTGCTGCTAATTTTTATATGTACTGTAAGCTGCCCAGAGTGTGTGGGGAAACCTAGCCAGATGGACAGGGTATTATTTGGGTTTGTTTGTTTGTTTGTTTGTATGTATGTATGTTTATTCATTCATTCATGCTCCACTCGTCTGACTGAGTTGCCCAAGCCACTCTGGGTGACTTCCAATATATATAAAAACATAATAAACTGTTAAACATAAAAAAGCCTTCCCTATACAGGATTGGATGCGGGTAGCGCTGTGGGTTAAACCACAGAGCCTAGGACTTGCCTATCAGAAGGTTGGCGGTTCGAATCCCCGCGCCGCAACCCCAGAGTCGGCCACGACTGGACCTAATGGTCAGGGGTCCCTTTACCTTTACCTTTATACAGGATTGCCTTCAGACAGCATGGGGGTTTGCATAACTTCATATCCTCCAACATTTCTCCGATGAAAATACAAACGCCCTAAGGAAAAGCAGGACATTCGGAGATCAAATCTGTAAATTTGGGACTGTCTCTGGAAAAATAGGGGCACTTGGAGGGTCTGGCTTGCACTCCCACTTAACAATTACACGAAAATTATGGGATGCGTGGGATATGGAACAGGGGGTATGTTTCAGAAGTGGTAAGAATTAAAAACCATAAGAAGGGAAAATGAGCATATGTCTCATTTGGTTGTGAGCTGATCTTTCTCTCCCAACTAAGGCCCGCACCCATTCTTCTAAGGAAGCTTAGCTTTGGCTAAAGTCATTGTTTCACCAATCCTCTCCTGCCCCCCCCCCTTCTCTCTTCCATAGCTGAGGTCTCTCTGGTTTCAAAGTCTTTCTGTAATTAGAAGGAACAGCTTAAATCCTGACTTCAAACATAAAGCCACCAATCTGCTATGTAAACAGAGAGCTTGAATGAGCTCCCAGGGGGATCTTTAAAATATGTTATCCTGACCCATGGCGGGAGGGGGGTGGGGAGAGAGAGAGAGCACAAATGTGGAGTAAATCAAGCCCTTTCGTTGATGTAGAGCTAGCAAGGAATCAGGCAGATCCAGGAGGCCAGGCCAGAAGCTGCCCTCCTGCCATATTGCAAGGGTCTCCAGCGCTGTAACAAACAGCTGAAAAACATCTGTGTAAAAGCTCAAATATACAGTGGTACCTCGGGTTAAGTACTTAATTCGTTCTGGAGGTCGGTACTTAACCTGAAACTGTTCTTAGCCTGAAGCACCACTTTAGCTAATGGGGCCTCTTCCTGCTGCCGCGCCGCCGGAGCATGATTTCTGTTTTCATCCTGAAGCAAAGTTCTTAACAAGAGGTACTATTTCTGGGTTAGCGGAGTCTGTAACCTGAAGTGTATGTAACCCGAGGTACCACTGTATCTGCACCCCAGAAGCATAACTAGAGGAAAGGGTGGGTGGGAAACAGGGTAATTTCAGACCCTCCAAGTGTCCCTGTTTTCCAGGGACGGTCCCAGATTTACAGAAAGCATCCTGGATTCTGATTTGATCCCGGAATGTCCCCGTTTTTCTTAAAGGTAAAGGGACCCCTGACCATTTGGTCCAGTCGTGGCCGACTCTGGGGTTGCGGTGCTCATCTCGCTTTATTGGCTGAGGGAGCCGGCGTACAGCTTCCGGGTCATGTGGCCAGCATGAGGAAGCCACTTCTGGTGAACCAGAGCAGCGCATGGAAACACCGTTTACCTTCCCGCCGGAGTGGTACCTATTTATCTACTTGCACTTTGACATGCTTTCAAACTGCTAGGTTGGCAGGAGCAGGGACCGAGCAACGGGAGCTCACCCCGTCATGGGGATTCGAACCGCCGACCTTCTGATCGCCAAGTCCTAGGCTCTGTGGTTTAACCCACAGCGCCACCCGCGTCCCATAGCGCCACCCACGTCCCATTTTTCTTAGGATGTCCCTATTTTCACTGGATAATTGTTTTTTTTTAAAAAAAAATTATTAAATTTTCCAACATACATTTATAGTATCCAATCTAAATTTATCACATACTTTCTCTTTTAGACTTCCTTCAACCTCTCCGACAATCATCCATTATTCAAAAAATTTTTTAGAGTGCTAAAAAATACTGTTAAAAGGTGGGGTTTCGTTCCTTAGAGACGTTCTTTCAAAAATGGCGGGTGAAAAGCCAGAGAAAAACAGTCTGTTGGATGAGGCCAATGTCTATTCTAGCATCCTGTTCTCACATTGGAGGACCAGATGCGTGTGGGAAGCCTGTGGTTCTGAGCAACTGGTATTCAGAAGAACTTCTGGTCAGCCACTGTGAGGACCACTGCTATGGAGAACACCTTCTTTTTCCTCTTCTTTGGAGATCACTTGTAGCTGAATAAGATGGTCTTCCATGAACACAGTTTTAAGAATGAGTCCATAAGTGACTGTGGAGGCCAATTCTGGATCCGCACGTCCTTCCACACTGGGGACATAGGTTTCCAGGCAGGAGTTGATAACGTTGAGGGGTTGCCAAGCGTGCCTTCCTCTTAGCACGTTTCTCCCTTTTGTCCTGAGTTTGAGTGCCTTCAAAGTCAATGATACCTTTGGTAAAGGCAGTTCTCCAATTGGAGCACTCGCAGGCCAGTGTTTCCCAGTTGTTGGTGTTTATACTACATTTTTAAAGATTTGCCTTGAGAGAGCCTTTAAAGCTCTTTTGTTTACCACCAGCATTACGCTTTCCATTTTTAAGTTCGGAATACAGTAGTTGCTTTGGAAGACGGTAATCAGGCATCCAAACAACATGGCCAGTCCAACGAAGTCAGCAACCACCAGAAATGCTGAGGGAGACTAACTCCTCCAGTTAGCACAGACCATTGGCTTATGCCACGGGTAGGCAAACTAAGGCCCGGGAGCCGGAGCCGGCCCAATCGCCTTCTAAATCTGGCTTGCAAACGGTCCGGGAATCAGCATGTTTTTACATGAGTACTGTTATGTACTGAAGTTCTCACCCTGGGCCAGCAGGGGGATACCGTAGATAGTTTTCACTCAGGTCCACATATGCAAATAAGGGATTGAAAGTGACGTTCAGTGATTGGATAGTTTCAGAAAGTGGTTACTGTTGCGTTCTAGTGGAGCTCTATATATAGCAGGCTGGCTGAACCCTTCAGTTCAGTTCTGTTCTGGCCTGTGAATAAACAAGAGCTGTTAGAAGAATCGCTGTGTCGTCTGATATGTTCACCCACAACTTAACAAGTAGAATGTGTCCTTTTCTTTAAAATGCATCTCTGGGCTATTTGTGGGGGCTGCCTGGTGTTTTTACATGAGCAGAATGTGTGCTTTTATTTAAAATTCATCTCTGGGTGATTTGTGGGGCGTAGGAATTCGTTCATTATTTTTTCCAAAATATAGTCCTGCCCCCCACAAGGGAGAATGATTTTGCTGTGATTATTGTAAAGCAGAGGGATGTGGGTGGCGCTGTGGGTTAAACCACAGAGCCTAGGACTTCCTGATCAGAAGGTCGGTGGTTTGAATACCCGCGATGGGGTGAGCTCCCGTTGCTCGGTCCCTGCTCCTGCCAACCTAGCAGTTTGAAAGCACATCAAGGTGCAAGTAGATAAATAGGTACCGCTCTGGCGGGAACGTAAGCGGCGTTTCCGTGCGCTGCTCTGGTTCGCCAGAAGTGGCTTAGTCATGCTGGCCACATGAGCCGGAAGCTGTACGCCGGCTCCCTTGACCAATAAAGCGAGATGAGCGCTGCAACCCCAGAGTCGGTCACGACTGGACCTAATGGTCAGGGGTCCCTTTACCTTTATTGTAAAGCAATTGGGAGCCAGGAATCTGTGCTGATCTCCTGCAAATTAGCAGGAGATGTGCTACTAGATCTTACATTTTTGCATCTATCCCAAATTCAACATGTGTGCCTTGGGTGGCTTTTTGTTAATTTTGTTTTCCTTCTCGTGTGTGCGTGCCTGCGTGTGTTTTCTTCTGTGCGTGTGTGCCTGCGTGTGCGTTTGTGCGATTCTTTCCCCAAATGTTTTTGGTACATTTTGTGAGCAGAAGCAAATTAAGCGAAGTCTTTCTCTCTCCCCCCTCCTTTGCCTTCCTCCTACTCACCGCAAACCTCAACATGATGAAAAACTGCTGAGAAACAACTCCCACAATTAATGATGAGGTCATACTTAGTTCAGCACCATTGGCTGCTTAATTGGCTGGCTCTATTACAGTTCCCCTTATCTGCTTGCCAACACGGCTTCTGACAAGCCTCATTCTGGGTAATTAATCCTGTCCCAGACTTCAGATTCCTGAAGCTGGGGCTGGTTTAAGGGCATGTTGCTGTGTGTAGCACATTCTCTCTGAAGTTGGGAGGTGAAGGTCTTCCTCAGACAGATCTCCTTGAAGAATCCCAACGTGGATCCAGATGGCAGAGCTGATGTCTGCGTGTATGTATACAGGCGTGCACACATTACTTCACACCCGAAAATCGGGGTGTAACCTCAAGGAAAAGGCACCCGGAACCCCAACATTCAGCTTCACTCCCCCCAAGCTTAGTAGGGGGTCAAGCAACACGGCCAAATGTCAACAACAGAGATGGGGAGGGGAGAAGCCCCAGATATTACGCCAATACACATTGTTTAATGAAGAGAAGCCTAATGAGACTTAATGATCCCTTGGGTAGAACATGGAAAGAATGAGCTGGAAACAAAATTGCTCAGTAGAGACAGCACGTCGTCGACACAGGAGACAGGAAAAGGAGTGGGTTCGGGGAAGCCTTTTGGCTTCAGGGCTGGGAACGCAACTCTTGGCTCGTGTAGCGATCTTGAAAATATAGCGCAGGTGACGTGGGTCACCTTGGCAGGTGATCTTCATTGAGGAACTGGACAGGGAACCGGGCACGCCTTTCTGTTTTGCTGGATCTCTTGGGGACTGCTATGTACTGAGTTGAATAGGATCCAAAATGCAACAGTTTGATTGGTCCTTGAACAATAGGATCCAGAATGCAGCAGTCTGATTGGTCCACAGGAGCCACCCAATCCAGCTCCAGGTGGAAGTGAATCCGCAACTTGATTGGCCTACAGGAGAATCCCGGAATTAGCCAATCACGTGGGGCCCATTGTGTAAATAATGTATATAAAGCAGACATTCTGGGGGAACTTCCATTCCTCCTCACAACTATGAGCTGAATAAAGAGCATGAAATACACTCTTGACTCGATTTCACAGTGAGTCCACAAGTGACTGTGGAGGCCAATTCTGGATCCACATGTCCTTCCACAGCGGGGACATAGGTTTCTGGGTGGGAGTTTATCACGGTGAGGGTTTGCCAAGCGTGCCTTCCTCTTAGCACGTCTTAGCACTCCTAAGTTGGAGCATCTTTGGTAAAGGCTGTTCTCCAATTGGAGCGCTCGCAGGCCAGTGTTTCCCAGTTGTCGGTATTTATACTACGTTTTAAAAGATTTGCCCTGAGAGAGTCTTTCAGCCTCTTTTGTTGACTACCAGCATTACGCTTTCCATTTTTTAAGTTCGGAATAGAGTAGTTGCTTTGGAAGATGATAATCAGGCATCCTCACAACACAACCAGTCCAACAAAGCTGATGTTGAAGAATCATTGCTTTGACACTGGTGATCTTTGCTTCTTCCAGTACACTGGCATTAGTTCGACTGTATTCCCCAGTGATGTGTAAAAAACTGCTTGGCAAAAAGGGGAAGTGGCCTACATCTAGAGACTTGCTGAGGGATCAAGAAGGGAAATGGAAATTAAAAGATTATGAGGAAATTAAAGATCATTTTCAGAGTTGGTTACACTATAGACAATTACATGAGATGTATAAGGAAGATATCAAGAAAGGGTTCAGTTACACAACTTCCAGATTTCAGAAGAAAGTTATAGAAGAAGAAGTGAAGCTGCTGAAGAAAGCATATAGTATTCTGCTAGAAGGGGAAACAAAAGACGAGGAGGTCAAATCAGTCATGATCAAATGGGCACAAGATATAGGACATAATATACAATTTGAGGACTGGGAAAAACTGTGGAAGGTAGATCTGAAATTTACAGAATGTTCACTCTTGAAAGAAAATTATATGAAAATGATGTACAGATGGCATGCCACACCAGTACAAATAGCAAAAATGTACAAAACCGGGTCAAATATATGTTGGAAATGTAAAGAAAAAGAAGTTACTTTTTATCATATGTGGTGGGAATATAGAGAAGTTAAAAATTTTTGGGAAATGATATATAATGAATTGAAAAAAAATGTTTTAAATGACTTTTGTAAAAAACAAACAAACCAGAAGCATTTTTATTAGGGATTGTAGGACAAGACCTGCTAAGAAAAATAAAGAACTTATTTATGTATGCTACAACAGCGGCAAGAGTCTTGCTAGCACAAGGATGGAAGAATGAGGAAATCCCAATGAAAGAACAATGGCAAGAAAAACTGATGAACTATGCGGAATTGGCTAAATTGACATACAAACTGCCATGACAAGGACAACTGTGACTTCAAGGAAGAATGGGAACTTTTTACAAACTACCTAAAAAGACCACGAAATGATCTGGACTCCTTGGCAGGTTTTGAATAAACATCCACAAATTTATTAGTTGAACATATGGTAGACAAAGCCAGAGTATGTACAATTTTATAACATGCAGAGAACAATATGTGTTAAAGAAACCAGAAAGGGGAGCTGAGGGAAGTCTTGGGGGGGGCGAGGGACGGATGGGGGGGAATAATGTAATTGATTATTTGGACTGATAATTTGTTATGTTGAAATTGTTTAATAAAAATATTTATAAAATAAAAAATAAAATTTTTTGGAGACACTGTTGATGGAATCTTTTGGGGACTTGGAGGTGGCGTTGGAGTGGTCCATGTATCACAAGCATACAGTAAGGCTGGTAGTACATTAGATTTGTAAACAAGCATTTTGTGGTATTGCTTAGTACCACAACCATTTTGTTGTTGTTGTTTAGTCGTTTAGTCCGACTCTTCGTGACCCCATGGACCAGAGCACGCCAGGCACTCCTGTCTTCCACTGCCTCCCGCAGTTTGGTCCAACTCATGCCGGTAGCTTCGAGAACACTGTCCCACCATCTCATCCTCTGCCATCCCCTTCTCCTTGTACCTTCAATCTTTCCCAACATCAGGGTCTTTTCCAGGGAGTCTTCTCTTCTCATGAGGTGGCCAAAGTATTGGAGTCTCAGCTTCAGGATCTGTCCTTCCAGTGAGGACTCAGGGCTGATTTCCTTCAGAATGGATCGGTTTGATCTTCTTGCAGTCCATGGGACTCTCAAGAGTCTCCTCCAGCACTATAATTCAAAAGCATCAATTCTTCAGCGATCAGCCTTCTTTATGGTCCAGCTCTCACTTCCATACATCACTACTGGGAAAACCATAGCTCCTAACAACTGCTTGCAATATCAGATCCTAAGTCAGGTTTCATGAGCATTTGGGACAGGGGGTGTCTGCTGAAAAACGTTGTCATTCTTCTTTTTCCCTAATCATCATTGTCTTCAGAAAGCAAACAAATACCTCACCGTTGCAAATATCTGCCTGGAATGACGCGCCTACTGGTTTGGCTTTCTCCTTCCATAGAGTGTACAGACTGATTCCCCCCTATCCACATTCTTCTAATTCTCTAAAATGATACGACAGCAATATTTATCAAAGGTCAAGAATGACCTGAGATTCATTTACGGAGCAAAAATGCTTCTCCACTTGATTCCTGCGTGCCAGGTTTTTTAAAAAGCAACAAGTTGCAGCAGAATATAGAATGCAGCCGTCGTTTGTTCTTTTCCTTTGATGGCGGTGGGAGAAGAAACAGAACCAGCGTCCTTTGTGAAAATGCAAGCTTATCATTTGCCCCAGCCCATTTCCCAATATCCCTTAAAAGAAAGCCCTGCTATTCCAGAGTAAAGGAAACTTTCAGCAATGCAGCTGTTAAATGTGGCATCTTGTTTGTTGCGTTATTTCCAAATGCTGTTCTCAAGAGGGAGAGAGAAAGCTTAGAGTTCCATGGGTGGGCAGCGAATTTATTTAAAATATTTGTTGGCTGTCTTTCAGCAATGCTCTCAGAGTGCCGGCGGTCCGAATCCCCATGACGGGGTGAGCTCCCGTTGCTCGGTCCCTGCTCCTGCCAACCTAGCAGTTCAAAAGCACGTCAAAGTGCAAGTAGATAAATAGGTACCGCTCTGGCGGGAAGGTAAATGGCGTTTCTGTGCGCTGCTCTGGTTCGCCAGAAGCAGCTTAGTCATGCTGGCCACGTGACCCGGAAGCTGTATGCCGGCTCCCTTGGCCAATAAAGCGAGATGAGCGCCACAACCCCAGAGTCGGCCACAACTGGACCTAATGGTCAGGGGTCCCTTTACCTTTACCTTTTACCTTGGATCCCAAACACCCTGGATCCTGGATGTTTTGGCTCCCAAATGCCGGAAACCTGGAAGTGATTGTTCCGGTTTGCGAACATTCTCTTGGAACCCAAACGTCCAATGGGGCTTCTGCGGCTTCTGATTGGCTGCAGGAGCTTTCTGCAGCCAATCAGAAGCCACAATTTGGTTTTCGAACGTTTTGGAAGTCAAACGGACTTTCAGAACGAATTCTGTTTGACTTCCAAGGTACGACTGTATTATAAAAATTAGAATACAACGTGACACTACAGAGACTACCGTATTTTTCGCCCTATAGGACGCACTTTTTCCCCTCCAAAAATGAAGGGGAAATGTGTGTGCGTCCTATGGGGCAAATGCAGGCTTCAGGAAGCTCTCCGCAAGCCTTGGGAGCTCCGCGGGAGTTCCCGTCGGGCTCCCAAGGCTAGCAGATAGCAGCCTGCATCCTGAAGCCTGGGGCGCGCTGCACAGTGTGCCCTGGATTTCGTGCAGATATCGGGCAGCCCCACAAGCTTGGGGGACAGCGGGGAGGTGGAGCGCCGCCATCCCGCTGTTCCCTGACCTGGTTTGTGGAGTTGCCTGCATTCCGAAGAGAGATGCCTGCATCCCGAAGCCTTCGGGCAGATACCCGCAAGCCTGGGGAGACCGGCGCGACTTCCCGCGGGCTCCCTAGGCTTGCAGATTTTTGAGGCTTGCGGATAGCAGCCTGTTCTGGGGGCTGGGGTCGGGGGAAGCTCGGGCTTCCCCCGCCCCAGCCCCGTGCCTGGGGGGGAAATAATAATATTTCCCCCACAAAAAAACTAGGTGCGCCCTATGGGGCAGAAAATACGGTAAGCAATTAAAATGTTTTCACCTAGCGGTCTCAGGGCAGGTCTGAATACTACTTTCTGCAACAAAACCCAAATGTCAGGATTATAGACTATGCCAGGTGTCTATAAATGCAAGCATGGCCAAAGGCATGGGGAAATGGGACTTGTTCTCCATCACGAAAGGATGCCCACACCTGAAATGGCAGTTGATGGGTTTAAAATTATGTTTGCATCTTAATAAAGTTGGATGCCCCATGAATAATAATAATAATAATTTATTATTTATACCCCGCCCACCTGGCTGAGTTTCCTAGCCGCTCTGGGCGGCTTCCAATCAAGTGTTAAAAACAATATAGCATTAACTATTAAAAACTAATAATAATAATGAAGTTATACATTGCCAGTAGGAGGCAATTCAAGAACAGAAGAGGTTGTGGCCTTAGCCAAAAAGTGTGCAGAACAATGAGTGTTGGCTACATCCCATCAACAGAGGTTTCTGCACACAAACACCTCTCCATTCATCGAGGCAAGCGAGAGCCATGATAACAGTTCAATTCCTCCCACTGAAATTATTGTCCAAACACCAGCCTTCTATAACTCTTAAAGGTAAAGGGTAAAGGGACCCCTGACCATTAGGTCCAGTCGTGACCGACTCTGGGATTGCGGTGCTCATCTCGCTTTATTGGCCAAGGGAGCCGGCGTACAGCTTCCGGGTCATGTGGCCAGCATGACTAAGCCGCTTCTGGCGAACCAGAGCAGCGCATGGAAACGCCGTATACCTTCCTGCTAGAGTGGTACCTATTTATCTACTTGACTTTGACGTGCTTTCGAACTGCTAGGTTGGCAGGAGCAGGGACCGAGCAACGGGAGCTCACCCCGTCACGGGGATTCGAACCGCCGACCTTCTGATCGGCAAGTTCTAGGCTCTGTGGTGTAACCCACAGCGCCACCTGCGTCCCTTTTCTATAACTCTTACAATGCTAATTAATTTGATTGTGTAACGCCATACCCCATATGCTTGATAGCCATTAATTAATGGAAGGAGGATCGATTCCTGCCCTCCCCCCATGTACAGCTTATGGACATAGTTCCTAAATCCTCATGCAGAACAATGCACTTGGGGCAGCCTTTGGTAATAGGGCACTCTGAACGACGACAAAATTTGGCACCCTCTTGCCTTCCATCCTGCGCATGCTCTCAAGTGTGCTATGTCATAGTTTTCTGCTCCCCTCGGTTCGGCGCCCTGTGCGGGGGAACTGCCTTGTTGTTGTTGTTTAGTCGTTGAGTCGTGTCCGACTCTTCATGACCCCATGGACCAGAGCACGCCAGGCTCTCCTGTCTTCCACTGCCTCCCACAGTTTGATCAAACTCATGCTGGTGGCTTCGAGAACACTGTCCAACCATCTCGTCCTCTGTCGTCCCCTTCTCCTTGTGCCCTCCATCTTTCCCAGCATCAGGGTCTTTTCCAGGGAGTCTTCTCTTCTCATGAGGTGGCCAAAGTATTGGAGCCTCAGCTTCAGGATCTGTCCTTCCAGTGAGCACTCAGGGCTCATTTCCTTCAGAATGGATAGGTTTGATCTTCTTGCAGTCCATGGGACTCTCAAGAGTCTCCTCCAGCACCATAATTCAAAAGCATCAATTCTTCTACACAGCCCTAAATCCGGCATTGATGCACCCAACATAATAAAACAATATGAACTACTGGAGTCAATGGTGCATCATTTCATTATGTGCTTTTAATTTCATTAATTCTCATGGTGCTGGTGGTGATGATGCGGATGCTGATAATAATTATTATTACTCTGGGCGGCTTCCAAGAAAATATTAAAAATACAATAAAACATCGAACATTAAAAACTTCCCTAAACAGGGCTGCCTTCAGATGTCTTCTAAAAGTCAGATAGTTGTTTATTTCTTTGACATTCGATTGGAGGGCGTTCCACATGGCGGGCGCCACTACCGAGAAGGCCCTGTAACCTCACTTCTCACTGAGGGAACCGCCAGAAGGCCCTCAGAGCTGGACCTCAGTGATCGGGCAGAACGATGGGGGTGGAGACGCTCCTTCAGGTATACTGGGCCAAGGCCATTTAGGGCTTTAAAGGTCAGCACCAACACTTTGAATTGTGCCCAGAAATGTAATGGGAGCCAATGTAGGTCTTTCAGGACCGGTGTTATGTGGTCTCGGTGGCCACTCCCAGTCACCAGTATAGCTGCTGCATTCTGGATTAGTTGTAGTTTCCGGGTCACCTTCAAAGGTAGCCCCACATAGAGCACATTGCAGTAGTCCAAGCGGGAGATAACCAGAGCATGCACCACTCTGGCAAGACAGTCTGCAGGGAGGGAGGGTCTCAGCCTGCGTACCAGATGGAGCTGGTAGACAGTTGCCCTGGACACAGAATTGACTTGCGCCTCCATGGACAGCTGTGAGTCCAAAATGACTCCCAGGCTGATGTGCTTTGAATTTCATTCGAGTGAACTCTGGTAGCTTATGAACCAGCTGCAATCCTAAATGTAGTTTATGAGGGAGTGAAACCCATCCAGCACAATTGAGCTTCTTTTTTGGAGCAAGCATGCGCTTGCTTCCACTGCAGGTAAAAAGCATTATTTAAAGGTTGGATATGATGAACTCATAGGGACGCGGGTGGCGCTGTGGGTTAAACCACTGAGCCTAGGACTTGCCGATCAGAAAGTCGGCGGTTCGAATCCCCGCGACGGGGTGAGCTCCCGTTGCTTGGTCCCAGCTCCTGCCGACCTAGCAGTTCAAAAGCACGTCAAAGTGCAAGTAGATAAATAGGTACCGCTCTGGCGGGAAGGTAAACGGCGTTTCCGTGCGCTGCTCTGGTTCGCCAGAAGCGGCTTAGTCATGTTGGCCACATGACCTGGAAGCTGTACGCCGGCTCCCTCGGCCAATAAAACGAGACGAGCGCTGTAACCCCAGAGTCGGCCACGACTGGACCTAATGGTCAGGGGTCCCTTTACCTTTACCTTATGATGAACTCAGATGAAGAAAAGGACGAGAAGCACGTGTTTTTTAACTAAGCAGCCAAAGTTCTTCACTGCCTTCTGGTTCTGAAACCAAACAGGATGGTGTCAGGCCAGCTCTTTCTCCCCATCCACCCAAAGTGGAAAGAAATGCTGTATTGAAATTAAAAGTGACCATTTGATGTTATTCAGAGGAGCCTGTTCTTCATTTAGGGGGCATTAGTCGTAGTAACAGAAGCCTTAATATTTCAACAACGGTCCTGATTAAGAACATAAGGAGCAAAGTGGCAGCTAATCTCCATCTAAAAAGAACTATAACTAGTCCATCCTTCCCCCCCCCAACCCACCCTACTATGCTGTCGCATTTAAATACCATGAATATTCACTGCTTGGCACCCAGCTGGCAGATGAGTTGTTTTGATACAAAAAAGCCCCTTCAAACTCAAAAGAGTTTTTAATCAGCTGCAAGAGAAAGAAGAAGAAAGTAAAAGAAAGGAATAGGAACAGAGAGAGGGGGTGGAAACACCCCTGAATCAATGAGTTCAACAGAAAAGATAGGCAGAATCCAGTTAACCCCTTCGAGACCCTCTTGGTTATTGCGCGCTGAATTCCTGGCGACAAGCTGCCCTCTCTCTCAACCGGGCAGGGGATGCAAAGGGTGCTTCCTGCCATATTTTTTTACATCAGTACACCAGCTCCCTGCTGCGCCGCCAGTGCTCAAGGTCACTTGTGCAGAACTTCCTTTTCTGTGGCTGTCTGAACCATCAGGAGCTCACTGTCATTGCGCAAAAGGCGAGACAGGCGCCGGTTGCCTTCTGGGATCCAAAACGTGTCAGATTCTACATGGAAGCTGATCTCTGGCACCGAATCCGGAGGCCTACGGGGTTTCGCTTTCTGTAAAACAGCCGCCGCAAAGCGTCCCGCCTCTTCATGTGTTTGAAATCATGCCACTTCACATTGCGATGGAGTGCAGAGGCAGCTGTGGTTATCCTGAGACAGGGCTGAAGTTGGGCTGTTTGTGAACGGCCTCCAATCCAACAAAAGCTTAAATGTGCCCAGGGTGTCTGCAATAGCCCCTCAAAAATCTATGGCATGTGAGAGACTCTTCACTCTTCCTGCTCAGTTCCTGTTTGCTTTGGTTCTGCCTATCCCTCCAACATTTCTCTGATGAAAATAGGGATGTCCCATTCCATAATGATAATTTTGCTATTTATACCCCACACATCTTACTGGGTTGCCCCAGTATATACCGGGCAGCTTCCAACATATATAAAAACATAATAAAACATTAAACAATTTTAAAAAAACTTTCCCTATACAGGTTTGCCTTCAGATGACTCGGGGTGGGATAACACCATACTTATCTCCTTGGCTTGGAGGTTGCATAACTCCATGTCCTCCAACATTTCTCCAAAGAAAATAGGGACAGAAGGGGAAGAAATGGAGGCAGTGAGAGATTTTACTTTCTTGGGTTCCATGATCACTGCAGATGGTGACAGCAGCCATGAAATGAAAAGATGCCTGCTTCTTGGGAGAAAAGCAATGACAAACCTAGACAGCATCTTAAAAAGCAGAGACATCACCTTGCTGACAAAGGTCCGTATAGTTAAAGCTATGGTTTTCCCAGTAGTGATGTATGGAAGTGAGAGCTGGACCATAAAGAAGGCTGATTGCCGAAGAATTGATGCTTTTGAATTATGGTGCTGGAAGAGACTCTTGAGAGTCCCATGGATGGCAAGAAGATCAGACCTATCCATTCTGAAGGAAATCAGCCCTGAGTGCTCACTGGAAGGACAGTTCCTGAAGCTGAGGCTCCAATACGTTGGCCACCTCATGAGAAGTGAAGGACTCCCTGGAAAAGACCCTGATGCTGGGAAAGATGGAGGGCACAAGTAGAAGGGGACGACAGAGGACGAGATGGTTGGACAGTGTTCTCGAAGCTACCAGCATGAGTTTGACCAAACTGCGGGAGGCAGTGGAAGACAGGAGTGCCTGGTGTGCTCTGGTCCATGGGGTCACGAAGAATCGGACACGACTAAACAACTAAACAACAACAAGGAGAAGTGGGATATTCTGGGATCAAATCAGAAACCGGGATGGCTTCTCTAAATTCAGGAACATCCCTGGAAAATAGGGACACTTAGAGGGTCGGTCCTAGATTGGATACCCTCTCTGCCAAACATTTCATTGGATGCCAAGTTTGGACTCCCACTCTATTCTTAACACCAGAGAGCTTCTCTCAATGAGAAAATATCTACACACACACACACACACACACACACACACACACACACTGATGGAGGGGACATGTCCAAACCTGTTGCTTTTTCTGCTCGTTCAGTTGTGGCAGCCATTTCTTGCCACATCACACACCGCCTGGCATTTATTTTGTTTTGTTCTACACCAGCAGAGTGGCCATTTTGCCTTGGGCCACACCCAGTGGTGGCCATTTTGTGACTGGAGCCCACAGCACTGCCTCAAAACTCAAAATGTGCTCTTAGCCAAAAAAAAACCTGCCATGATCTGCGCTCCTAGAGAAACCCTCATACACCAGTCAACTGTAATTTATTTTAATGGGAACACAAGGATCGTGGTTGGAGTGTTTCACTTGGAGTAAGAACCATGTTCCAATTCCTACCAAGGGAGCAATGAAGCTCACTGGGTGCCCTTGGACCAAATTCTTCTCAGCCTAACACACCTCACATCATTGTGGTGAGTAGCTCAATGGCAGAGGACCAAGTTTGGCCCAAGAAGATTATTCCCCCATCTCATCCCATCCCATATATAGAATTGGATGGGGAACTTTTAGAAGACATCTGAAGGCAGCCCTGCTACCTTGTATCAGGAAGTTCTTGATGTTCTACGTTTTATTACCGGTATGTTTTATATGTTTTGGGGCAATGTAGCCAAATGCGTGGGCACAGCCTTTACCAAAGATGACATGGATGTGGAAGACACTCAAATTCCGGACGAAAGGAAGAAACGCACAAAGAGGAAGGCACGTTTGGCAAACCCTCATTATGATCAACTCCCTCCCAGAAACCAATGTCCCCACTGTGGAAGGATGTGTGGATCCAGAATTGGCCTCCACAGTCACTTACGGACTCACTGTTAAAACCGTGTTCATGGAAGACAATCTTACTCGGCTACGAGTGATCACCAAAGAAGAAGAAAAAATTATTATTATTATTAATAGCCAGAATTAAGACTCTTTGAGTCACATTACATGGCCAAGTAGAATTCTGTTCTCCCGGCTGATACGCTATAAAACAGAATCTGAGACAGAGGAATAAATTATTGTTACAGGGCCAGCAGGAAATATCAACCCTATTTATATCCCTAGTAAAATTAAACTACTAGGTGTTCAGATGCCTGGCTTTGACATCAGTGTATCGGGTTATATCACTCAACTCCTGCATGCTTCGCTTTCACTATGGCAGCAATTAAATTATGGTCTAGTTCAGAGAGGCCTGACCCCTCAGTGACATTTATTTTCGGAGCACTTTTGTTCAGCTATCTAAGTTCAGGTTGGTGAGTCATCTTGAAAGTCAAGGCTGAATGGATGTATAGCAAAGCATGTCATAGGCATGTAAAGGTAAAGGGACCCCTGACCATTAGGTCCAGTCGCGGACAACTCTGGGGTTGCAGCGCTCATCTCGCTTAATTGGCTGAGGGAGCTGGCGTACACTCCGGCGTATACCTTCCCGCCGGAGTGGTACCTATTTATCTACTTGCACTTTGATGTGCTTTCGAACTGCTAGGTTGGCAGGAGCAGGGACTGAGCAACGGGAGCTCACCCCGTCGCAGGGATTCGAACCGCCGACCTTCTGACCGGCAAACCCAAGGCTCTGTGGTTTAACCCACAGCACCACCCATGTCCCTAGCACTAATGGCAAGCATAACGGCAAGAGAAAGATGGGAAGCACATTCAAGGGGTAAAGGTGCATTTATTTTGGTTACGCACTTAAGCCAAGTTACAATAAGGGATGAGGATGGGTGTGCGTGCCATAGGCTTCTCGGAAGTATTTTAACCACAGTGACTGATTTCCTGTTTTCGCCTGATGATGTGAGCATGAGTCCACAAATGCCATACTAAATTTGTTAGGCTGAAAGGTGTAAACAAGACTTCTTGTTGTGTGTTGCTGCAAGAGGTGATGGGGATGCTGAGACGACGACGGCAACAGCAACCGGCTTGGCTACTCCCTTCCCCCAGTTTGTTTGTTTTTCATATAAAACCTCCCCTCCCTTGGTGCTGTGGTACCCACAAAAACAGTGCTGCACACTTTTCAAATTCCATTTTTTTGCAGGTGGGATTGCATGTGATACGTTCAGCATCGCATCTCTTAGAGAAACCTATTTGAGTCGAATTGGAAATAATAGCCAACAACACAGGATTGCTTCGCCAGAAGATCTGCTTATAATCTCGAAGGATCATTTATTTATTTATTTATTTATTTATTTATTTATTTATTTACAGTAGTCCATCAAAGATTAAAAGCTTCCCTAAACAGGGAAATATACGCATTACTCATATCATCTGAATCTAAAACTTTGAGAGTACCTGGGACTTTCCCAGGGATATTCCTTGCTATGTTTTAGGGTTATTCGTCCTAATTGTTTGGTAACCTTTCGTAAACTTTGGCAAGGTTACACTAATGGCTATATTGACGAAAAACAACATGGTAAATTCTGAAAAGGGTACCGTAATTTCATGGCCTGGGATTTGCTGGGATATATGGTCATGCGATTTCAATTAGTAATTATTGAAAATTGTATATTTGTTCAGGTTGGTTGTTTTTAAAGGTTTGAAGGGAATTAACTTGACGTCCTCCTTTGAAGTTTCAGACTCAAAGCCTCTTGGTGAGTTCTAGTTTATCTGTTTTCTTTTATGCATAGTTACCTTTTACTCCAGAAGGGCTGATCTGTTCGCTGTTTTATTGTATATTTTATTTTTTTAACAGAATTTTGGATTATCTTCACCACTGTGCTTTCTTTTTCTTTTTTTGGAAGGCTTTTGTATCCTCCAGTGAAAGATGCACTATTTCAGAGTTCAGGAGTAGGTAATATTTTATTTTTCTGTTGAAAAGAGTTGGCGATGAGCAGCGTCAGAGACAAGTGTTTGGGATTGACTAATCTGGAATAAAGACTGCCTTGCCTCGGTTTCCATCATGGATACTGTTATGGATTGAAGGTATCACCCTGGACCAGCAGGGGGATATGGAGATAGTTTTCACTCAGGTCCACATATGCAAATAAGGGATTGAAAATGACGTTCAGTGATTGGATAGTTACAGAAAGTGGTTACAGTTGCGTTCTAGTGGAGCTCTATATATAGCAGGCTGGCTGAACCCTTTAGTTCAGTTCTGTTCTGGCCTGTGAATAAACAAGAGCTGTTTGAAGAATCGCTGTGTCATCTGATATGTTCACCCACAACTTAAGAGATACATCAGATTAGAATTTCCAATACCAGACAGGTCTACTCAGAAATAAGTCACAGTGGGTTTGAATTTACCATATTTTTCTGTGTATAAGATGCCCCCTATTTCGGGGGGGACTCAAATTTAAGAAAATGGGGGGAGATGGCATAGAGTTGTTGAGCTTCTTTTGCAGAGCCCAGCGTTGTTTTCGAAAATCGCTCACCCGCATGCGCCTCTAAATTCGCCTCTCGTCTGTCCCCTCGCTGGCAGAAGCTGCCAATTGCCCGCCCAATTGCCGCAGCGACAGCCAATCAATACCACCCATTGACACAGCAACCAATAACACGCACAATAGCTGCTGACAGTTGCGGCAGCAACCAATCAAATGTCCAACCTATGCACTACCCATGTATAAGCCTACCCTCATTTTTTAGCATGATTTTTAAACAAAATATCCTAGTCTTGTACACGGAAAAGTATGGGTTACGCTCAAAAATGTATTCGGAGGACATTTGTTTGTTTGCGGTATTTGTACCCTGCTTAATTAATGAAGTGATTTAATAGAAATTATGGGAAATAAAAATTAATTATAAAAATAGAAAGCTTTCTTAAAATGCCTGCTGAAAGAGAAAGGTCTTTGCCAGGCACCTGAAGGTCAACAAAGAGGAGAGCCTGTCAAATTTGAGCTAGGAGAGAGCAACACCCACAAAGATCTCCGTGATCCGGCAGAGATATAAGGGATTGGATGGTTTTAAAGTAGTAATATGGACCAATACACTACTGTTCTGGAAAGTAATTGAAAGTAACGTTAGTATTTCGTTTCAGCCGCACGCACGCATGCACGTCAGAAGTCTACCAATACAACCAGAAGAAGTAACACGAGAAACTTATCAGTTCATTTTTAATTGAATACATGTATTTCTTCTGAATAGCGCAGCTGCCCTTAGTCCTGGCAACCTTCTGCAGCAAATTCCCTCTCCGAACTAAATTAATTGAGAGCAGAAACTTTAAGACAACAAGGTGAACTAGCCTTGGTGTTCCCTTTAAAAGCTGCTTTCCTCTCTTGGGCTGTTTTGCAGCCCTTCCCTGGTTTGTCTGTCTCCTTACGTTTAAGGTGCTGGGACGTGGGTGGCACTGTGGGTTAAACCACAGAGCCTAGGACTTGCCGATCAGAAGGTCGGCGGTTCGAAACCCCGCGGCGGGGTGAGCTCCCGTTGCTCGGTCCCTGCTCCTGCCAAACTAGCAGTTCGAAAGCACGTCAAAGTGCAAGTAGATAAATAGGTACCAATCCGGCGGGAAGGTAAACGGCGTTTCTGTGCGCTGCTCTGGTTCGCCAGAAGCGGCTTAGTCATGCTGGCCACATGACCCGGAAGCTGTACGCCAGCTCCCTCGGCCAATAAAGCGAGATGAGCGCCGCAACCTCAGAGTCGGCCAAGACTGGACCTGATGATCAGGGGTCCCTTTACCGTTACCTAAAGCCTTTTGACCTTTAAAGCCCTTGTATTAACGGGACCGCCTCTCCTGGTATGCCCCGCAGAGGACCTTAAGGGCCATGAATAATCATAGTTTATGAGATTATCCTCCACCAGGGCCAGGGCCTTCTCAGTGATGGCTCCAACCTGGTGGAATGGTCTGCCCCATGAGAGCAGGGTCCTGCAGGATTTAACTTCCTTCCGCAGGGCCTGTAAGACAGAGCTATTCCGCCTGGCTTTCAATCTGAACTTAGCCTGATCTTTTATTCCCCTTCCTTCCCTCCCCCTCCCCTGTTCATGAAGATTACCCACTCTGGGATCCCACAGCTAATTCTCCCCTGGTCTCCTCGCTGGCCCAAATAGGACTAATTTAGCCAGCTGGCCCTGGTGGTCATCTAATGTTTATTGGATGGATTTCCTCCCTAAATTGATTTTTGAATTTATTGTTATTCACGTTTTATTCTGTATTTTATGCTGTTTTTTGTTGCATCAATTAAGTGTTTTAAATTTGTTGTTAGCTGCCCTGAGCCCGGTTTTCTGAACCGGGAAGGGCGGGGTATAAATAAAAAAAATTTATTATTTATTATTAATCGCTAAAGGACCCCAGCTTCAGGCCCCTCCAGAACTTTGTGGGCAAGGCATGCAAATTGTGTGAAATTAACTTTGTAATCAACTCCTACCATCGAGGGTAGTATTCTCCCTTCACCCCTCCCTCACCAAACATAAATTAATACTTAGGCTGTTCGAGAGGATAATTACTTTGAACAGAGTATTCCCTGTGAAGCATGCCTGGAGCAGGATCAAACCTCACATGCCATACTGTCAGACTGCATATTGGAGGAGACTCACAGCTGGATTCCTCATTTTCCCTCCATGCTACAAAAATAAGAAGGCAGGCTCCTCACCTCTTGTCTCTTCTACCTTAGCTTTGTCTGCCGTTGCACCGCATTTTCTGTTTCCCTTCCGAAAGAGCAAAGAAGTCATTCCCCTAACTAAGAAACAAGGGCTTCTGTGCAATTGAAATAAGAATTCACTGGACATATGCTGACCGTGTAATCCTGGGCTGCGTCCACACTAGGGCATGACTGTGTATACATGGCTGACTGTTTCCATGTGCACCTTTGTGTGCTTTCATATACGCACGAGCACTTTCAATTTAATCCCTCCGATATCTGTTTTAGTTAGTGGTGTAGCGTGGGTTGCCAGTGCCCGGGGCCACGTGGAAGGGAGGGGAATGGATGTAAGGTTCCTGTATACCTGAAGGAGCGTCTCAACCCCCAGCACCGAGGGCCTTCTGGTGGTTCCCTCGCTGCGAGAAGCCAAGTTACAGGGAACCAGGCAGAGGGCCTTCTCGGTAGTGGCACCCGCCCTGTGGAACGCCCTCCCACAAGATGTCAAAGAGAACAACAACTACCAGACTTTTAGAAGACATCTAAAGGCAGCCCTGTTTAGGGAAGCTTTTAATGTTTAATAGGTTATTGTATTTTAGCATTTTGTTGGAAGCCGCCCAGAGTGGCTGGGGAAACTCAGCCAGATGGGCGGGGTATAAATAAATTATTATTAATATTATTATTATTATTATTATTATTATTATTATTATTATTTCTCACCTGTGTGGTTTTAAGGATGGTTGAAAATATGATAGCTCTGTGAACCCAAACAAACAGAAGCCACAAGGATCTTATGCATTAATGTTACTATCATATATGTATTACATATTATAATATATATATTATATATGTAAAATTCAACTTAATGCTCTGATGATGGTGGTGGTGGGATTGTTGATTATTTTGAACCTATACATACCATTTACTTGATATTTGGAAGCAAAACTCACTTTCCGCACAGCTGGGGCCTTCATTTCCTTCTGTTGATTGGGAATAAATGATCCCTGCTGGTGGTCATTTAGGTTCCCAAGGCTAATAGTCTCTCACATACGTTTTATAGCCATTGCAGGGATTCTGGGCAACCCCACTGCACTGCCTGCAAGCTGCTTGGGGAGACGAATCAGTTTTGGCAAAAAGGGCATGTTGTCCTTTTTGAATTCTCAATACACACACAAGACGTAACCCAATCAATATTGTGCTTGTCAATATAACCCTACTTTATAACACTTGCTGCTTACCACAGCTACTACTATGCCATAAGATCCACTGTCTTGTAATATCACATATGGTATGTAGAAAATATTTATTGTTTGATATTATTTTTGCTGTAAAATGTGTGAGATCATGATATTGTATTTATTTGCATTAAAGGTAAAGGTAAAGGGACCCCTGACCATTAGGTCCAGTCGTGGCCGACTCTGGGGTTGCGGCGCTCATCTCGCTTTATTGGCCGAGGGAGCCGGCGTACAGTCATGTGGCCAGCATGACTAAGCCGCTTCTGGAGAACCAGAGCAGCGCACGGAAACACCGTTTACCTTCCCGCATACAAACCTATGGTCACGTAAAGCATCCTCAATAAACACATAACTGGCTGTGTTCTTAGATAAATAAGGTATACTATTCATTGTATCCAATTGTAAATTTCAACAGAGGTACAGTGGTACCTCGGGTTAAGTACTTAATTCGTTCCGGAGGCCCGTACTTAACCTGAAACTGTTCTTAACCCGAAACACCACTTTAGCTAATGGGGCCTCCTGCTGCTGCCGCGCCGCTGGAGCACGATTTCTGTTCTCATCCTGAAGCAAAGTTCTTAACCTGAAGCACTATTTCTGGGTTAGCAGAGTCTGTAACCTGAAGCGTATGTAACCTGAAGCGTCTGTAACCTGAGGTACCACTGTACAGTTATACCTCGGGTTGAAGTAGCTTCGGGATGAATATTTTCGGGTTGCGCTCCACGGCGACCCAGAAATAACGGAGCGCGTTACTTCCAGGTTTCGCTGCCTGTGCAGATGCCCAAAATGACGTCACACACATGCGCGGAAGCGGCGAAACGCGACCTGCGCATGCGCAGACGCTCAGTCACGTGTTACGTTCACTTCAGGATGCGAACAGGGCTCCGGAAAGGATCCCGTTTGCATCCAGAGGTACCACTGTATAAGTTCTATGCAAACCAATTGGAATGAATGCTAAAAATAAAAAGGTCGTCTGAACGTGAACCAGATGTGACCCAAGATGAACATGTGATTCCTACAGATCCCTACACCAAAGTGGCTCTGATCCAGCCTCCCTCAAGGAAAGAAGGAGTAGGATTTATCCATTTGAGCGCGCTGTGTCTTCTGGAACAGACCAAAGCAAAACAAGGAGCGTCTCTGAGCCTCTCACATGCTTTTTGTGTCATGGCCAAAGGTTCTCCATGCGCCACAGAGTATGGAAAATAAATCAAATGCGTGCTCTAGCCAATGTAGGTTTTATATTCTTCACATGACCATTGAAGTGTGAATTGACTGAAGCTTCACAAGGGAAGAAGGGTTGTGAGAATCGGGTTGCAAACATGCGCACCCTTTAAGTAGCCACAAATGTAATGTGAAGACAGGTCTGGCTGCTCCTGTCACTGATGTTCTAACCTCAGGATGACTCATTCTCAGTTTGAGAAAGATGTGGGTTTGCTTCTGGTTTTTGTGAAGATGGCTATGGTACTGATTAAACAAGGCTGGATTTAACTCCCCAGCTGGGCCTTCTCTTTTTTTATATAATATTTTTTATTAATTTTAACATATAAATTATAAAATGTACCACAAAACTTATCACTTATACAATCTTTTTAGACTTCCATCAGCATCTCTGATGATCCACCGTTTTAACCACTTCTTATGCATTTCTTAACTTTATTTTGCCTTTACATCTCTTAACAAATCATCCTCCCCCTTGTCCATTTTTGCAATACTTCCAATAATACTCCTCACAAAACTTCTTGCAACCCTACAAACGTCGTCTGTTCTTCACAATTACTTTTCAAATAGTCCGTAAATTTACTCCAGTCTTCCGTGAATTTCTGGTCTCGCCGGTTTCGAATCCTTCCTGTTAGTTTATCTAATTCTGCATACTCCATTAACTTCACCCTCCATTCTTCAATCTTCGGTAACTCTTCTTGCTTCCATTTTTGGGTCCCAGCTGGGCCTTCTCACAGGAGAGACAAGAAGGAAAAAAACAATAATCCCATTTCTTTTCTCTCACTCTGAGGGAGATTGGGTTGCCCACCACCCTCCACACCATGCTGGGCTTCAGTCTGGCTAGAAACCCCCCCGCCCTTCCTCTTCAGCAGCAAGATCCATATCAAAGGCCCAGATCCCCCAGAGTTCATTAGAGGGCACTGATAATTTCTGCATTTTCTTAGAGAGTGGGTAGCTTTTATTCACAATGCAAATAGGTTGGCCTTAATTTCAACCCTCCTTCCGAGCTAGATATTTTTGGGGGGGGCAGTTATTAAAAAAAATGTTTTTCTTCTACAATAATAAATCATTAAATGCTGTTGCATGGTGTACAGTTTCTGTTACATCCAGCTTCTAGGAAAGCATACTGCTATAAGGAAAAACAGAGTAGGGGGGCGACGACACCCACCACCACCCCAGTTAATTCCAGAATCCTCGTTTTGCTCTTTCCCTTGCTGATTAAATTGTGTGCAAATACTGAGCCACATCGGACAAGAAGGCTAACCAACAGTTTCTCACAACGATGTAAGAGTCACATATACAGTGGTATCTTGGGTTACATATGCTTCAGGTTACAGACGTTTCAGGTTACAGATTCCGCTAACCCAGTAATAAATAGTACCTCGGGTCAAGAACTTTGCTTCAGAATGAGAACAGAAATCGTGCTCCGGTGGCGCAGCGGCAGCGGGAGGCCCTATTAGCTAAAATGGTGCTTCAGGTTAAGAACAGTTTCAGGTTAAGAACGGACCTCCAGAACGAATTAAGTTCTTAACCCGAGGTACCACTATGTTAAGAAAAGGAAAGCAATTCTGAATCACCTGCAGAGGATATTAATAGAGAACATTACTAAAACACTCCATAATAAATTGGTTCTGAGGAAGCCACTCCCTGAAGCATTGCAGGCCTGTGTCAAGTAAGCAAAAGGAAAGAACTAATCAATACGAAAATGTGAATTTGGATTGCAAGCGTTTAGAGCGCCTGTGTTGCAAGATCTCTGGGGCGTATTAGATATTGTGTGCGTGTAAAAGTAAAGGACCTCTGGACGGTTAAATCCAGTCGAATTCTCTATGGGGTGTGGCACTCATCTCACTTTTCAGGCAGAGGGAGCCAGCGTTTGTCCGCGGACCAGTTTTCCGGGTCATGTGGCCAGCATGACTAAACCGCTTCTGGCGCAACGGGACACCGTGACGGAAACCAGAGCACATGGGAACGCTGTTTACCTTCCCGCCAGAGCGGTACCTATTTATCTACTTGCACTGGTATGCTTTTGAACTGGTAGGTTGGCAGAAGCTGGGACTGAGCAACAGGAGCTCACCCCATTGTGGGGATTTGAACCGCTGACCTTGCAATCGGCAAGCCCAAGAGGCTTGGTGGTTTAGACCACAACGCCACCCATGTGTATGTGTGTGTGTGTTGACTTTTTGTGCATGACATGGTCAGCAAAGCCAAATTATGGCTTACTGGGACCCTCTGGAAGAGGAACTCCCTGGTCCTTTTTCCTCCTGTGCTATGCCATGTTGTCTAATCTAGGATTGTGATTAAGCTCTTAACTAACCACAAGTTGCAGCCAAAGTTTGGTCTTGGCTACAGCACATGGTTGGTATGTAGAGAGCTTAACCATGAACATGGGTTCAGGTGACAAGGATGGGATGGGGTGTGCATGGCTTAATAAAGAGCCACTTTGTTTTTTCCCTTTGTGTTGTTGACCATGTAGCCTACTGATGAGTTCTGGAGAGCTCAAAAGCTTTGTGACATTTGCGTTGGTCTGATAAAGGTATTGCCCCAATATGGATATTGGAATATTCCTCCAGCGAACCTCCTTTAACAGGGGTCAGCAATTTTTTTCAGCAGAGGGCCGGTCCACTGTCCCTCAGACCTTGTGGAGGGCTGGACTATATTTTTTTTTTGGGGGGGGGGTGAACGAATTCCTATGCCCCCACAAATAACCCAGAGATGCATTTTAAAGAAAAGCACACATTCTACTCATGTAAAAACACCAGGCAGACCCTACAAATAACCCAGAGGTGCATTTTAAATAAAAGGACACATTCTACTCATGAAAAAACACGCTGATTCCCAAACCGTCCGCAGGCTGCATTTAGAAGGTGATTGGGCCAGATCCAGCCCCCGGGCCTTAGTTTGCCTACCCATGAGTTAACTTATATTTGGAGCCAAGCCTATACACTCCCCTCCATGCTTCTGTATATGAAAAGTAGTACAGTGGTACCTCGGGTTACATACGCTTCAGGTTACATATGCTTCAGGTTACATACTCCGCTAACCCAGAAATAGTGCTTCAGGTTAAGAACTTTGCTTCAGGATGAGAACAGAAATCGTGCTCTGGCGGCAGCGGGAGGCCCCATTAGCTAAAGTGGTACCTCAGGTTAAGAACAGTTTCAGGTTAAGTACGGACCTCCGGAATGAATTAAGTACTTAACCTGAGGTACCACTGTACAGAAAGCTGCCATGTTGGCATTCCCTTTGGAAGGAGAAAAGCAGAGAAGGAAAAGGTGCAAATGGCAGGGAACGAAAGAGGAACTTTTAGGCTGTGAGCGTGTTCCTCCGGTAGGGTATGATAGCTGGGAAACCTTTTCTAAGACTGAAAATCTGTCCAGCTGCCAAATGCCTGGGTTGATCAGAGATCAGTTTTGGTGTCATGAGTCACTTGCGTCTTTCAAACGTTTGTGTGCCGCACTCTTAAGCCGCTGCCCTCAGGGGCCGAGAGGAAGAGGCAGGCGTTCAGTTTCTTAAGCAACCTTCCCTGCAGTTGGCCTATTCATGCTTCTTACAGTTGCGAACAGATTAATTTGCTGCCAAGCTTCTTCCAGGTAAGCGCAAAAGAATGCCTCTTGTCAGTGACGCTAGGGCTTCATATATTTAGATAGAGCTGTATATCGAAAGCTGTCGGTACTCCAAAAAGTACGAAAGCATTTAAACCTGTATGGGCGCAATGCCGGTTAGGTTAGGGCAAAGTCACAGTACCAAGCAAGGGGGGGGGGACTTTCACAGCTCAAGGGCCGCATTTCTTTCTGAGAAGCTTTCTGAGGGCCACATGCTAATTGTGGGCAGGGTCAGAGGGAATGCAAGTGGAGCAAGGACACTAAACTTTACATTTGTACATGGCGCTGTGGGTTAAACCACAGAGCCTAGGACTTGCCGATCAGAAGGTCATGGTTCGAATCCTGGCAATCGGGGGAACTCCCGTTGCTCGGTCCCTGCTCCTGCCAACCTAGCAGTTCGAAAGCACGTCAAGGAGCAAGTAGATAAATAGGTACCGCACCGGCGGGAAGCTAAACGGCGTACGCCAATAAAGAAAGATGAGCACCGCAACCCCAGAGTCGGTCACGACTGGACTTAACCGTTCAGTTACCTTTACCTATTTAGAGATGTACTACCTCTGAATATCTAGGGACGCAGGTGGTGCTGTGGGTTAAACCACAGAGCCTAGGACTTGCCGATCAGAAGGTCGGCGGTTCAAATCCCCGCGACGGGGTGAGCTCCCGTTGCTCTGTCCCTGCTCCTGCCAAACTAGCAGTTCGAAAGCACGTCAAAGTGCAAGTAGATAAATAGGTACCGCTCCGGCGGGAAGGTAAACGGCGTTTCCGTGTGCTGCTCTGGTTCACCAGAAGCGGCTTAGTCATGCTGGCCACATGACCCGGAAGCTGTACGCTGGCTCCCTCGGCCAATAAAGTGAGATGAGCACCGCAACCCCAGAGTCGGCCACGACTGGACCTAATGGTCAGGGGTCCCCTTTACCTTTACCTTACAGAAGGCTAGTTTCTATGCTCTCACCCACCCCTCCCGATCCTTCATCCACGAATCTGATCAGGTAGCCTCCAGAAATAGCATGTTTCACTCAGAGTTTGTTAATGAATATATTATTTATTTAACATAATTGAAACCTCCAGCCTTTCCCGTTAATAAACAACGTACAGTCATACCTCAGGATAAATACGCTTCAGGATAAGTATTTTTGGGTTGCGCTCCGCGGTGACCCGGAAGTAACAGAGCACGTTATTTCCGGGTTTTGTCGCTCGCGCATGTGCAGACGGTCAAAATGACGTCACGCACATGCGCAGAAGCGGCGAAATGCAACCCGTGCACACGCAGACGCACAGTCACGTCTTACGTTCTGTTCAGGATGCGAACGGGGCTCCAGAACAGATCTCGTTCGCATCCTGAGGTACCACTGTACTCAGAGCGGCCTGGAATAAAGTCATACAGCAAAATTTTAAAATATATTAAAACAGCAGCAATAGGTGACTGTATCTGAGATGTGATCCATTTGATCACTGCATGCTCATGTGAAAATATCGTTAAGGTAAGCAGACCTCCCCAGTCTACCGCACTTTGTAAAATCTAGCAACTGAGTAGCTTATATGAGAAATACATAAAGGTAAAAAGGTAAAGGACTCCTGACAGTTAAGTCCAGTCGCGAACGACTCTGGGGTTGCGGCACTCATCTCGCTTTACTGGCCGAGGGAGCCGACGTTTGTCCGCAGACAGTTTTTCCGGGTCATGTGACCAGCATGACTAAGCCGCTTCTGGTGAAACCAGAGCAGCGCACGGAAACGCTGTTTACCTTCCCGCCAGAGCGTTACCTATTTATCTACTTGCACTTTGACGAGCTTTCGAACTGCTAGGTGGGCAGGAGCAGGGACCAAGCCACGGGAGCTCACCCCGTTGCGGGGATTCGAACCGCCGACCTTCTGATCCGCAAGCCCTAGGCTCTGTGGTTTAGACCACAGTGCCACCTGCGCCCCCGAGAAATACATAGACAGGTGTAAATCATGTGTCATCTGGGGTATTATATATAAAAGAACACCTGGTTTGTAAAATGTTCTTCATACGACAGATTTTTATATTGAACTGCGCCGCAACTCCCCATTATTCTTTCTGCACCGCACTGATTCAGAGGCTCACACAGAGGGAGGTGCCCAAACTGAGCCTCAAAATGTTGGTGTGCGGTGAAATCTCCGAAATCGCAGGCTCTTGTTACCAAAAGCACACAATAAAGGGCATTTTTCTCCCCCCCCCCCCGGCCCATTTGCTATTCCCTATCTCTGAGTCAATCAACTACTTTGACATGGCTCCATCACTCCCAGCACTAACAGTGTGCAAACAAATAGAAAATTATTTCCCACTGGCAAACATGCTGTTTACTTTCCCGAAAAAATTGCACTTTTCAGCCTGACAGCTGATCAAGGGCTCTCCCTGCTGCTGTCAGCAGGAAGAAGTGTTTAAACACAGGGATGGGAGTTTAAACATTTTCTCATTATCAGAGAATAAAAAAATAAAAAAATAAAAATAAATGCAAGCGTTGAGAGCCACAGGACCACCCGCTGTGCGAGTAATGAAGCTGTGTCTCATGACCAGAGCCAGGGGACTTTTATCTCTGTCCCTGGTATCATTACTGAGGTGACACCTTCCCATGATCCAAGACGGGGCTTTTTTTTTTAATCTGCGTTTCCCCAAACGCAGTCACAGGTTGTGTGAGGGATTTTTTTGCTGGGTTTCTGAGAGAATATTGCCCATTGTTTGCCGTTCTGGCTACAGTTGTGTCAGCGTTTAGACAAGAGATCTGTGGCTTCGTTCTCCTTTGGGTTGGTTGTTGTTTATTTTTAAAAAATTGGCCATGAAATTCACTTTGTGGAAGAGGAGGAGGAAATGAAGAAGAATTTCATTTATTTTATTTTATTTTTTTAAAAAACCACATACTTGTAAAAAGAAATAATAACGATTTTTTTTGGGTAAATAATACGATAGTCAATTTGTTTGTTACTCAAGGACCGTTCACAAAGTATGCTACTTTAGCACACAGTTCGATGGTCTAGGGGTGAGGGAACCCAAAGAATATTGCAGTATTTTGCCTCCGCAAGCCAGTACTTGAATTGACTGGGGAAAAACATGCCCCTCTCCTTTCACCAAAATGTTAACATTTGCTCTGATAAAGGCCTTTTTTAAAACGGAAGAAAACCCTATCTTGGTACATCTTAACACATACTTTCTCTCTCCTTTCTCCACAATTTCGCTCCCCACTCCCTCCATCTTCATGCATGACATAGTTCCACATGTTGGTATATTCTCAAATTATTTGAAGGTGTCACGAAGTTGTCAGAGGATGGGTTTGCTGTGATCCTGTTGTGAGGTTTTTGTGAATGACCTGTACCAAAAAAATGCCACTGTGAAAGGCTGGGGTTTGGATTAATCCTGATGAGAAAATGAGAAACGAGAAAATGGCATGATAAAGTCAACGATCAGGTGGCTTTACCTCACACAGCCCACAATAGCATAAAATAATATACAAGGTAGCTAGACAGCATCTTAAAAAGTAGAGACATCACCTTGCCAACAAAGGTCCGTATAGTAAAAGCTATGGTTTTCCCAGTAGTGATGTATGGAAGTGAGAGCTGGACCATAAAGAAGGCTGATCGCTGAAGAATTGATGCTTTTGAATTGTGGTGCTGGAGGAGACTCTTGAAAGTCCCATGGACTGCAAGAAGATCAAACCCATCCATTCTGAAGGAAATCAGCCCTGAGTGCTCACTGGAAGGACAGATCCTGAAGCTGAGGCTCCAATACTTTGGCCACCTCATGAGAAGAGACGACTCCCTGGAAAAGACCCTGATGTTGGGAAAGATGGAGGGCACAAGGAGAAGGGGATGACAGAGGATGAGATGGTTGGACAGTGTTCTCGAAGCTACCAGAATGAGTTTGACCAAATTGCGGGAGGCAGTGGAAGACAGGAGTGCCTGGCGTGCTCTGGTCCATGGGGTCACGAAGAGTCGGACACGACTAAACGACTAAACAACAACAACAAAGCTAAATTACCGGTAAAACTGGAGCACGGACCCTAATTTCACTACCACTTTCTATTGGTATTCATGGTTCCTTGTGTGCATTATGATTTAATGTATGGATATCTGTGGTTAATTTGTAAGGCACGGGGCTATCTAGTTCAGACTTTGCAGAATAATCCTTTTGACTAATTGTGGCATGATTTAGGAGCGTACTCATGCAAACAGGCTAGGGTTTTTAGTTGTCTAGCCAGCTGTGGTGAGTAAGATTCACCTCTAGGCAATCTTTTTTTTTTTTTTTTTTAAATTGTTTCTTTTAGGCCACAAATGACTAATACAGATCTGTGTGGGCAGATGGGCAATTAACTTTCATGGACTTAGTTATATAATTGCTAATGACTTTTATCGTCTCTATATTTATTTCCCTCAGTTGTGGGCCTGATTATTTGGAGATAAGCAAGTTTGCCTTGGCAGACTGGAGGAAAACACAAGAGCAAGCCTTGAGTTTTCTTGTTCTCTCTGGAAACGAATTCTGATGAGAAATGCTGTGAGAATGCGCTGTCTATGAAAGGACTCAAAAGATGCCTACACATCAGAAGTCGCTTAAGAGCACCTTTCCTATTGACATTCTGTCATTCTGTCAAGAATGCAGAGATCAAGGAGATTAAAAATGTGCTTCTGACTCACTAGAAGATCACTGGCCTCCGCTGAAAACTTCCACCACCAAAAATCTTTGGCTGGATCCATATAAGCTCACTTGCCATCCTTTTCTTTTTCAAAAGCAGACATATTTGTGATGGAACAGTTGAATTTAGCGAAGTCATCCACCCACTCGGCACGTTTTGAATACTCCATTGGCGTGGAACTGGTATAATGATAATCCCATTAGCGATGGTGGAAGGTCTCTCTAGGACAGTGTAACAAATATTAAACAATTCCTTTTGTTGACTTCATCCAATGAGCCATCTTTCCCCAGAGACTTGACTTTAATCTAATCCTCTCCTTCCGCCAGGAATCCCTTTGTTGGGAAAGATCGGAAACCAACCCCAGGAATGACAAGTCTGTCCCTAAGCCTTGGATCAGTCAATACATTCTTGAAATTATCGGCTCCCATCTGTTCTGTTTGTCCACCCAGCTCCTGGTCTGGCAATCTCTTTATCAAGGGACAGTCAGATTTATCCTAAGGGTCCAGAAATCAGACCACACTGTTAACATCTCGGTTGCCAAGTCAATCTTACTGACACTGCTTTCTAAACAAAAGATAATATGCAACTCAGGACATCTGTTTCCTCTGTTACTGCTGAGATGTGTCGTCAGAGAAGGAAGACATGGCCCGTAACCAGATTCTGTTAGCATCTATGCTGGTGTAAGTCAGCCATAAATAAAGGGACCCCTGACCATTAGGTCCAGTCGTGACCGACTCTGGGGTTGCCCCGTTCGCATCCTGAACAGAACGTAAGACGCGACTGTGCGTCTGCGTGTGCGCGGGTCGCGTTTCGCCGCTTCTGCGCATGTGCGTGACGTCATTTTGACCGTCTGCACATGCGCGAGTGGCAAAACCCGGAAATAACGCACTCTGTTACTTCCGGGTCGCCGCGGAGCGCAACCCAAAAATACTTATCCTGAAGCGTATTTATCCTGAGGTATGACTGTACGTTGTTTATTAACGGGAAAGGCTGGAGGTTTTGATTATGTTAAATAAATAATATATTCATTAACAAACTCTGAGTGAAACATGCTATTTCTGGAGGCTACCTGATCAGATTCGTGGATGAAGGATCGGGAGGGGTGGGTGAGAGCATAGAAACTAGCCTTCTGTAAGGTAAAGGTAAAGGGGACCCCTGACCATTAGGTCCAGTCGTGGCCGACTCTGGGGTTGCGGTGCTCATCTTGCTTTATTGGTCGAGGGAGCCGGCGTACAGCTTCCGGGTCGTGTGGTCAGCATGACTAAGCCGCATCTGGCGAACCAGAGCAGCGCACGGATACGCCGTTTACCTTCCCGCCGGTGCGGCACTGTGGGTTAAACCTATTTATCTACTTGCACTTCCAACTGCTAGGTTGGCAGGAGCAGGGACTGAGCAACGGGAGCTCACCCTGTTGCGGGGATTCGAACCGCCGACCTTCTGATTGGCAAGTCCTAGGCTCTGTGGTTTAACCCACAGTGCCACCCACATCCCTTTGAAGTCAGCCATAGATTGATGTAAACATCAGAGATTCGCTAATTACAAAAGCACAGCCAAATCCAATTTATTTTTGTGATAGAAAATGTCTTTTCTCTTTTAAAAATGGAAAAAAAGCTTGGCTTTTGCTTGACCCAAATGAACTTGCAGCTCAAACTGTCTTTCGCTGTTGCTTTTGCTGTGTGCAGTGTTGTTTGTGCTGTGAAAACTTTTGCTGTAGCACTCAGTAAAAATAAAGTTGAGAGTGGTGAGCCTCTTCAAAACAAAGGGAAAATGTCCTTCTTATAACTCATAGCTAACACAAAGTGCAGACCTTGGATTTAGGAGCTGTGGGCTTGCTCCAGTGTTGCGACAGTGTGGCCAAAGCCCTTTCCCCAGCAAGATTAGCTCTCTTGGGTCACTACAACCACAGTCCCTTATCTACCTTCTTTCTTGGTCTTCTGACCAATGAAAGAGCACCAGATTATGATTCAGGCTGGATCTGAGGCCCAGCTCTGTAGGCCTTCATATATACATCCAGTCTCGCCGACCTTGATTGGTGTTGGTGCCAGCTGGCCTCGGTCCTCAATGGCCCTGTTTTGTTTCTTAATGGCCCTAGCTTGGCCAGGTCATTTTGCATGGGCTGGCCCAGGAGTTCCTCTGCAGCTTGTATTTCTCCCTTCACATTCCAAATAATCAAAATCCTACCATTTATTGAGGAAATCAGACCTGAGTGCTCACTGGAAGGACAGATCCTGAAGCTAAGGCTCCAATACTTTGGCCACCTCATGAGAAGGGAAGACTCCCTGGAAAAGACCCTGATGGTGGGAAAGATGGAGGGCACAAGGAGAAGGAGACAACAGAGGATGAGATGGTTGGACAGTGTTCTCGAAGCTACCAGCATGAGTTTGACCAAACTGTGGGAGGCAGTGGAAGACAGGAGTGCCTGGCATGCTCTGGTCCATGGGGTCACGAAGAGTCGGACACGACTAAACACTAAACAACAACAACATTTCCTTTTAATTTGCAATCTGCAAACGACTAAACAACAACAAACCATTTATTAATGTCTAGGATTTAGGAGGGGTCCCCCCCAATCTATTACATTATTACCTGTTCGTATAAAGGTAAAGGGACCCCTGACCATTAGGTCGTCGCGGACGACTCTGGGGTTGCGGCGCTCATCTCGCTTTATTGGCCAAGGGAGCCGGCGTACAGCTTCCGGCTCATGTGGCCAACATGACTAAGCCACTTCTGGCGAACCAGAGCAGCGCATGGAAACACTGTTTACCTTCCCGCTGGTGTGGTACCTATTTATGTACTTGCACTTTGACGTGCTTTCGAACTGCTAGGTTGGCAGGAATCTGTTCGTATAGCCCACCCTTAATCAAATGGTCCCAGGACACATTGATAGTTGCACTTAATCCTGAAACCTAAAGGGGGGAAATATTTTGCTCCTTTTACTTATGCCTATAATACAGTCTGTTCCTATTTTCTATGATCACTTCTTAGTTTTAAGGGCAAGCTCAGACTCAAATAGTGACGATGAACTGCATCCGTTGACTTCCTCGCCCCAGAAAAGAAGTCCACACTTCGTTTGTTCTTTTCACCAAAACTTGCTGGAGCTGATTTTGAGATGACCCTTCTCGTATGGAGCAAAGAGATCACACATTTCTGGTTTCAGCTTCACTCCAGGAACCGTGAAGATGGACTGTGCTATGAAGGAAACAAAGAAGCCAAGCATCAGTTACAGGGGAGCAATACAGGGGAGCCTGCACTGCGTCAAATCTGTCCTTGATGGTGACCCACATTGCTTGTCTTGAAAGAAAACTGCTCCTATGTGATGCTGCTTGACACAGGAGTAAGCTTATTCCTGGGTGAACTTCCCCAGATTTCGTGGAGAGCCTTTACACCAGTGCAAGTGGGATGGATAACCCATTGCTCTCCAAATATTGGGACTCCAACTCCCATCAGCTTCGGCCAATATAGCCAATGGTCAGAGATGATGGGAGCTTGAGTCCCACAACATCTGTAGGTTCTCAACCCCTCTTCTAGTGGAATCTATCATTTTAATAACATTTATGATAACTTTTTTTAAAAACCCAGTAGCTATGCTATGTCCAAGCCTTTGCAAGCCAGCAACTCCCCAGATATTTTGGACTACAACTCCTATCTGCTGTGGTAGCTGGGACTGGTGGGAGTTATACTCCAAAGTATCTGGGAAACACCAGGTTAATGAAGGGAGTCAGGCAATCTGCTCCAGAAATTCATTCACAGACTGAAACATACCATAGGGACCAGCAGCAAACTATTCCTGGACTCCTTCCCAAAGTAATTTTAACATGAAACCACCACTGGAAACTACAAACGTGGAAAGAAACATGTTCACTCTGCAGTTCTAGTAGTAAACTGGCAATCAGTTGATTTACTGGCAAAAAGTCACACATCCCCATTATTTAACAAGCAAGCAATGGGGTAGCTTTGCACGTTACAAGACGTGTCAAAGAGCCAACATCCCAGTGACTAATGAATCCACTTTTTTGTAATCTTGAGGTTGTGTGTGTGCACATCTTCCTCCCTGTGAGATGTGCAAGATCTGATTGTGGGCACAGATTATACATGTTCCCTGATCCTACATGAGCCTGGAAGCACACAAAGTGGATGAGTCAGTTGCTTGTTATCGCTGCACAGCAGGGAATGGTTCCTGAACCATTATCCTTGGCTCCAGTTAGCCAGTTGCTTATCAGACTAAACTGATGGGGTTCCCACCCCCCCTGACAAGTCTTCCAGGTCACCTCTTTTGATGGCTTTTTTGATGGGATGCTGGGGGATTAAAAAACAACAACTAGTCACACCTAGACTTTGTCTGACCATCAGCCTTGGCTTGGCACTCCATCTCTCTCTCAGACCATACATTGCAGCCTGGATGGCTAACCTGTCCCAATTATGGACTGTTTTCCATTCCCCAGCCTCTTTCTTTTGGCTTAAGGGCTGGGAGAGATCCTTGTCTGAAATCCTGGAGACTTGCTCCAAGTCACTGTAGACAATATTGAGCCCAATGCAATGGGCTATAGGTCTGACTCAGTTCAAGGTAGCCTTCCTATGTTCTTCCTGTGTGTGTGTCAAGCAATGCCTGTCCTCCAACACCTTGCCACCGGTCCCAGTTCCCCCCAGCATCTGCTGCCTGAGATGGGTGCCTCACTCTGCCCAATGATAGAGCCGGCCCTCCTTATCCCGGACACTTGTGCTTTTACTGTGCAGCACTTCGGGCAATATGTGAAGTTGTCCAGCATTTCTACATTTCAGTCCCAGTAATCCTCCCAGGGAGGAGGATGGCGCTGTGGGTTAAACCACAGAGCCTAGGACTTGCCAATCAGAAGGTTGGCAGTTCGAATCCCTGCGACGGGGTGAGCTCCCGTTGTTCGATCCCAGTTCCTGCCAACCTAGCAGTTCAAAAGCACGTCAAAGTGCAAGTAGATAAATAGGTACCGCTCTGGCGGGAAGGTGAATGGCGTTTCCGTGCGCTGCTCTGGTTCGCCAGAAGCGGCTTAGTCATGCTGGCCACATGACCCGGAAGCTGTACGCCGGCTCCCTCGGCCAGTAAAGCGAGATGAGCGCTGCAACCCCAGAGTCGGTCACGACTGGACCTAATGGTCAGGGGTCCCTTTACCTTTACCTTTAATCCTCCCAGGAAAAAAACAACCCAATTCTCTTTATAGTTACAGTGGTACCTCGGGTTACATATGCTTCAGGTTACAGACTCCGCTAACCCAGAAATAGTACCTTGGATTAAGAACTTTGCTTCAGGATGAGAACAGAAATCGTGCTCCGGCGGCACGGCAGCAGCAGGAGGCCCCATTAGCTAAAGTGGTGCTTCAGGTTAAGTACAGTTTCAGGTTAAGAACAGACCTCCCGAACGAATTAAGTACTTAACCCGAGGTACCACTGTACTTTGTTTTTTTTAAAAAAATGTAAAGAGGAAGAAACGTGCGTTAGTATTTTCCTAATATCATAATAAAAAGAAGCCCAGAAACTTCCACAAGTTTCCCTTTTCCATCTGGAGGGTGTGTGGAGTGAAGCTAGGATTCTCTAGCCATGCTTCCTGCCCTCGTAGGATTCTTATCTGGAAATTCTCTTTTTTTTAAATGCCAGGAGCCCCAGAAAAGAAATAATTTGGCATAACAGTAGTGGGAATGCAGCCTGCTAATCAAAAGGATTCAAATCTTCCTATGTGCTGCCAAGCTCTCTTCTTCCCACCCAGTGGAGGGTGGGAGGGAAGGGGAGAGAGAGAGAGAGAGAGAGAGAGAGAGAGAGAGAGAGAAGGAGAGAGACAAAAAGACAGAGCAAAAGCAAAAGCATGGTGGTTCCCTTCTTCAGCAATCTTAACAAATGCAAACGCTTCCACTCCACTGACTCCTCATTAACTTACCGAATCTGACAGTCTAATTATCGCAGCTGCTTTGCGCTTAGAATAAATAAATATGAAAGTGGATGTTTAAAGAAAAAACGAGAAGGGAAAGGGCCGTCATCCAGGCAGTCAATAGAGAGAGATAGTTTGTTTTAAATTTTTATATCCGTACGTATTTAGAGCATTTTGGGGGGGGAAAGACAGCGCCATAGTTGTCTTTCAGACTAATTGAGTTCCTCACTTGGTGGATGGTGGCTTGTTGTTGTCACCATTTCCAGCTTTAACTTTTAAACTTTTGTTCCCTGTGAAACCTGCATCTCTATTTTGCTCCTCTCTCCTCTGAGATTGTGGGCGGCAGCTCTTCCTAGCTCCCACAGCATCCCTGGCTGCAAAGCAATCCAGCCAGCAAAATGCAGCGGTGGCACATTGCAGAGCACAGTTACTCTTTAAATTATTTCTGTCTTGGGGAGGGGGGCACAAGTATAGTGGGATGGTGGGGAGAAATTACAAGCGCTCCGGTTTAAATATTGCCTCTGCCGCTGGAACAACAAACACAATCTATGTAGTCCTTTGAGTCTTTTTCAATTTTCCTTTTCTACAGCGTAGCTACTTTAGAGGCAGTAATTTGAGGAAGAGGACCAGTTTGGGGGGCGGGAGTGGAATTTCTGTGCCCTTCCTCCTCACACTGTTTTTTCTGCTGGAAATCCCCTCCCCCCCAGATGCTTCTACTTCCACTACAAAAATATATATCAATGGTATGAGTAGCTTGGGAATGGGATTCTTAGGTTGTGTAAAAATTACCACTTACTCTGGCTCCAGCACACTCTCACTGGTGGTGTTTAAAGCGAAGTACAGTGGTACCTCGGGTTAAGAACTTAATTCGTTCCGGAGCTCCGTTCTTAACCTGAAACTGTTCTTAACCTGAGGTACCACTTTAGCTAATGGGGCCTCCCGCTGCCGCCGTGCGATTTCTGTTCTCATCCTGAAGCAAAGTTCTTAACCTGAGGTACTATTTCTGGGTTAGCGGAGTCTGTAACCTGAAGCGTCTGTAACCCGAGGTACCACTGTACACAATATGTTCACCACAATCTACAGGTACAGTGGACGCTCAGGTTGCGAATGTGATCCGTGTGGGATGCACGTTCGCAACCCGCAGTGTTCACAACCCACAGTGGCGCGTCTGCGCATGCGCGGGTTGCAATTTGGCATGCACGATTTTGCACATGCACAATGCAGGATTTAGCGCTTCTGCGCATGCGCGACCGCCGAAACCCAGAAGTAACCCGTTCCGGTACTTCCAGGTTTCGGTGGTCCGTAACCCCCCCAAAAACAACCTGAAGCATCTGTAACCCGAGGTATGACTGTATTCCTGTAGCTCAGTGGTCCCCAGTTAGCTATGTACTGCGGACCCCCTGCTTTTCAAAAGCCAAGCCATGGAACCCCTACTTTTGAAAATGTTGACATGTATGTGGTGAGGTTTTTGTTATGCAAATAGTGCCACCATACCCTCCAACATGTCCCAACACAAAACCAGGACATGCGTCTTCCGGTCTGCGCTCCCACATGAATCATATGACCTGCACAAGAGCACAGCACCCCAAAACATGTGTTTTTCAGTGCCACAATATTGTGCATTTTGGGGCACTGTGCTCCGCCCCCCCCCAAAAAAAACCGGGATGTCCTGGACAGTTGATGGGTATGTGACATGGGTTACGCAGATCTCCTGGGGTCCACGGACCACCAGTTGGGATCTTCTGCTACAGCTTCTTGAAAAATATTCCTGTTTGATGTGCTTTCCCTCAAACCAGTTTCCATCCAGTTCAGCTGAAGTTGTATGTTTCAGGCAGCCACTGATCATGCGCAGATGTTAGCAGAAGAGAAGAAGAGTTTGGATTTGATATCCTGCTTTATCACTACGCGAAGGAGTCTCAAAGCGGCTAACATTCTCCTTTCCCTTCCTTCCCCACAACAAACACTCTGTGAGGTGGGTGGGGCTGAGAGACTTCAGAGAAGTGTGACTGGCCCAAGGTCACCCAGCAGCTGCATGTGGAGGAGCGGGGAAGCGAACCCGGTTCACCAGATTACGAGTCTACCGCTCTTAACCACTACACCACGCTGGCTCTCAAGGGAATACTGCTCCCCACCCGTGACATAGTGAGTCTCCTGTCCTGACTACCAATGACATGAAGCAGGGATGACAGCAATCAGTGGTCGATGACCAGGATCCACACAGTGGTGTTAAAAACAATACATTTGGAATGCTCGCCACAGAAAGGCCAATCTGCATTGGAAGTGGAAAATTAGGTGGGGGTGGCGCTGTGGGTTACACCACAGAGCCTAGAACTTGCCGATCAGAAGGTCGGCGGTTCGAATCCCCGCGACAGGGTGAGCTCCCGTTGCTCAGTCCCTGCTCCTGCCAACCTAGCAGTTCGAAAGCACGTCAATGTGCAAGTAGATAAATAGGTACCGCTCCAGCGGAAAGGTAAACGGCGTTTCCGTGTGCTGCTCTGGTTCGCCAGAAGCGGCTTAGTCATGCTGGCCACATGACCTGGAAGCTGTACGCCGGCTCCCTCGGCCAATAAAGCGAGATGAGCTCTGCAACCCCAGAGTCGGCCACGACTGGACCTAATGGTCAGGGTTCCCTTTACCCTTTACCCTTTACCAACCACAGCTCCAAAATCATTAAAGCGGTGGCAGGGATGGGAGTGCGGATCTCACGAATGAAATTCAAAGAGCTTTTCTGCAAGTTAACGCTGCAATCGCCCTAAAGAGTAAGAGGATTCTTAAGTATGCAATATCAACAGCTCTAGCTCACAGCCACAATTTACTGTTTTCCCTGGTCTTTACTTAAAGAAATCTCACATCAAAGTCAGCTACTCTGGTGAACAGACTACTTGGGGTCAGCTTAAATTCTGACAGGGAGTGGAATTAATTACGGTTCGAAGAACTATTCAAGAAGTTATCACTAAACTATTATGCACCAGCACCAACATGGTTTGGCAATACAAGACTGGAGTTACCAAATGGAATTACGTAACTTTCCCAGGATTCATATATTTCCATTAATATGTATGGGAAAGTGCAGCAACCTTGCACATCATGCTAAACCATGGTGTACTGAGCTAACACTTATGAAATGCTAAACCACGATGTATTATTATTTATTATTATTTATTGAATTTATGTACCGCCCTATACCCAGCGGTCTCAGGGCAGTTCAGAGAAAAGATCAGCATAAAAACCACAATATATATATAATCAAAATCAAAACAACAACCCAATAACGTGGCTAAACCATGGTGTATTAAACTATTGTTTATTAAACTGTGGCTTAGTTTTATGTGTGAAGCCTGCCCAGCAGTTTAACTATAGTTTGCTTCCTGCCAAACCCCCCGCCCCTCAATTTGTAGCCATTGTTTCCTGTTGGTTTACAAACCGTGGTTTTCTTTAACTGCCTTTGCAGGAAGCTACTGCAGCCAATCGGAACCTGCGGAACCTGCATTGGGCGTTCGGGTTCCAAAGAACATTCGCAAACTGGAACACTCACTTCTGGGTTTGTGGTGTTCAGGAGCCAAAACGTTCGACTTGCAAGGCGTTTGACTTCCGAGATACGACTGTATTGCAATTAGTAGCAGCCTCTTGACTGAATTCTACGATTGTGGGCTATTTGTTGAAGTCAACTTTTTCCAATCATTTTTAATTTGTTGGACTTATTGTCAGATGAAGTTTACTTTTCTACAGGAATATATATATGCATCCCTCGCCATGTTTAGGCCATAGCTACTCGAAGCAGTAGGTCGCCGATCAGAAAGTCGGCGGTTCAAATCCCCACAACGGGGTGAGCTCCTGTTGCTTGGTCCCTGCTCCTGCCAACCTAGCAGTTCAAAAGCACGTCAAAGTGCAAGTAGATAAATAGGTACCACTCCGGCAGGAAGGTAAACGGTGTTTCCGTGTGCTGCTCTGGTTTACCAGAAGCGGCTTAGTTTCACAACAAGTTTCAAGTTTATTGCGGCCAAAGCCAGTGACACTAAACACCATAAGATCAGACAACAAGAAAACAGCAACAACTTCAGAAAAGAAAAAAGGTTACACAAGAGAACTTCACAGTGTGCCATTCAACAGAAGAGATTTACGCTTCTTAATTACTAAAGTGCAAAATTTAGCCACCTCATATGATACTGAGCTTGAGGAATCTTCCAGGAGGTATTTTCGAAGAATTTCAGGGGAGGATTCCAAATAATATTGAAGGGGTATAAATTTTGATAGAAGTGGTAAAATAAGTTGAACTCGTTCTTCACTATAGAATTCGCAAGATAGAAGAATGTGTGTGACAGATTCTACCTTATTAGACATACAAGGGCAGAGACGCGCATGCATTGGAACTCGCGTGAATTTGCCGTACAGCACTGCTGAGGGCATTGTCTCAAAGCGGGCTCTAGAGAAAGCCCATCTATAGGTTTCGTTAGTGATGTTAGTTAAGTAAGGGACAGCTGCAAAATTAGGCCAAGCTTTTAAACATCTATACGTCTCTGGGAGTAGGGCGCCTTCTTGTTGTAATTCGATATCATAAAGTCTCCGAGTGATAGTAGCTTTTGCCTTGTTCAGAGTTCCAATAAAAATATTTTCAGGGTTTAGGCCAATTTGTTTGATCTTGTTAGTTATTTGCATAAGCCAAGGAGGATAGGGAACTGCGGCCAGGAAGCAAGGTAATAGACCCTTAGGATTGTAATGGATTTTCAGCCAGAGGGATATTGCTTGTTCCCAGACTTTTAATTCCACTCTGGGCAGTCCTGCCTCTTGCCTTAAGACTGCATTAGGTGTACACTTAGGAGTAGCAAATAATGATCTTAAGAATTTAGATTGTACTGTTTCAAAGGTCTTAAGGTTGGCAGAGGGGCTAATTTGAGAGCCATATAGAAGTTGGGCTAAAGATTTTGCCTGAAAGACTGTTAGGGCCATCGGGAGGAAGCCAGCTCCTTTCCTTCTGAATAATCTAAGGATAGCATTTGCACTTCTTTCTGCTGATATAGCTGATGTGGTCAAGTGTGTTAAGAATTTGGCATTATAAGAGAAAGTAATGCCTAAGTATTGGAAGGTCTTAGTCTGTTCAATGGCGTTTCCCTTTACGCTCCAATTATCCTTCCTAAAGGAGCGGTTAAAATGTACAATTTTGGTTTTGGCAAAGTTAATTGTTAACAGTTCAGTGTTACATTGGTCGCTAAACTTTCCTAAGGCACGTTTCAGACCCACTTTGGTTTGAGAGAGAAGAACAGCGTCATCCGCATACATTAAAATTGGTACTTTTCTGCCATTAGAGAACACAGGAGGGTGGGTTTCAATTTCACGGCAGCATGTAACCAGGGAGTTAACATAGATATTAAATAGGAATGGGGCTAATAGGCATCCTTGTCTCACTCCTCTTTGGACTAAGATTTCTCTAGAGAGTCTGCCGTCCTGTGCGAGTCTTATCTGGAGGGTATTGTTCTCATGAAGCTTAATCATCAGAAGTAATAACCTTCTGTTAATACCCATATTGGCCAATTTGGCCCAGAGCCTGCTCCTGGATACAGAATCAAATGCTGCCTTTAAGTCCACAAAGGCCGCATATAATGACTTTTCCAATATTTCGCATACTTATAGACAAAGTAATCTAACACTAAGCAGTGATCAATGGTGGAACGTCCGGATGTAAACCCTGCTTGTTCAATTTCTAGCAAGTTATTATGATCTAACCATTCCCATAATTTTAGGCATAGATGTTTTGTATAAAGTTTACAGATCACGTTCAGGAGACTAATTGGTCTATAATTAGATGGATCAGAGGGGTTGCCCTTTTTAAATATGGGAACAATTATAGCTAGTCCCCAATCTTTAGGGATTTCAGTTGTCTTATCTATATATGAAAATAGATTAGCAAGGACCGGGGCCCACCAGTTTATTTGCGCTTTCAGAAGTTCAGCGACAATGAAATCACTTCCTGGGGCTTTGCCAGATTTCATTTGTAAAATTAGCGAAGTGATTTCAGTTTCAGCAGCTTAGTCATGCTGGCCACATGCTGGCTGTACGCAGGCTCCCTTGGCCAATAAAGCAAGATGGTCAGGGGTCCCTTTACCTTTACTCGAAGCAATGGCCAGCGAGAGGTCACGAGATTCTCCCTCGCAGCAGCAGAGCAGCAGCCACAATCGCTTGGGACAAGCGGCTGCTCACCCTCTTCCCTGAGCTCGGTAGCAGCGGCACTGGCAGGGGAAATCGGGACATTTCGGGATCAAATCAGAAGCTGGGATGGCTTTCGTAATTCCGGGACTGTCCCTGGAAAATCGGGACACTTGGAACGTATGCATTTGTAGCTCCACCTGCTTCTGCTATTGACCCTGCCCAACAAGAAGTTTGGCCAGAGGAGAATGTGTCCCTTCCATTTGAAAAAGGTTTCCCACCCGTGTTACAAGGGGACAAGAAGCCCCCCACCCTTCCTGCAAACCTCCCTCCCGCCTCCTTTTTGCTGAACCGAAGCAAAGCAGCCTCCTCTGCTGGCAGTTCGCAATCCGACGCAGTTAACATCTGATCCTTCGCATTCTTTTCAATAATCGTTAAAATCTTGCTGTTCTTGTTGTCATCATCAAAAATCTTTTTTCAAATAAAAAAGCGATCTTTGCATTGTTCATTTATCTCCCTCCCACCCACCTAGTCACTCCCTGTGGCAATTTACAGGAAAGAGTGGTCCCTGCTATAACAATTTCATAACAATGTCAGGGGGGGAGGGGATCTCTCTTTTGTATCCTTTCAGATGAAGATAACAAGCTGATTCTTTTACCCACTGCCACTTCAAATTTGTACTTGAGCATACGAAAGCTAATCACCAGCATCCCCTAGACTAGGCTACAGCCAGAACACAATCTTGTATGCACTCAGAATGCTAAATTTTATATAATTCAATTCAATTAGCTGCAGTGACCCTGGAACCCAAATGTCTTGCTTGATTGTGAAAGTACAGACAGATGTTTGTCAGGAGTTTTTGTTGTTGTTGTTTTTTTGAAATCACATTGCTGTCGTTGGGTGATATCCAATATTAGCTATATTCTGAGTAGACCCACGGAAATCAATCGGCTTCAGTAACTTCAGCCGTTTATTTTATTGGTTATGACTAGCATTAGTAAAGGTAAAGGGACCCCTGACCATTAGGTCCAGTCGTGGCCGACTCTGGGGTTGTGGCGCTCATCTCGCTTTATTGGCCAAGGGAGCCAGCGTACAGCTTCCGGGTCATGTGGCCAGCATGACTAAGCCGCTCCTGGCAAACCAGAGCAGCGCACGGAAACGCCGTTTACCTTCCCACCGGAGCGGTACCTATTTATCTACTTGCACTTTGACGTGCTTTCGAACTGCTAGGTTGGCAGGAGCAGGTGTGGGTTGTCGCAGCAGCCTCACTCAACTTGTTGTGGTGAGTGGACTTGCATGTTCCTATGATAATATGACAGCAACAATCACAGATAACAGTGGCTCTCAAAGTGAACCATTCACAGTGGGATCAGGTGTTAATCAGGGTTGCGTTATCGCCCCAACTCTATTCATTCTTTTCGGCGGCCCTCCGGGGCCCCCTCCCCAGCGAAAGGCGACAAGAAGCAAAAATTGTGAATTTCCAGTCCATAGTCTCAAATTTGACTCCTACCATTGACTCCTAGAATTTCACTTTTATCGTTTTGATCGCCATCTTTGTTTGGTCCATAGTCCTCAGGCTCATGAGGAAATCTCTCGTCTGAAGGTCTCCGTCCCTCCCAAGGCCCAGGAGGTCCATGGTTTGGACCTCTGCTATCTCCCTCATTGAATTCTCTGGGGTCAGGGGGGAAAGGTGGGCCCGGACCACCTCGTCTCCACTTCTCTTCTTGGGGTGGGCCTCCCCATCCCTCAAATTCATGTAAGCGATGGCCAAATCGCTTGTCTGGATGGAAGTCTTCACGAAATTCAGTCACCATGGAACTCTGGATGAGGTCCCCTTCTGTCTGGCACGCCTCTATTTTCTCTACCATCACTCCAGTCTTGGCCACCTCAGAAGGGGTCCCTCTCAGGGCCATGATCAAGACCACCAAGGGAGCCTAGGACTCCTCTGCCTCCATTAACGTGATAACTGACAGCAGTAGAACTACCTCAGAGCGAATTAAAGCTGGACCTCACAGACGGGGACGCAATATTCTTTGCATACGAAAACAACTCTTGACAGGCTTTTCCCGTCTTGTTATCGGGCCCGGGTTGTGGGTGGGTTGGCGGGTGGGAAATAAATGATTTTGACTTTGGAGGCATGTCGCAGGCTGAGTAGACGCCGCCAAAGACCATGAGATTCATGGGCGGAATTAAACGAAGTTGTTGCATGCACAGAACAAGGTCCACATGTGCGATGGGACTCCCCCCACCTCCTCTCTCTCTGCCCCCCCCTCTGTGTGTGTGTGTATAGAGCACACAGCCGCTCTATACCCAACCAGCCGCAGAGCACAAATCTACTTTGACACTTTTAGAAAATTGAAAAGATGGAATCTCGTAGGAGCCTGCCTTTGCCGGGGGATGGGGAGGCCGAGGAGGAGAAGGAGGAGGGGAGGACTCTCAGCAGGGTGGGGAGGGGAGTTGACTTTTCTTTATACATATAGGTTTTTTTTCCATGCAGAGTTTAAATTATGCCTGATAAAAGGAGTTTCGTGGATGTTTCAGTTCTTTCAAACCCTCCTGGCTTCCTCCCAATTAAATGAGGTTTGTCAAAGCCACAGGGCTCTGCCGCTGCCTGAGAGGCAGACAAGCACTTCCTGCAGTGACATCTCAAATCCCCGAGGGAGGAGATGAAAGTGCCCGTGCCAAAAGACAGGAAAAGAAGGAGAGAGAGAGAATGTGTGTGTGTGTGTGTGTGTAGAGGGGAGAGGTGTGTGTGTGGGGGGGGGAGAGCAAAGAGACAGAAACGCAGGAGGGAAAAAGGTGGGGAGGGAAGGAGGGAGGCAACAGATTGGCGAACACAACATGTCACTCCTGGAGACAAGATGGATCATTTCCATATGAGGAATGCATTTCCCAGTCCCCTGGGTTGGTATATTGGAGTGTTTCTTACAATGGCTGATATTTCACCCCAATTGCAGCCCGTGGGGCCTTGGTGGGTTGGGGGCAAGCCCATGATGTCATCATGGCAACCCAATGTGTTGCGAAGCCAACCAGAGTCTTTCAGGCAGAAATCGTTGCAGTTTGCGATCCAGCAAGCTCGTATTCTCAAGTGAATTCACTACGATTGCAATGATGATAATAGGTGGTACCCAATGCTAGTCATGGGGACGCGGGTGGTGCTGTGGGTTAAACACCAGCAAATGGAGTCCTCCACCAAGGTGCCCAGGGGAGCCTGTGCGTCTCACCTAGAGCAGCAGAGGCATGTGCCAGGGAGCGCATGCACGGGAAGGGGGCTCCTAGCTACTCTGAGCCGGAGTGGAAAGGAGTGTTTTTTGTGCCCCTCCCCCTGGGCCTTTCGTCCTTGGCAGAGGCCAACCTGAGCAACCCCTAGGTTAAGGTTACCAGACGTCCCCGTTTCCTGGGGACAGTCCCCGGATTTACGAATCAGTCCCCATACAAAATCCACTGAAGTTGAAAAGTGTCCCTGGATTCGTTGGAAAAAATCTGGTAACCTTATAGGTGTGTCCCTGAATGGAGGATGGCTTTAAACACAAAGTCAATGTCTGCAAAAGCCTTAGACAGTAGACATCTTCCTGACAAAAAAGCTTCCCAGAAAGCGCCGAGGGCCTTCTGGTGGTTCCCTCGCTGCGGGAAGCCAAGTTACAGGGAACCAGGCAGAGGGCCTTCTCGGTAGTGGCGCCTGCCCTGTGGAACACCCTCCCACCAGATGTCAAAGAGAACAACAACTACTTTTAGAAGACAACTGAAGGCAGCCCTGTTTAGGGAAGCTTTTAATGTTCAATGTACAGTGGTACCTCGGGTTAAGTACTTAATTCGTTCTGGAGGTCCGTTCTTAACCTGAAACTGTTCTTAACCTGAAGCACCACTTTAGCTAATGGGGCCTCCAGCTGCCACCGCGCCGCCGGAGCACGATTTCTGTTCTCATCCTGAAGCAAAGTTCTTAACCTGAAGCACTATTTATGGGTTAGCGAAGTCTGTAACCTGAAGCGTATGTAACCTGAAGAGTATGTAACCCGAGGTACCACTGTATTACAGTATTTTAATATTTTGTTGGAAACCGCCCAGGGTGCCTGGAGAAGCCCAGCCAGATGGGTGGGGTATAAATAATAAATTATTATTATTATTATTATTATTATTATTATTATTATTATTATTATCCTATGCGCAGGGAGATTTATCTTAGCCCTGGATACTTTTTGGTGCCTTCCCCAGCTTGGTGCCCTCCCGATGTTGCTGAACTCCAACTTCCATCAGCCTCAGTCAACATTGTCAGTGGTCATGGATGCTAGGAGTTGTAGTCCGTGTTTTTTTTTCATCTGGAGTGAAGGTAGGCACCATTGCAGGCCAGCGGTCCCCCCCCACCCCGCTTCTTGCCTTTATGAACTTCCGAGAAGCCCAAAATGAACATTTCAAGTCAAAACGGAAGCTGGCCAGCATGTGGGAGTCTACACTTTTTTTTAGATCTATGGCTCCACCTAGCTCCTAGCCATGACTGGTCAAGCCACAGGGCAGGGCCAATTCTTATTTCCTTTTCCTCAGTCCATCTCCCATGTAGTGGCGGCGAGCTTTAAGCTGTCCAGTCAGGCCTCTACCGCTGCATACAAAGGGCCCTATAAGCTGCCCTAGCCATCTGCCTGAATCTAGGAGAATGAGCGTGGTAGGGCGCATTTATTTGACCTGTACCAAAACCAGGGGCAACCCCCAAACCAGCTAGGGAGACAGTTTGCTGTAGTTTTCCGCACTTGCGTGGGTGGTGATGGTGGCTGTTGTCAAACTGGCATCTGTTGAAGGCTGCCCCGAGCCGCCCGGTGACTTACTTTAACAACGTTATGGTGAATTCCGGCACCTATTTTTCTTGCGAGAAAAGCACTGGTTGTAGTTCAACAGCATCTGAAGGGCACCTTGTTGAGGCAGTTAGAATATAGAATGACATACCATCAGAAAGCTGGTACAGCTGAGAAGGTAAAGAGTTGAAAAAAGGATGGAGACATGCTTTCTGTGCTGAGATCCTGTCCCGTGGACAAAGTTTTAGCATTCTCGTTGCCAAGTCTTCAGCTTCAGATTCTCTGCCCAGCCTAAAAAAAACAGAGAGAAATAATCAACACCAAAACAAGACCTTGAGCCATAGGTTTAGCCACAGGAGAGACTCTGCCAACCTGGTGCCCACAAGATGTTTTCCACTACTACTTCCACCAGCCCCAGACATCATGTCTGTGTCAGCTGAAGAAAGCTGCAGTTCAAGGGATCAGTTTGAGGAAGGCTATCATAGGGGGATCTCTCACGAGGTAAAGGGACCCCTGACTTTATTGGCCGAAGGAGCCGGTGTTTGTCCACAGACAGCTTCTGGGTCATGTGGCCAGCATGACTAAGCCACTTCTGGCGAACCAGAGCAGCGCATGGAAACGCCGTTTACCTTCCCGCCGGAGTCATACCTATTTATCTACTTGCACTTTGACGTGCTTTCAAACTGCTAGGTTGGCAGGAGCAGGGACCAAGCAACGGGAGCTCACCCCGTCACGGGGATTCAAACCGCCAACCTTCTGATTGGCAAGTCCTAGGCTCTGTGGTTTAACCCACAGCGCCACCCGCGTCCCATACGCATGCGCAAGTATGTAGACACGCATAAAAGCATTTAAAGTGGAGAAAGCACCCGGTTCATGAGAAGATCAGAAAATATTCCTCTATGCCACAGGAGCGGCAAGGATCCTAACTGCTAAAAACTGGGAAAAAAGAAACTGCCAACCAAAAAGGATTGGCAAGACAAACTGTTAGAGTATGTTGAACTGGCTAGATTAACAGAGGCAATTAGAGATCACACTAGACAAGAGTTTCAAAAAGCATGGGGGAAATGCAGAGAATACTTCACAAAACAGTGCCCTAAAATACATACCTGGACTTGTTTTGATTAATGTCTGCAGGAGACTTTGTGGATATTTAAGTTATAGTTAGAAAAATCTTAATAATTATTCATAAAGGAAACAGTTTATAAGAAGTAAATAAGGAGGCCAGATAGAGGATAAAGGAAGTCTTTTATTTGGTTGTTTGTATTGTTGTATGTTATGCTTATTGTAGGATGCGGGTGGCGCTGTGGGTAAAAGCCTCAGCGCCTAGGACTTGCCGATCGAAAGGTCGGCGGTTCGAATCCCCGCGGCGGGGTGCGCTCCCGTTGCTCGGTCCCAGCGCCTGCCAACCTAGCAGTTTGAAAGCACCCCCGGGTGCAAGTAGATAAATAGGGACCGCTTACTAGCGGGAAGGTAAACGGCGTTCTGTGTGCTGCGCTGGCTCGCCAGATGCAGCTTGTCACGCTGGCCACGTGACCCGGAAGTGTCTACGGACAGCGCTGGCTCCCGGCCTATAGAGTGAGATGAGCACACAACCCTAGAGTCTGTCAAGACTGGCCCGTACGGGCAGGGGTACCTTTACCTTTACCTTTATGCTTATTGTATGTTATGTTCACGTTTAATGAGGGTGGATTTGTGTATTGGGGGGTGGGGGTTTATGTTATGTTGTAAATAAAATTCCAATAAAAATTTATTTTTAAAAAAGAGAGATCCCAAACTGAGGCATATTCCCAGGGCAGGTGGGGCGAAGAGTTACCGACAGAGAACTAAAAAGTGGTGGCGTTGTTGTTGTTAAAATTTGTACACTGTCCTATACCTGCAGGTCTCAGGGTGGTTCACAAGATAAAAACACAAAATACGTAAAATAAAAACGAAAACAACCCAATAACCCTCCCTCCCAACACATTTTAAAGGGGCATTGGATGTCAATCAACCAAAGGCCTGGTTTAAGAGGAACATTTTTTTTTGCCTGGTGCCAAAAGCCATCCAAATGCACCAGGGGAGAGCATTCTCAAAGTGGTTTAACAGTCAATGCCTCTTCCCAGCAGACTCTGAGAATCGTAGCACTGCATGATGCTGCTTTGAATGTATAGGACAGATGGCACCTCAGTATAAGGCATTCCTATCTGCACTCCGTTGCAGTTCTGGAAGAATCCGGCCCTCAGTTCTATGCGCGTAAATGGCTCCCGCATCTTCTCGTCCCCCGCTACCTCCCCTCTCCTCAAAAGGCGTTGGCAGCTGACATGAGATATTCACGCTCCGAGCCCAGTTCGTTTTATGGGTATGTTTTGGTTGGGGCTCCAGGCTGAGAATGAAAGTGAGCAGATCCCAGCGGCGTGATGTCATTTGGAAGGGAAATGCCCAACCAGGGAGGGTGTGAGGAGAGACTCAGCAGCCGGGGCTCTAACAGGCCACCTAACGCTCTGAATAAGCAAGCAAATTAAATGCTATAAAACTTAGGGCACTGTTTTTGTTTGCTTGACGGCGTTTTCTTCTTCTTCTTCTGTTTTGCTTCCTACACTCCAAACTGTCATGTTTCCCAGGAGTCAGCCACTTGGCATTTAAGTCCCCCTCGCCCGCCCAGACATAGCTGTGGGGAGTAGAGAGGGGAACCGCACAACTTTGTGACATGAAAGTGATTTACATCAGACCATTGGTCTGACTAGCTCTGTCCACACGGAATGGCAGTGGCTCAACAGGGTTTCAGCTAGGAAGTCAGAGCGCTTATATAAGAAAACGTTCTGATGTCAGAATAATGGAGCATCTGAAGAACATTCTTCCCGTATGATGAAGTGATTAACGGGGCGGTTAAAAACACCCCACTCCCCTTTTAATGCCATAACGACACAACAAAGTTTCCATGCTTAACTTTTCTGGCAAAGTTAATGGAACATGTCACAAATTTCACAGGTTTGCCCCTCCACTCCTCCCCGCGCCAAAAAACCCAACCCAGGGTGACTTTGCTCCCTTATAAGCCTCCCCAGGGAAGCTTTGGCTCGGTTTTGGTAGTCAGATAAATGCCTCCACTCTCTTGCAGGACTATTTGGAGTTGCATGTACTTGTGTGTTGGCCAGGACTGGCCCTCTCATTGCAAGGAGCAAGGAAGCTGTTTCAGGAATATCCTTTTCAGTTAAAGGGCACCAACTGATTTAATATAAGTGGTTGTCTCTATCTACAAACCCTTACTAGTATGTGTCCTCACTTCGGTGTAGAGATTTTACTTGGGGCATTAAGTATTAAGTCTGCCACCTCATATTCAACAATCATTCAACTCCCCTAAAGGTAAAGGTAAAGGGATCCCTGACCATTAGGTCCAGTCGCGGACGACTCTGGGGTTGCGGTGCTCATCTCGCTTTATTGGCCGAGGGTCCCGCCGGAGTCAGTCCGTTGGCCCATCTACTTGAGGTTCGTCCACACTGACTGGCAGGATTTTGTGCAGACGTTTTGTTTGCATATTGTCAACAAACGGGTGGCGCTGTGGGTTAAACCACAGAGCCTAGGACTTCCCGATCGGAAGGTTGGCGGTTCGAATCCCCCGCGACGGGGTGAGCTCCCGTTGCTCGGTCCCTGCTCCTGCCAACCTAGCAGTTTGAAAGCACATCAAAGTGCAAGTAGATAAATAGGTACCGCTCTGGCGGGAAGGTAAACAGCGTTTCCGTGCGCTGCTCTGGTTCGCCAGAAGTGGCTTAGTCATGCTGGTCACATGACCCGGAAGCTGTATGCTGGCTCCCTCGGCCAATAAAGCAAGATGAGCGCCGCAACCCCAGAGTCGGTTACAACTGGACCTAATGGTCAGGGGTCCCTTTACCTTTTTTATTGTCAATACTAATATATATATATATATTGCTGAGCCTGCACTAAAGATACCAGGAACTTGGGCCCTTCTCAAATGCAGTTATCCCTACTTCAGAGTAGGCATGGAGGGGCCTTAGCCTTTCATTCGGAGCTCAGGAAGAACCCAGCTCATTACAGAGACCCCGTCTGATAGCAGTTCTCACAGAATTGTAGAGTTGGAAGGGAACTTGAGGGTCATCCCAACCCATCTGCAATGCAGGAATTGCTGACCCCAACCCCTCAAGACGTGTGCACCGTATTTTTTGCTCTAAGACGCACCAGACCACAAGACGCACCTAGTTTTTGGAGGAGGAAAACAAGAAAAAAAATATTCAGAATCTCAGAAGCCAGAACAGCAAGAGGGATCGCTGCGCAGTAAAAGCAGCCTGCATTCGCTCCATAAGACGCACACACATTTCCCCTTACTTTTTAGGAGGGAAAAAGAGTCTTATAGAGCAAAAAATACGGTATTTAGTAAGCATTGGGCAAGCTGGTAAATATTTCAGTCTGGGTTTTTACAGAGTGAATACCATAAGCCCAGAGACCTCTTGCTTCATACTGATGACTTGTCGTGAAATGGTTCACTTGCGGCTGCTTAGGTAGTTCATGCAAATAGCCCAGTAATGATGCCTTTTTCTTGGAATCTGCTGCTTCCACAGACTACTTTGGAGTTGCCTTATTCTGACTCCAAGTCTGGAGTTAAAAGCTTGCATATAAAAACAAACAGACCCTAAGGGAAAGCATGATAACGCTGTCATAGGTAGTTTACCTGTCACAGATCATTCTGAGCCTCCGAGGGTTGCTGGCGAAGAACCTCTCTGGAAAGTTAATATGCAATCACCAGATTAAACAAAACCCAAGGAAACAGTCCAAACCATGCACTTAGCTTTTCAAATCCTGCTATAAAATTTGTTGTTGGTGTATTTATAAAGCTACATTGCTTCTATAAAGCATGAGTACTGGTATAAAGCGATTCTGTAGAGCTCTTTACCCATTTGCTAAAGAATATAGGCACCAACGCTTGAATTTCCTTTTTTTCTTTTTTTAAGAATACAGATTCTGCAACCAGGACTCCCAACTTCCGCAACTGAAACAGGGTATGTGGGTACAAGTGACTGGGTTGGGATTGCCGAAATAGTGGAAGGCAGAACAGGGAGATGTAAGAGGAGACATGAAAACCAGCTGATGTGTTATGTGTGACCATCTGTTTTCTCACATGACCTGCTAGAACTATACAGGGAGGCACAAAATCCGCAATCTGTCACTGCCTTACAGTGTCTCATTGAAGAGATACAACTTTTCCTAGATTAAAATAGGCAGGAGTCTTAAGCCCTCTCTTTTTCTTGGCCATTGCTCTGTCCTATCTTCTAAATAACTGGAGTCTCACCCACCCCCTTACCCTTTTGGCACTGCGCCTGTGGACTAGATATACCACTCAGAGATTTTAAAAATACTTCACAGGCTTGTTGAGCTCCCTGGGAGAAAAATATGGCATATAAATGCACAATAAGTAAATAATCAGTAATAACATACGGTAATATTAAGTGTTTTTGTATACCACTTAGAAATTTAAGAATCTTAAGTGGTTTAGAAATGCTGATCATCTTATCCTGGGCTAGACGTTACCCTTGCCATCGGTTACCAACATCTTTGCGGCGAGTTTCGTGCACACTCAAACACGCTCACACACAGCGCTCTATTACAACTCAAAGTGTCAATCAAGGGTATCATGGTGAGTTTCCCTGTCAGCAATCCACATCAATGGCAGTTGCCGCGATAGAGAGGAGAATTCACAGCGTGTAACAACACTTAGGCAGACTTTAAAGACTTTCCTAGACAATTTGAAAATGATTCCTTTTTCTTAAACTAGACTTGCGCT